CAAAGTTATTCCTAAGCGACCTTATATCGCTTTTTTAACGCTAGATACTCGTTATTATAATATTTAAAAGTGAATATGAAGATTTCGGTTTCTGAAAATTTGTATAAAATTCCAGAGATGGTAATGATTGTTAAATGCACCGTGGAAATCCCCCCAAAAAACCACCAATTTTAGCCATTAAAATAAACGAAATTCTCAAAAATAAAAATCAATTTTCTACCACCAGGTGCATCAAAATCACACACCACCTCCATCGAGCCTTTTTAAATAAAAAAAATTAAGTAATTCGGCCATTAAAATAAGAAATAAAACCGTTGAGCTTCCGTTTAAGACGTACAATTAATATAAAAAAATCGAATTAAAAATTGCATTCGTCCGTTCACGTTATACAAGTTAAGTTCGATTTTCAATCGTAATTAATACATAATAATAAAAATAGGTACTCGGCGTAAAAATTTCGACCAGAAAAATCATACCCGTTTAAAGAGTTCTCGTTTAGTCCCATAAAACTTGCGAAAATACTTAAAATCGTGTAAAAATACATCGACTCTACGAGAGATAATTTAACGATCATTGCGGAAGCTATATCGAATAAATATAATTCAATTTGCACGTTCCTCGTAGAATCATCTCTCTAATGCAACACACACCGTTAGGGAACCCCTTGCAATTAATACAGATTAATACATGATTGCAAGATTAATACAGAACCGCGTGGGATTCACACAAGATAAATGCAGGGGATTCCCTAGTAGGTAATTAATAAGAAATATGCTTTAAGAAAATACAGTTGGTGCAAAACAAATATCAATGCACGTCACTACTGTCGTCATACTTGTCAAGCATTGTGACCAACTTAGCAGAAATACCTGCAGAATTTAATTTAATATTAACAAGGGATGATAGAAAATGTTAAAAAGCAGATATAAATCATCCAAAAACATAAATATATTTTATAGTAGGTTAGTAGGCACTGACTGTCAAGTTGCATTATTGCCGTTGTCATCCGATCGGTACTTTTAATTTTCAATTTCTTCTTCTTTTTTCTAGTTTATTACCCTCAAGTACTAAAAGCTATTCAGCCTAATAATCAAGAAATAAGAATTTCTTGCGTTGTTATCTTTTCCACATGTTAGAAATGACAAAATTTGAGCTCTAAATAATCCAGATTCAGAAATTGTCTCAGAAATTTCACTATGTACTCTTTTAAGGGTAAATTGTACACTAAATTTTCTACTCCCACTGTTAAATATATTTTAGATGATAAAGGAATTTAATGATTAATTATAGTGAGCCCCTGAATACGTCCGCCATTTAAAATTTGACAATTTTAGAAAATCCTTTTACTTAAACTCTATTTTTTATTTATTTTTAACTCTATAAAAGTTCGGCAACACTGCCTACCTGTGACGTAGTAAATCATAGGTGACGTGCATCGATATTTGTTTTGCACCAACTGTTGGTAATTAATACGAAATATGCTTTAAGAAAATAAATAAAATTAGTGGCGTGTTTAATTTTTTGAGAGGCTTTAGAGCCGATTCTACGACTTGCTAAATTTTGGCTCTAAAAGTGCGATAAGATTCGTCCCAGTCACACATACAATGATTCTGATAAATATAATATAAAATACAATAATTTACAAGATTCGACTTTACAAGCGCGACTTTCTATATGCATAATGAAATGTCAGGTGGTCAAAGAAGGTGCGTGAAAGAACGGATTTAACCGTGTAAAATATTTACCGTACGAGAATATAAAATAATGATTTACAATTTGCAATTATACCGAAATATTAGTGGATTTCTAGTTAATTCACTTGGGGACTACCGAGTTGTACCACGACTACCTGAATTAATCCCTTACCGTTCTTTATCCGGATTACATTGACTACCGAGTTGTACCACGACGTAATTACCCCTAATGGCCTTAATATGCTCGGGATCGCCGAGTTGTACCACGGGATAGCATTTATGCCAAGCGTGGTACCGTAAAATTTTAAATTTAGGACTATCTAATGAATACAAAGAAAAAAATTCGGAAATTGGTAAGTTTTTGAAATTATTCTTCGGCCTACACTTTCTGGAACCTACCGAAGTAGGTGATTTTTTCGTATTCCAAATATTAGATAAATTACCCAATGATGAGAAAGTAATACAATTTTGCGACTACATATTGGACAGTTATGTGTCAGAAGAAGTTAGCTTTCCTCCGAAAATTTGGGCATGTACCACCAATAGCATGTACAGGTCTACGAACGCTTGTGAGTAGTTTCATTCGGTACTGAAAAACAGTTTTTATTCTCCTCACCCAAATATATTTCTTTTCACAGACATGCTAATAAATATACAAAGTGAGACGTTCACTAAAATTAAGACTGCCAGTGAATCAGAAAATAATAAAAAACTGAAGTCACATTTAAATGTGTATGTGTATTTTATTTTATTTTATATTTTACTATAATTTTGTATCTAATTTATAATAAAATTGTTAATGGTTATTGTCGGGCTTTATTTTTTAAGTCGTTAAGCCTCATTAGAAAATTCGGTGGTACAACTCGGTAGTAGGATTAGACCTACCTGCTATCCCGTGGTACAACTCGGCGATCCCGATTCACTTTCACTCTCCTTCGTTTCCTAGAAAAATAACAAATAAATCGGTTCTAACAAGATTACCGGACGGTTTCGGACGTTTAGAGCGAGTTCCAGAACCGTCCGGAATCGGTACTTCTCCAATTCGAAATGTGATAAATTATCTGGATTTTTCAGCAATATATCCTGTGTTAATTGACCGCGAAAACCATCCAAAGAATTCGCCATTCGATAATGCGCTATTTACAGAAATTTACAAGGAAAAATAAGAAAATTGCAGCGAGAAATTCGAACGAAATCCAGAAAAAGCCGAGTCGGCGCTACGAGCGATTTAATTCGTCGCTTTTAAATACAGGATGTCCAGAAAATAGATTATTCGGGAACTCAAAAATTCTATTCGCTCTCGAATTATCTATTTTCCGGACACCCTGTATAAATAAGAAATTGAAAAATTGGAAAAATTGAACGTTTCATAACGCCGACTATTTTACAATTAATAATTATGTACAAACATTGCTGGCGTACCCGAAGAGCTCGGTTTAATCAAAAGCATTAGCTTGGTGTTGTTTACCAGTGAGATGAACTTTGTTTCGTTCGTTCAGAAAATTTACAAAATGAAAATTTTACAGTTATCGCGGAAATCGCGGTCGTCTAATAACAGGTCAGGAAACTCCGGTGTAGAGGGGGGTGTTGCGGTCGATGCAAATCTCGACAGAGGGCGCTTGTAACAGGTAGTATTTAAAGTCCCTAGATATTAGAAGTAGCGCAATCGTCCGACATGATTGGGATTTTTTAAGCGGGAAATTTAAATAATGCAGAAAATTTATTCAACACATTGTATAAACATGTCACATTGGACGTCACATTGTTAACCAATAAACCGACACAACAGAAATGTTAGGTTAAATGCACGCGTTTGAAAGTGTTTTGTTTATTTCTGTCAAAAAAATTGTCAAATGGGAGCCATATTTGGAATTTTTATAGCTATCTTTTTCAATCTTATAGGCCTAATTGATTGCGCTACTTATAGTATCTAGGGGCTTTAGTAGTGTTGCATACAAAGTCCATTTTTTCTTCATTTCGCCTTTTTGCCTTCCAAATTTAATTTTTATTTAATTTAATTTGACAATGCCAATTATTGACAACAACACCATCACTACCACAATATACTCAGAGTTTCCAGACCTGCAATGTAAGACCGTGGCGGAAACCAACCGTATAATTTCGCGTATTACAGGGTGTCCCAATGAAAAGTAGCCCCTTTAGTGAGCTAATAATTTTTGTAAACGTCTAATCATAAAAACATGCGATTTTCGCAAGATATATTTTATTTTGCTATAACTTTTTGTTGCAGTGACACAGACATTTTGTATCGCCTGTACAGGGTGTTTCATAAAAATATCCTCTTATAAATTCACATTAACCAAATTTTATGAAATAGGACATCTTCCTTTATTTCCACGTTATTCTTCCTTTGTAGAATAACGTGTACAAAATAATACATTTTTGAAAAGTAGAAGAGTATATCTTTCAATATACCTCCACATATACGGGGTGTTCAATTTAAAAAAAAATTGTTACTGTGAATTTAAAAGAAAAGATTTTGATAAAACACCCTGTATTGTTAATGCATAATTTTTGTATCACGGTAACAAAACTTATAATAAAATAAAACATATTTGAGAAAGCCGCATGTTTTTATAATTAGGCGTTTAAAAATTATAAGCTCACTAAGAACGCTACTTTTCATTGGGACACCCTGTATATTATTGGAATTTATAGTGGTTTCGAAATAGAAAAATCATTACATTCATCTAAAGGCGCTTTTCTTTTAGTAGAAAAACTGTTCCTCGCATGGCCCGCTGTATTTCTTTTTGGATTACCTTTTTTTTCAAAAATGAACGCTATTCGTGGAATTAATTGAATTTTGAATTGACTACCTTTTACGTATACACCTAATTAAATTAGTACAAAAATAATTCTCTCCAAGAGTTCCATTTTCCGCTACCCGATATATCTGATTGTTCGTCGCACGATGCTTTTGGCAGAAGGTTCTCCGAAAATTATGCAAAAAATTCACTTTGTTATCGAACAGTTTTTTTACTCGAATTGCTTAATACGAGATAAAACATGTAATTCATTCTCAGTGAGATTTTTAGCAAAATAAATTTAATGTTTAAATTGAATAGATATTGAATTACACGTAATATCTCTGGTTTATTATAATTTTTAAACTGAATTCAAAACCGCCCTGTATATTATTTGTTCTTCAAACGAAATTACATCGAAATACGCACGATTCATTTTCTTTCTACTATTTAAAATTGATTTTTTCCTTGCATCACCGCATTGCCTAAAACATTTTACATCATTTTGGTTCGAATCGTTTCTCTCTATCTGTTTTTGTATGTGTTTTGTATGCTTGTCTCTCCCTCTCTCTCTCTCTCTCTCTCTCTCTCGTTAAAATTGTTCATTTATTTATTTATTTCTTAAAAAAAATTATATATTCGTTTATTCTAAAAGTCGGTGTTAGTTGCCGTTAGTGTTGCGGGCTATGATAATGTCCTTACGATTGTTCGAATCCGTCCCGTAGATTTTTCCGGCCTTTTTCGCCATCGATCCCAGCAATTCCTGCGACACCTTGTGGGCCGATTTTAACGATGTCAGCCATTCCTTTAGGCCTATTTCGTCCTGGAAATTACATATTTATTAGTGGACGAAATTATGGAAATATTCTCCTATTTCATTCCGGCAATTTCGGGTGATTATAAGTAGAGCTTGAAAAATATGCATTAAAAAATGGCAAAATATGCACTTACGTATACACTTATGTTAGATGAAAAAAATCAGAAACGACTGGATAATAAATAAATTTTTAGATTTGTTATTACAAGAAAAAGATAAGAGGAGCTTTTAATTCTAAGCAACTTTTACAAGCAAATATTTCTTATATTCTGGAAAATAAAAAAGAAATCATTTCCAATAAAAATGGCGACAATAGGTGGGGTAGCAGTTCGATATTATTATCAATGGATAACCCTTAAAAAATATTGGATACGTGTTTTTTTCAATTTTTCATTCGGTCCTTAATTTACCAGAAAATCGACCATTTCCATACTTTTTGGACACCCTCTGTATTTAATAAATACTTACAGGATTGGTGAGTACGACTTTGCCGTCCCTCAGCCTGACCACGATGCAATTTTCGCTTTTGACCTGAACCAGGTCCGGACTGACCTCTTCGATTTGATCCATAAAAACCAGGTCCGGCTTGGCCGAATCCGGATGCAATTCCAGCCGGTTGGGGTACAATTTGGCGTAGCGCATCTGCCAGCTCGACGACCACGGCCCGCCTAATTTCTTTATGTACCCGTGTAAGATGCAGTCCGTCTCTGGAAAAATTAAAATTTTGGTACAATTAATTATAAAAAACGATTAATTATGCATATACATCGTGTTTCATTCGCAATTGCAACATGGGCATTTCTATGAGTTGAACGAAGAAAGATTATTAAAATACAATTGCCAAAGTGATAAGTTGCAATGACATAATATCACTCTTTCTTTTTCCTTTATAAGTGTCTAATTGAAGTTGTCTTTGTTGCAATGACTGGTTGGGGATATGATTATCGATAGAATTATGTACATGGGTGGAGATTAAAATTATACTATAGAGGATAAATAAGGGGTGTTAGTTTAGCGAAGAGAAATAAAAATGAGGATTTATGATCACAAAATAAGGAATAGAAATCGTTTTTAGCTACATTAAATGGAAGATAGACTAATTTAAATAACAATGTTTTTTTACTACATGGACTAAAGAAACTGTCTTATAAAGTATGAGAAGTTTCAAGAAAGGCTAAAATCCTTTTAAAAATTTAAAAAATTAAAAGTTTTAGACTTAAAGAGAACATACATACAGAATAAATATTAGTAAATTAAGACTATAAAGTGTATATAAACTCTAAAAATAATAATAAAGGCTTAAAATGAGACTGTAAACAGTGTTGTTTTAGTAATGATACTAATTTTCTTTATATTGTCTAACAAAATTGTTCGTTGTAATGGTAAGTCGTAGAATTGAAAGATAAGGTAAGAGAGCATGTTGTTTACTATTTTAGTACCAATAAACGAAAATCATTAAAGATCGTAGTTCGTATTCAGTGTTTCTTTTTAAAAGTTAAATATATTATGCGTCTTTAACTTGACAGTTTAACATTGTTGTTATGGAGTAACCAGAGAATATACATGGTGACCATAGACCTATTAACTATGGACGCGGTTTAGACAAAGAGGTAGTGTTGTCGATGAATGAGAGAGATGCAGCTAGTTTGGGCATATGGCAATGAGAAATTGGACAATGCATTAGCCAATAGTAAGAAAGCAAAAGACCACGTGAGTAACGTTTTCAGATATGCAAGGTAGCTGGGGTAGAGGAGGGTAGCTTATGGTAGAATAGGGTTGAGGGGTGCAGCGGAGGGTATTGTGATTTATTATTTTTTTTGCCGAGTAAAATGCATTTTTCAGCTGAGCCTAAATTCCCAGGCATTTGCAAATACAGTTCTTATTTTGTATTGTTAATTGGAACATCCTACCTATTAGCCAGTACAGATTTCGCAATTTAAGATCTAACTGCTTTCTCTTGTAAAAAATATGTTCCTTCCTGGTCATTCTTCTGTCCAAGTGGATACCAAGATAAAAACAATATTTAAATATTAAGCGTATAAATAATTTAACAGATTAATCGCCTTTTTCCACACGCCCTGTATATATTTTATATATTTTTTGGTCCCGCCTACTTTTAGCCCAAACTAGCTCCATCTCTCACGGACCTCTCTCTCTATCATTGGGAACGCTGAATAACCTCAAAATAACGCGATTGTGCCGCGTCCATACTTAATAGGTCTATGATGGTGACCCAATGAAAAGTAAGCCATTTAATCAGCTTATAATTTTTAAACGCCTAATCATAAAAAAAATTTCGGTTTTCTTAAAAATAACCAAGATTAAGTTGGCATTAACGATAAATTAGGTAATAAATTAGGTAATTACAATAAATTAGGTAATATTATTGTCAAATTTGTATACTTGAAGTAGTAAATAACTATAACAATATTAATAACCGTATTCCAGCGGTTATTCCATCTAACTGTATCTTTTTAAATCTGAACCAATTTTTAAATTCTATTTCGGAATTATTCTATGTATTTAATATACAGGGTGTTATATGAATTTTTAGTCATAAAATAAGCTAAGCAATCACCCCCTTTCGGATGTACACGAAGTTTAGGAACACCCTGTATATTTCTATCACTATCTTCAGAAAGATTATTTGAACAATTCAAGAAACTCTATTCTATTAAACTACTCCATTTGGCATTTGGATTGAAGTTATCAGTCTGTTCTTTTATCAGTTCGATTTTACTTTGTTACTCGTTTCCTTTACTACTCTTGAAGGGATATTTAAATATGCATATTTGTTTAAAATTACAAGGTTACAAAGTTAAAAATAAAAAGGAGTTTTTTTTTATATTGGGCCAGAATGGCTTATTTTCGTGAAAAGTTGTACAGAATATCTTTGTTTGATTTACCTAATTTTAAATCGAAATTAGATTTATCGGCTTATTTTTCATAATTTTAGATTTTGTAATTTTCTGTAAACCCCACATTTTTGGAGACAAATTTCAATTTTTGGCATTTATACAATTTTTCAATCACCAAAGTTTGGAACATTTTTAGTCAGTTATAAAAATAATTTCGTTAATTTATAAAAACTGTTAAATAGGGCATTTATTATGATAAGTAAATAGATTTTTTCTGTTAAAATGGTTCCAAACTAGTTCACAAAACTCTCAGCAAAAACCTAGTGGACACGGTTCTGAGAGTTTTAATTTTATGAAACTCGCAACTGGCATTTTGGACCCTCTCAGAGAGTAAAAATTCGCGAGTTTCCTCTCAAATGGACAAAGACCTGAGAGTAACTTTCGAGAGTTGCTCTCAGGAAAACTCCCAAATGGATAGGTAGCATTACACACAAGGGCATTTACAGGACAAGGACAACATTTACAAGACAAACGTCATCGTCTATTCATACCCTTCTCGTCCAAATCGTAGAGTTTCTTCTGCTTGGCTTTTTTCTTGTGTTCCTGCTTATCGGCCTCGAAGTTGACCGTCTCGAAGACGGTCTCGGCCACTTCGTTCTGCCACCGTTCCGATATCACCAACGGAAAGTTCTTGTACAACTCCTGATCGGAATCGGTCAATTTGATCCCTTTGGTGTCCTCCTCGTCGAAGGAGCCGATGTCGAAGGCGTCGGCGGCGTTCACCTCGCCCCGCGGCGGTATCAGTGGAGGCGTGTATTTCTGCAGGTAGACCTGTTGCCAGTCGATGCCGGCGAAGAACGGGTGTTCTTTCACCTCTTCGGATCTGCGCCAGAAAAAAAAAATATATATAGGAAATCCATGAGGTTTTTGTAATTGCGGCTGGTTGATGTGATGAATAGTTACGAGTATACACGAGTATACACGAGTTTTATGGCTGGTGTACATACAGTACGTGTCCCAATAATGCGGTAAAGCTCATTTACTCAGTTATTATAATAGATACGAAAAAATGGTAAATAGGAAAAATGTTAAGCACCTTTAGGTGCATAATTTAAAATTATTAAAGTTATTTAATACACTTCCTAATTTTAGAGCTCGTCTGGTTGAGCAGAAAATTGCGATTGAAAATGGCGGTGCTAAGTTTATAAAGCTAGCACCCCCACATTTAAATATTTAAACAAAATAAAAAAATAATATATCGGAATTTAGTGCTATTTTAGTGCTTCCGAATGCACTACTCAGATTTTCATTTAAGGTATTAATCTTATAGATATTTGATAAAAACATTTTGGAGTCGATAGAAAAACAGATAAACATAGAAAAAATACATTTAAACATAGTAATAGGGAAACGATTTTATCTCTAATTTTTCAATGATTTTAGTGCTTATAAAGTAGTTAATGTCAGATTTTAGTGCTCAACCCTTAGTCTGACCTCCAAGAGTAAAGTATCATTAAATCCTTTTTACAATTTCTTCGTATCTATTATAATAACTGAGTAAATGAACTTTACCGCACTATTGGAACACCCTGTATGTACTCGTATGTGTTAAAAGGCAATTACTTAAATAAGGGTGTTTAGTGAGAGAAGGTGCATAACTAGGTAGTATAAGAAAAGAAAGACTCGAATATAAATTAATTTAAAATGGAAACGTTGAGGTTTTGAAATTGTGTGGCGAGTTGATGGGATGAATAGTAAAAGGCAACGAGGGTTATAAGTTATAAGTATAGTGTCTGGAAAATATGTATAATGCATGTAAAGTGCAAGCGTGCCAAAGACAACTTATGAAATGTTAGAGTATATTTTCTCCAAAAATTCAAACGGCATAGGGAAAATAGAATTTTGCACCTTTTAAGATATGTTGGTTAAACTTAACAAATAATGAAATAATAAGATAAAAACGTTAACAATTACTTGCAAATTTGGGCAATTAAAAGAAAAGCCCAATGCTCATTCAGAGAACTCTTGTATAAAGTGTTCTGAACAGTTCTGAAGCGTTCTAAATAGTTCTAGACGATTTTGGAGCATTCTATATCATTTTGGAGTGTTCTGAAAGGTTTTGGAGCGTTCTAAATGGTTCTAGACAGTTCTAAATGATTTTAAATAATTTAAGAGCGTTCTAAACGGTTCTAGACAATTCTAAATCATTCTGCAGCAATCTACATCATTTTGAAGTGTTCTAAATAGTTCTATCTAGTTCTAAACAGGCAGTCCCAAATGATTCTAGACAGTTCTAAATGTTTCTAGAACGTCCTAAATGGTTCTAAACAGTTTTAAATGATTATGGAGCATTCTAAATGGTTCTATATAGTTTTAAATGATTATGGAGCATTCTAAATGGTTCTAGATAGTTTTAAATGATCATGGAGCATTCTAAACAGTTCTGAAGCGTTCTAAAACATTTTAGACAGTTCTAAATGATGCTGGTTAAAAAGAACATACTTAACACATATAAGTTTGTTGAAGGAGGTGCACAATTAATAGGAGAGAAAGAGACAAATATGAATTTATTTAAATCAAAAACCTCGAGGTTTTGTAATTGTGACAGGTTGGTGTGATGAACAGTAAAAGGCAACGAGTGTTAAATGTGTGGTGATAGAAGATACATGTGTGTTAAAAATACTTAACAAATACAAGAGTGTTTGAGGAATGTGCATAACAAATAGTAGAAAAGAAAGGAACAAGCATATGAATTTCTATAAAAAGGAAACGTCGAGATTTTGTGTAATTGTGCCAGGTGATGTGATGATCAGTAAAAGGCCAAGTGTGAGAACGAACAAAACGAGCAACGTTTCGCCATTGTGGCTGGCTGACGTGACGAAAGGTAAAAGGCCAAGTGTGTATGTGGAATTGGCGACACTCACCCGTTTCCTTTGCATCCCAGTCTTTTATCAATGTCCCTTAGAAGTAAAGCTTCCAGTAGCGATTTTAGTTCTTTGCTAAACGATTCCGGTAATTCTACGTTCTGGAAATTGAGAAAAATAATTAGAAAATGCGCTCGCTGATATATGAGAAAACACCCACTACATAAATAACGTGAATAAAATCAACCAATGACATATTATTATAGGGTGTCTCAGAACTATTAGAACATGATTCATCGCATAGTTATTCTGGAAATAGGTCAATTGCCCAACCTTTTCTTGGATCAAATGGGATGGATTATACAAACTTATTCAAAGGGTACCAACCCAATGGTACTTACCATCGTTAATGTCATCCTATCTATTTCGTGTTTATCTTTGGTTTTGTGCTGACGAAAGGGCGAATGGCCCTTCAATAATTTGTACAACATACAACCGAAACTGAACCAATCGGCGCTCGAATCGTACGGGGTACCTTTCGATAATACTTCCGGTGCCATGTAGCCATGCGTACCTCTACAATATTAAAAAGATAATTAAATTATATACTGTACAGGGTGTCCAGAAAATAGTTGACAATAATTCGGGAGCGTATAGATGGCAACAAAATAAGGGTATGTACAACTTTATATAAACTTGGATATAAAACGTAAAAATAAGTTTTAAATTTTCAATTTTAAAGGCCTCTAGCTCAAAAATGGGGGCTCAAATTAAGAAAATTTCTATAAAGTTGTATAAAGCGCCTTTAACTTTAGAGCGACTCTAAATACGTGTCTTTAACTTAACAGTTGTACATTGTTATGTAGTAACTAGAGACTAGAGATCCGACTTTAGAGTCACGCTAAAGTTAAAGTGAGGCGATAAATAAGGGCCATAGAATTTAGTTACAGTTTAGTTGATTAACGAAAATATGCTAGAGTATTCCTAAATATGACGTACAAAACTATTTATAACATTCCTTCATTAAAATTTCATATAAACGTAGGGCGTATGACTGTAGTAAAGTTCAAGGAAATAGAGGTAAAGAGGTCACGACTCCTAAAGAATCTACCCCCTGGTAAATTTTCATTTCAAATCATTACCTCAATTTAGTATATACGTGATATTTAGAAATTCCTTATAATATTTAATCAAAAATTAATTTAAAGCAAGTTTTAATAAACCCACTTTATATTTTCGTCTCTAAATGAGTTCCAGATAATCTACTCTAGATTGTACACAATTCAGTCTTTCGATTTAGTTGTAATAAAAGTTATTATTCTAATGTTATAGTTATCTGGACCTTATCTTAGAGTTAAACATGCCCGTTAATATAATTAATCGTGTGTGATAGAGAGCGTGTAATAATGGACTTACACGCTAGCATGGGGTTTTTTCTTTGAAAAATCACAGGCTAATCCTAAATCAGATATTCGAACGTGTCCGTGTTCGTCTAATAAAATATTTGCAGGTTTTAAATCTCTATATACAATGTAACGTCTATGCATATGTTCTAAACCTAAAAAAAAAGATAAAAAGAAATTAATTATTGTATTTAGCATGTAAGAATATTAATAATTTAAATAAATAGGAAGCAAAATAAAGTTGCCGTTGCTTTTATTAATAGAGCAACAAAAATGACAGATGACAGATGGTCGATAAGGCAGATTACATTGTTGCCGACTTCACGTGAAACGTCACAATAAATAAAAAAAAAATTAAGTTAATTTAAAAAAAATGAACATTTTATAAAGTAAGGCGTACCTAAAATAACTTCAGCGGCGTAAAACCTCATTTCAGTCTCATTAAAGACTCCATGTTGGCTGAGGTGATAATGCAAATCGCCTCCGTTCATCAAGTCCAATATAAAACAGAGTTTATCGGGCGTGTGGAAAGCGTACGTCATGCAAACTATAAAAGGGCAATCTTGACCTGAAACAGAGAAAATATTAATAAAATACGGAACGCGTAATGAAATAAATAAGTAGATTATAAAAGAAAAAAGGCACGATGGTTACAAATTGGATGCATGCCGGCCATATTTAATTTACTTCATTTGTCGTTTAACGAAAATTTACACAAAACGGGTCACTAGATTAGGTTTATAATAATAAGGAATAATTATATTAATATTTAAATCAAGTCGATTCTGTTTGTAATTAACAATATGGTTATTAGCTATTTTGTAAATATATTGTTATCGGAGCAATGTCCTAAGAAATAACCTATTCTGTTCGTGTATAATATAAACTATATGATCTTAATCTGTCAATAGTAAAGATATTTTATTATAAACCTTGCTAATTAAATAATGTCATTTTTGTACTTGCTATTTGATAGCAATATGGCTAATCCGATCTTTTTTCATTACTATGTGAGCTAAGAGTTTACATTTTTTGCAAATACGAGATACAAGTAACCCCTTTGATTTAGCAAATGAAAAAAGTACAAAACCTAAATAAAGTTACAGCTTTAAATTTAATTCAACAGTTGTCAGAAGTTCTAGAAGAACCATTCCGAAGAGATACAACACCTTTTCATCTGCAAGTTGCGCTAATTCAGAAATGTATGATAAAAATAATTACTCATATTTTTTTAGGTTTTTTTAAATATTTTTTAACTATTACTTTCATTTGTTTCTTGTTTGTTTTCTTTGTTCGTCCTTTCATCATTTTATAACAACCGCCTCCGCTTCCACCGCAGAAACAGATGAAAAGCTGCCTTCAATGGCGTCAATTGTAATCGTAAAATAAAAAAAAATTAGGGAGGATTCTTCTTTTTTCGGTTAAACTCGGATAATTAGAGTGCTGTCAGCTTTATTCTTCAATAATGACAGCATGTTTTTAGCAATATGGTTAAGCCTCAAAATTATAACCAACCATGCTAAACTAATCGAAACAGAATAAGAAATTTTTTGGTAATATCGTTATAACTTAAACATATAACAACATGGTTATCATTGCAAGATTCATAACAAGATCGAAACAGAATCGATCTGATTGTAAGTTTTTAAATTGTCACGCTGTATAATCGGTTGGTTTGTATAACCATTTGATTATATGTATACGAAACTTCCGAACGCGGGCCGTATAATACAAATCTAAATACGGACCTGTGCTGACCAAAGACAACATGATCCTTTCGTTGAGCGCCAACGTTTCGCCCTGCTTCATTTTGATCCGTTTCTTATCCAAGCACTTCATGGCGTACATTTTTCCCGTATCCGCTTTCCGGCATCCGTACACTTCGCCGAAACCGCCCCTGCCTATTATCCTGTGTACGCTGAAGTCGTTCATCGTTAACTGCAAACGATAACGATATTAATATACGAATTCGATTGGATTGGATGGATTAAAATTTTTACGTTTTAATTCTAACTATTATACAGGGTGTTGATTAATTGAATGCCGATACTTATTCAGGATGTGAATATTTGGATGATTTTAAAAAGGAAAGTTTATATCAATATGTATTCTAAACCTCTTAGTTTTCGAGCTACAAGGTGTTACAGTTTTAGAAAAAAAAACTTTTCCATCATAATTTTCTTATTACTCCAGATATTTTTAGGAAATTTCGGACGTGGACGTGTATTGGTAATAGTAGAAAATTAATTTTTTACCCAAAAAAAAGTATTTCCATGCATGGTGGGTGCCTACGAAATTTCAAATTTCAATAAAATATCAAAATCAGTCTCAAAATAAACTTGGGAAAAAATGGTTTTGGTTTTTATTTTTTTACGCGAAAATGGTGCGTCGTACGAAAGTAAGTCTTCGGACCGAATTTGCTACAAAATAAATGAGGATTTTAAAAATAATTTTGATTTTTAGAAAAAGCAATGGCGTACCATTTTTTCTTCAAACATATTCAGTTCAGAAACCCCGTACGGACGTCCCTGGTAAAAATTTAAAAAAATCTTTTGCTTTAAAAGATGCTCCTTAATACCTAATTAAAATTTGTGTACAAAATTTCATAAAAATGTTTGGAGTAGTAAGGACAATATAATTTTTAACATCCTGTAGCTCGAAAACTAAGAGGTTTAGGACACATATTGATATAAACTTTTCTTCTTTTAAAATCATCCAAATCTTTCCAGCATTCAATTGATTAACACCCTGTACGTAACAAATCGGAACCTTCTTTTTATTTTTTTTGTATTTATAATTAAATGTTTTCGACTTACTTGTATGTTCAATTCTAAATTTTTCCATTGGCAAAACCTAGTGTATTTATCGCTGAAAAAGAAAAAAAAATTGGATCAATCGATTGGTAAATCTGGATTAAAAAATCGATTCTTTTAAAATAGAACTTCTTTCGAATTTTTGAACGATAAAATTCCATGGATAAATAAATGAAATAGTACAGGGTGTCCCAATTAAGAGTAGCCCCTTTAATGAGCTAATGAATTTTTTACAGGGAACGATTTTGTCGAAGTTTAATTTTGATCGAAATACAAAAAAAATCGATTCTTTTATAGTATCACTCCTTTCGAATTTTCGATCGCGCCATCGACAAATAAATAGAAAATATAGCAATATTTACCTTTCTAAAAATTTTTTAAATGGTTCATCCCTCAGATGCGTGTAAATTTCTTCTATATAAGGCTACAAAATTACAAACATAAATAATTAAAAGCAATTAAAAACAATGTAACAATAATTTGTACCTCGAATAACGTGACCGGCACTTCGTTTTTCGTGAGGTGTTTCTGAACGTGCAGGAGACAATCCTTCGAATAATCCTGCAACAAAAAAAAATCGATCGATACAACTCTAATTTGCGCTCGTATAACGATTAAAAGGGCGCACCGGAATTCCACACCGAAAAATAACAATACCTAAATGCGTTCGATAATACATAAACAAAAACACTGTATAAAAATTGACATTGATGATGACATTTCGTATGACAGAAGTTTAATAGAGATGGTAAACAATTTTCGGTATAGAGGTGCTGGAACGACTGTTACAAAATAACCGTTACTTTTCAAATATCGTTCTCTTGGATACTCTACTCAATTTTAATTTGATAACATCCATTTTACAAGTATTCAGGTGCTCACTTATACTCTATTCACATTTTAAACACGGACGATGATGTAAACAAAGATTAGCGCGTGATCGTTGCTTAATCGGTCACGTGTTTGCCAATTCTCGCAACGCCATTGGATGAAGGTGGTTCTAATGCACTGATCACGCGACAATTATTATTTACATCGTTCGTATTTAAAATATGAATAGAGCACCTATAAGTGAGCATCTGAATACTTGTAAAATGGATAAAATCGAATTAATATCGAGTAGAGAAGAGTATCCAAGAGAACGATATCTGAAAAGTAACGGTTATTTTGTAACAGTCATTTCAGCACCTCTATACCGAAAATTGTACCCCGCCTCTATTAACCTTCTGTCATACGGAAGCCATTGTCAATTTTGACAGTTTATTGTTTACGTACCATCGAACGCATCGTAAATTTCCACTTATTCGCGAACAATGCGAAAAAAATAGTAATTCATCAATGAGTGCATTTTCAGTAGGTTGTGCAATTCACTCAATTATTCATTTCACAACTTTTTAGTACGAGATTTCGGCAAAGGATAAAAAAACATTCACAGATAAAATCGGTGCGGAGTTCCCCGCGGCCGCCCACGATTAGAAACGTGGAAATTTTATAATCTAATCGTTGCTTAATCGATACTTACGTGAGCTCTCGATAACAATTCCTTCATGATGAAGTTATCGTAAATGTCCTTGGCGCATTTCAACCTCTCCTCCTGGCATTCCACCTTTTCGAAGGATTTGATCTGTAACGGAGAAAAAGGATTGACTACGATTAATATTATACTGTAAAATTAGATAGAAAATTTTGCGACCTCTCAATGTTATTGTAATTTTTTTTATCGATTTATACGTCATGTTTTTCTTTGGTCTGGTAATTTAATATACAGTAGAATCTCGGGTAAACAACCTAATGTGCCGGAAGTAGACCTAATTCGTAAGAAAATTGACTAAGATTGATTTTATTTTTCATCGATAATTGATTATATGGACGTAAAAAGAAAAAAGAGATGAGTCGCGTTTGCAGTTTTTTTAATTTTTGAGAAAAGTATGTGGATTATACTGTAATTAAAACTTCCTAAATATGTATGTTTATAGAAAAATTCGACAAAATATGGAAACGACATAATTCGGAAAAAATCTCTAAATTTACGGAAATTCTAATAAACTCGGCAACAACGTATTTACGAAAAATATCGCTAAAACTACAAAAAATATATTTACAACAAAAATCCTTAAATTTACGGAAATTGTACTAAACTTGGCAACGTTGTAATCACGAAAAACTCTAAATCTATGGAAAATGTACTTACCAAACTAGGCAACATTTTATTCAAGAACAAAATCATACATTTACCGAATTTGTACAAGCTTAGCAACAGTGTATTTATATGAAAACAAAATCCGAAATCTAGGGAAATTGTGCCAACCTAGGCAACGTTTTATTTACGAAAAAAATCCCTAAATCTACGAAAAATGTACCAAACTAGGCAAAATATTACTCAATAAATTTACAGAAATTATATAAGCTTAGCAATAGTGTATTTACATAGAAAAAAATCCAAAAACTACAGAAATTGTGCCAAACTAGGCAACATTTTACTCAATAAAAAGAAAATACTAAATTTATGGAAGAAATTGTATAAGCTTAGCAATAGTGTATTTACATGTAAAAAATCCAAAAACTACGGAAATTGTGCAAACTAAACAATGTTATATTCACGAAAAAAAAAAACCTAAATCTACGGAAATTGTACAAATCGTGGCAACACTCTATTTACGATAAAATCCCTAAACCCAGCGAAATTCTTTATTCTAGTGGCATATAAAACTAAATTGTCGACATACGTACAGACATACCCTTTCAACATAAAACCATTCCCTAAGAAGTAAGTACAATTGTAAATACCTAATAAAAGATACAAAATCGACTATTTATTATTTCGCTACGCTATTATTTCCTTCTGTAAGCCGAGATGAAATTCGAGATAAGATATCGCATCGAAAAGAAAATCCGATGCATTTCGAATATCCCCTTCCAGACGTTTTCCGGGACATCCAGCGTGCACTCTTCGCCTTTATATTGCCCTTTCGAAATCGATAAATTAAATATCTCTTTTCCATGCACGGGCAATCACGGTCGCCCGCCCGTACACGCGGGAAATGGGAAATGGGAAATGGGAAACCGGATATAACCGAGATATTATTATTTCGTTTATTTTCTATCATACAATATGCGTACTTTTTTTTCTATTATTTTCCGTTCGATCGAAAGTCAATTCGAGAACGCGGGAATTACCTGAATGGATTCGGGCCCGTTCGATTTTCGATTTCCTCGCTAAATTGATACCGGGAAATTTGCTCGTTTGTCGTGAGGAAATCGCTCGAAATTTCCGACTTTTCCGACAGAATCCTGAATACGGTCCCGTCTCTTCGATTAATTTTTAACGACAGGACCATACACATCACAATCGATATACAATAATCTCAATCATGCAGGCTGGTGTTTTTTACCTAAATACACCAACTAGATTGGAAGAGAAAAAGAGAGAAATAGAAAGTATAAATGCAAAATTGAAAGTGTAATAAAGAGATAGAGAGAAAGAGAGAAAGATAGTATAAATAAAAAATTGAAAGAGAAATAATGAGATAGAGAGAGATAAAGCGAGAGAAAGAGACAGGATGGAGAAAAAAAGGAGACCAGAGGACAAGAGGAGATGACAGGACGAGAAGAGAGAAAAAAAGAGTCAGAAAAAATTAGAAAAAAGGGACAAAGAGAGAAAAAAAAACATGAGAAAAAGAAAGAAAAAAGAATAAGTGAAAAAATGAGAAACAAAAAAGGAGCGAAAACAAAATAAATAAAAAATAAGAGTACGTATGATCTACTCTGAATCTACTCTACTCTGATTCCACCACACTTCACTTTACTCTATAGTCTGCTCTACTCTGAATCTAATTTACTCTGAATCTACTCTAATCTGAATCTAATCTACTTTGAATCTACTCTACTTTATCTACTCCGATATACTCCGATATCATTAGTATTTTCAACTTATTTCCACATCACCATAGATCACCATAGTATAATATAATATTTTATTTATTATTTATAAAAATAATTAGAGAATAAATTAATAATAACAAATTGGATAAATTTTCGTCGACGTTATCTTAATCGGCGGTAAACTAAAATTAGGCGCACGTACGGCGTATACGGGAAAATAATTTTAATCTTATCGAAAGGCACTTAATTTGTCCCCCCAAAAAAAAAGCATTAATTTCTGTATAGCGATTTCGCGTGCGTTTATCAATCACACGATAAAAATATTAACTCCAATTTCTCGCTCGATGTTTTCCCGTTCATTTATACAGGATCATTCACAAAATTACCATCGGTTGAACCGATTTAAGTACTTTTTTTAAAGAAACTGTTTTATGAAAACCTTCTTTAAACACATAAATGCAAAATTGTGTGCAATTGCTGCAATTTGTTGCAATTTACAATTAGTTATGATTATACATACAAATAGGATGTCCCGATATAAAGTTGGATATAAAAGTTATACAGGGTGTCTCATTATTCGATAACATTCGTTGGTTAATTTTAAGTCCAAAAAGACACTCTATACACTTTTGCATAGTATAGAAAAGTCCTTTAAAAGTGACGATTTTATGAAAATTTTCCAAATAAAATTTCAATTTTAACACGTTTAACTACGATAACTGTCATTTAATATTAGTACTGATTCTACAGGATGTCCCATACAATGATTAAATTGGATGTTGAAATCAAGTTTTTTTCTTGTTTTTTCTTTGAAGCTCCTGTAGTTTTTGAGATATTGTTTAGAAACACCCTGTATAATCTCTATTGCAAACTAAAATAAATCAACCAGTATATTCCTAGGGCATTCAAAAACAACACAAAACGACTTCAATATGTAATCTTCATAGAGCTATAAATAAACATTACATTACATAATATTAATCGACACTCGAACAATTAATCGAAAAAAATCCGGAGGAATTTAGCTCGAATGTCCCTGTATATCTGTTGACGTGCTATCGGAAATTATCGAAGAGAAATATATTCAAATTGATCCCGACGTGACGGAAGGGCGTTTTAATGACCTTTTAATCGAATAAAGTTTACGCAAATAAAAATTCCCTCCATTAATTCGCCGTATACAATCGGGGACCATCGTAATTCCCTTTAGTCGACAAAACGCCGAACTCTCCCTTTCATTTATGTTTATACTATAGGTAGCATTTATACTATTTTATTTATACAGGGTGGCCCATTCGAAACGGTTCACCTCAAATATTTTCTTATGAGACAATTTTTTTATTTTTTATTTTTTATTTGGGAATCGCCGAGATCGGTCGATTTTAATTACGAGGGGAAATTCATTTGATTGTAAATTTGAAGATGTAGGTTCAGCCCCCTAAACGGGGTGGCAACCCTTTCAAGAAAACTAAATGACACTATATATACAGGGTGTTAATTAATTGAGAGATACTTCAAGATGTGAATATTTGGATGATTTTAAGAAGAAAAGTGTTTTTAGAAAGAAATTTTAGAGAAGAAAAAAAAAATTTCCATCATAATTTTCTTATTACTCCAGATATTTTTATGAAATTTTGTATACACTTTTTAATTATAAGGAGCATTTTTTGAGAGAAAAGTTTTTTTAAATTTTTACCAGTGACGTCCGTACGGGGTTTGAACTGAATATGATTGATGAAAAAATGGTACGCCACTGCTTTTTCTAAAAACCAAAATTATTTTTAAAATCCTTTATTTATTTATTTATTTTAGTGCAATTTCGGTCCGATTTTGGAATACGTTGTCAGATCTAGTACAATTTTAGTAGATTGGGGTTAATTTTCAAAAATACAGTGTTTCAAGTTTTTAATACAGTTCCGGATAGGTTAGGATTTTTTTGTAAATACAATTTTCCTAGCTTTAGGGAAATTTTTCAAAAATACATTGTTGCCAAGTTTAATTCATTTTCCACAAATTTAGGGATTTTTTTAACGTATCCTTAATTCCTTAACAGTTTCCCAATATTGTTAAATGAAATACACTTCACTAATTAAATTGAATTAATTTTAGATTAATTAAAGATTATTTTAGAATATTTTTATTCATTTAATTGTAAAATTTTTCTTGCAACTTTCTAAGAAAGATATATGATGTAAATAGTTCAGTACAATAGTAAATAGTAGATGTAATTATTTCTTCTTCTTCTTTTCTATTTTGGAGCTTTATCTTTTATAATAATTCACCCAGTTTTATAAATTTTCATTAAAATTTATACGACAGCAAAAAAGGGAGGAATTAATAGTAATTCAAGATTTATTATATTAATTACTTTTGGATTTATTAAAAAATCGATTTAACATTAATCGATAAGCCCTTTCCTGGTGGTGCGTGAGTTCTGAGCCGCCCTGTATATGATACAATTTATTGCCCAACTTTTTGTTACACCCTGTATAATAATGCAATTTTTATAATAATTTAGAATAGGTACATGAGTATAAGAGATTTTTCCCATAAACATAGGATAAAGACGGATCTGCAAGCAGGTTTATCCTCGAGAGAACGCATAAATTTTTCACGATCTATTACGGGCCAAAATAGCCCTGAAAAGGGATGTAATTTTTTTAAAGAAAAGAACCTTTCAGTTGAGAAAGCGTTTCGCAACTTAACTTTTTTTTATATTCGAGGAAAGAGGATAAAAAACTGCATTGTGTACGGTAAAGTTTCATTTACCTGTCGTAGGTAAGAAAACAAAAAAATCGTGAAAAGGGGAAAATGAAAATCCTTTTTGAAATAGATCAAAAAGAATGGACGATTATCGAAACGTGTATGCAACGAATCGTTAAAAAAATACTCTTTTTAGGGTGTGTGAAGTTGGCACCGCAACTGTAGTTCTCAGTAGTTTTGATTAGAGTTCTGGATTCCTTTTGGATAGTTTAGGAGTTCTTTTGTACAAAAAATAATAGTTCTGGTTCAAACCGAAATTTACAATGGAATAGTTCTGATTAGTTATTAGAGTTCTTTGATGTATTTTGATTAGTTCTAGAGTTCCTGAATATTAAATAATAATAATAATAAATTTCATGAATAAACAAGATTCGCAAAATACCATTAAAGTTTCTTGTAGAACTCTTTAAAGTTTTTAATATTTAATTTACTCTGGAGACTTTTCCGGTCATTTTTAATTTAATTTTTTTGGGTTATTCAAGTACAATACAGAGTGTTCCAATGAAAAGTAGCTTGTTTAATGAGCTTAAAATTTTTAAAAGCCTAATTATAAAAACATGTGGTTTTCTCAAATATGTTTTATTTTATTATAAGTTTTGTTACAGTGATACAGAAATTATGCATTAACAATACAGGGTGTTTTATTAAAATCTCCTCTTTTAAATTCACGGTAAACATTTTTTTAAGTGGAACACCCCGTATATGTAGAAGTATTTTGAAAGATATACTCTTCTACTTTTTAAAAATGTATTATTTGTACATGTTATTCTACAAAAGATGTCCTATTTCATAAAATTTGGTTAATGTGAATTTAAAAGTAGGGATTTTTATGAAACACCCTTTACATGCGATACAAAATTTGTGTGTCACTGTAACATATAAAAATTATTAGCTCACTAAAGGGGCTACTTTTCATTGGGACACCCTGTATTTTGTTTAATTTGCCTAGTTTTTAACCCGTTGACTGCCACGACAATTTTCAGAATTCCGGTTTAAAAAGCCAAGGCCATTTAATCATAGTATATTAATACGAGATAACTCGTATCGCGGCATCCTAGCCAAGAACGCAATCTACTAGTTATCGCGTGGAGTTAAGTGTGATAGTGAGCTAAAAAAAACTAATAAAAAAATTAAAAAAATCTGCTTTAAAAACGTTCGCATCGAAAAATCCCCAAAAACCCTACAATTTTTTAACGATTTGGCAACACCGATAGTACAATGTACACATAGTATTATATTCCGTTTGTTTCCCATCTGTATACTGCGATATTGCATTATACGAGTACACACATATGTATACTAAGTTAGTTTGTAAACGTTGTGAAATTGTGTTTGCGGTCGATGATCGAAGGGGTAGATTACATTTTGAAGGGTTGTTGGTTATATTCACGATATAATATGGAAACGTTTCGTCGAATTATTCGCGGGTGGATTTTCCATCAGTCTGGAAAAGCGGAAAATGCCTGCCATTGTTTTCCGATCCTATATACGGCTAGCCAACCCCATTGGCGTCGTTAAAGGGGTGAAAATATGTCAAAAATGTCGAAAATACTCGTATAATTACCATGAATACCATAAAAATCTAATCTACTCTGAATCTACACTGAAATTGAGTCTGCCCTAAATCTACTCTGAAGCTAGTCTGATCTATTAAATGATCATTCATAAAAGATGACTCTGATCTGTTGTACTCTGAGCCTACTCTTAATCTACACTGAAATTAAATCTACCCTAAATCTACTTTGCTGTGCTCTAATTCTATTCTGCTGTACCCCGAACCTACTCTAAACCTACTCTACTCTGCATCAAATCTAAATCTACTCTGAAGCTAGTCTGATCTATTAAATAATTACTCATAAATGATCACTCTGATCTGCTGTACTCTGAGCCTACTCTAAATCTACCCTGAATCTACTCTGCTGTATTCTGAATCTACTTTGAATCTACTCTATACAATGAAACTACTTTGAACCTACTCCACTCTACTCCAAATCAAATCTAAATCTAAATCTACTCTGACGCTACTCTGAATCTAGTCTGCTGAACTCTGAACCCACTCTTAATCTACACTGAAACTGAATCTACCCTGAATGTACTCTGCTGTATTCTAAATCTACTCTGAACCTACTCTACTCTGAATCAAATCTAAATCTACTCTGTTGTACTCTAATGTATGTATAGTCCTTTTCAAGATATAGTAGAAAATGACTTTATAAGCTGATGAGTTTACGACTACCCGGTGCTGTTTAGGGTACACGCCGCACTCGCCGGTCGAATCACGCAGAACCGAATTTTAAGTTTGGTATGTTCGCTGCGGCTAAGCGGCGATACAAAATACTCATTAAATAACATTTCTTAAGTTCTTACCTGGAAATGTAAATACTGTTTACTACCCGACCCGACTGAAGTGCTTCAACGTTCCATTGTATTGGTATTAGGAAAGTCATTACTTTATTGCTATAATCCCTAAGCTCTCACGCCTATTTTCTACTATATCTTGAAAAGGACTATACTCGACTCTGATTCTAGTCTGAATCTACTATACTCTGAATATTCTCTGAATTTTCTCTGAAACTACACTACTCTACTCTGCTATACTCTGCTTTACTCTGAATCTACTCTGCTATACTCTCAATTTACTCTGAACCTACACTACTCTGCTATACTCTGAATCTACTCTACGGTAATATCGCTCGGGAGAGAGAAAGATAGCGCTAGGACTGAACTAGGAGTGAAAATACTCGTGGAAATGAAAAGAGCTAGGACTGAAAATACTCGTATACTCGTATAAATTATCATGAATACCATAAAAATCATGACAGAAAGTAAAAAAATTCAAAAAAATATTGGTCAATTGTCAAAAATATGTCAATGTCATAATTGTCAATAAAAAATTAAATAAAAACTAACTTACTTCTTCGTAAAACCGAAGCTGAGGTACCGGTTCTTCCGAAACGTTCTCGCAAAAATCCTTAAATAGTAAATACCCTGAAACAAATTAAATTCTATTAACGCAATGTAATCTACCAAGATCAATCATGTATACAGGGTGATACAAAAAAAATCAAACCAAATATACCCTTTATACAGGGTGTCTCAATTTAGTTAACGAGATATGGCCGAGAGACATTCTTAGAGGACCACCCTGTACAAAAGTAAGTCCTCGGACTGAATTTGCTTCAAAATAAATGAAGATTTTAAACAAAATTTTAGTTTTGAAAAGTTTTTTTTTTATAAAACTGTAACACCCTGTAGTTGGGGAACAAGAGGTTTAGGACCTACATTAATATAAACTTTCCACTTAAAAAAAAAACTTAAAAAATCACTTAAATATTCACATCCTGTATACAGGGTGTTTCCTAAACATGCGGCAAAAATTCAGGTGGTTGTTCCTTGGACTATTCTAAGAATATTTTGTCCTTTGATGATTTTTGAAAAACCTCTTTGTTTCGAAGATACAGGGGAAACAAAATTTTAGATAATAACATTTTATTATGAAAAATTACATGAAAATTTAACTTAACCTACAAAAACTGTTGAAAATGACCACATCTAGCCAGCATACAAGCATCCAATCTTCTCCTCATCCCCTTTGTTCTCCTCAGTTTAATCTGTATTCCTTTACCATCTGAACTTATCAATTTTAAGTCAAAAAAACTGGCCGTTTTTAGTAATTGGAATGTTGTTAAACAAATTTAAAAATAAATTGTACCTACTTAGTAAACACAGTGCGGTACGCATTTTTATTTAAACTATTATTAATTTTAAAAATATGAAAAATGTTGTTCGCCCTGTATCTTCGAAACAAAGAGGTTTTTCAAAAATCATCAAAGGACAAAACATTCTTAAAATAGTCCAAGAAACAACCCCCTGAATTTTTGCCGCATGTTTAGGAAACACCCTGTATAGTATCGGCACTCAATTAATTAACACCCTGTATATTTTAAAAAGTACCGAACAACAATGACGGCTTCCCGTCCAGAAATGAAATATAAATTGGAAATATAGAGAGGGAATTGTACGCCATCATCGTGGAGAGATGGCTGTTTGTGCTAGAACGTAACGGGCCGCATTGAAAAGGTCTATAAATAAATGGGCGGCCGCCGAGCGATATAGAAAGATATGTATGTAGAATAGAAAGGAAAAAAAAACAACAACACATTACATACACACGACGTACAAAACGAACGTTTTAGCCGTTTTAATGAAAGGCCGGCTTTACATTGTGGAAATTTCGATTTTCGATATCTCCGATTTATGTTATTGTTTTGTTAACAGGTTACTAGATACTACGGGGGCTTCGACATTTTTAATATTGATTTTTTAGTTTGTTAATAAAACGCTCATGATACGTTCGTCAAGTTGGCTACTACCTCAAATTTTCCTTTTTCGTTTCTAGACAAAGAAGGAGAGAGAAACACAGAGAAAGAGAGAGTAAGAGAGAGTAAGAGAGAGAAAGAATGTAAGAGAATGTAAATGAAAAATTGAAAGATAAAGCAAGATAATAAAGTGAGAGAGCGAGACAAAAAGAGAGAAAAAAAGAGAGATATAAAGCAAGGACTAACAGGGTACCACAGGATAACAGAGAAAAAGTGTCTGAAAAAATTGAGAAGAATAAAGGAGAAAAAAGAGAAAAAACACATACATTTTTTAATAAACCAGAACGAATTTAAGAAAATTTAATGTCCATTTCGACTTATTTTTTATGATCTTTTCAAATCTGTCATTATTTTTTACGAACGTTATTTGGTAAAAAAGTTAGCTTGCTTTTGACACATTTGTACAGGAATCCCTATGTCGCATCTTATAAATAACACAGCGTATATGAAACAAAATATCTTGTAAATGGCCGCCACGGCTTTGCTGGCACAAACGTAATCTTTTGATAAAATTTTCAATGGCATTATTGTATACATTTGGCGGTATTTTATTGCTACAGCGTCTAATTTCGGCTTTCAACGCTTAGGTGGTCGCGGACATGTTGGCATAAACCTGTGACTACAAGTAATCCCACAGCCAGAAGTCCAAAGGTGCTAAATCACAAAAACGTGGCGGCCAATTCTGGTCACCAAGCCGGGAAATGACCCGACCGAGAGTAATGTTTAACAATTAAGACGCGATTATGTTCCATATCCAGATCCATATCCAGATCCAATGCTCCATATTTACTAACTCCCAACCCTAGATCAAACAATATATGTCTATGCTCCCAACTGTTAACTTTCGATCTGTCATGTTATAATCCCTATTTATTATGACTGTCAAACATGACAGGCAATTCAAATCTTGCGGTCTTATTGAAACATCCTTTAGAAATATAGGGCCGTGCTGTATATTTAACGAACGAAGCATTGAGAATGACATATGTCATTCATAATAGGTACGCCCGCCGGGGCTACTACGATTTATCACCTGCATGTAAATTGTTATTGTAAATTCGATAATTAAATTACATCGAGCGTTAACGTGTCGATAATAATATTTAATCGCGTATATACCTGCAGAGTCTTCATAAATGATTGATTCCCACGTGACCGAATTCGAAACGAACGTAGTAGATTTGTTATGTTTATGTTGGTACCCAAAAAAATAAGTTACTAGAATACTGTCATTAACGTCAAGACAACGTCAACTCGATGAAATCTCCGTAAAAAAAACGTGTTTTGTTTATTTTTCGTCGTTTTTCCTGTGCTTTTCCCGAAGAAAATTGTGTATCAAAATAACTTTAAATTAATGATAGGTTAAAATAATGAACAAACCTAGTGGATTATTGTTCCTATGCCATTGTGTTGATTTGTATTCAAAATAGGGACATTTCTTGAATGTAATAACAACTGAGCACTTTGGGTTGCATAAATTTTTAGGTCACGTGGGAATCAATCATTTATGATTGATTATGATCAATTGTTTCAAATAATTTCCATGTCAAAAGGGAAAAGATCCTAGGGGAAAGATTGGTAACAATTTAAGTTGGCGTTAAGATTGCAACTTTCTCACTCTTACCTACTGTTATTTTATAATCTTTCTTTGTTCAATTCATAGATTTGACCATATTGCTTACAAATTTGCACTTAACTGTAAAAAATCGATTTTTTTAATTATACAATCGATATTTTGCCTAAGCCAATGAAAATCGACCAATTGTGCTGCAATAATAAGTAATTGTCAGCTTATTAAAACTCGACCATTTTCACGGGTAATTCGATTTTAATAAAATTAATTCCAGTCCGATATATTACAAATAATATGTTACAAATTGGTATTGTATAACAAAGGAAAATTAAATTGGAAAACTTTTCGATTTCCGCTCTATACCCTTTTCCAATGTAATTCGATTAATTAGCATTCTCGATAAACGAATTTATCATATACGGGGTGTCCCAAATTCCAAACGGAAAATTACCGAGTCGTAGATAAAGTACTACCTATACAGGATGTCCCACGACTATGCCTGTATATGGAAAAATGTCTACAACTCTACAGTATGATAATTATAATTATTAAATAATAAATAAAAAAATTACTGGGTTTAGGTTTTCGATTACGCTCTTTTTAATTAAAATAGTTTTAAAGACGGCCGACTTCTACCAAAATTCGACTGTAACTTTGTTATTTTAAATGGGACATTAAATTTTAATGTCACTTTGTGTAATAAGTCCTATACCTAAACCCAACCGTTATCCAAATTTTTAATTTTTTCTGGAAATCTTGACAGATCCAGGTGTGGACTCAATTTTCTTTTGACCCGTACATGCGCAAGGAAATTAAAAATGATTGCCTCTTAAACTTTATAAGGTTTGTACGCGTTACTACACAGTTTTAAATTTTGAAAATTTCATACAGGGTACTGGCAAAAATTCCATGCATTAATTTCCCATTTAAAAAATGTACTATTTTTTTAAATGGAAACACTATTTTTTTATTAGTCTCAAAAAAAACTAAACATAAAATATGACCAATTTGTATGAACTTTGAGATATTTAAGGTTTTAAATTTACCATTATATTTTTTAACAATATGTTTCAATTTTTAAAGTATGCATACTCTTTAGTAGGCTTTGTATAGTGTATAAAATCTAAAAGGAAACTCACCTAATGTCTGATGGAAGATCTTGTCGAAGTTTACTTCGTTCTTTTTCTCCAAATACTTGTGCATCACGCTCCTGACGCTAGAAATTAATAGAAAAAAATCGATTTATTAAAATTTCAATAATATACAGGGTGTGTCGATTTTTTTAAGAAATTTTTACAATTTTTGTTGTAATCGATAAAAAACTGCAAATAAGTGAAATTAGTGAAATGTTTTATTCTTTTCAAATTCGACTAGTAATTTTCAAAATGTTTACAATATACGGGGGAAGCTTACATTTTAATAAATACTACAAGTAAATCGTTGTAAAAATTGTACAAGTTACTCTTGTATAAATAAGAATAAAATAAGAATAAAAACATGTATGGAGAACACTCAAATTTTCTTATTATTTACATTCCCTTCTAAATTGCTTTATAGATTATTAAAATTATTAGCTAAAATAATTAGCCAGAAATGCATCTGAAGCACTTGCAAAGTAATTACTATAATAAATAATTATTAATATTTAATTATTTTTCAAACTAATATAAAAATAAAATATCTGAAAAAATGTATAATTATTATACCTAAAATTAGGACAAAAAATAATAATTTGTTAAATAACCTTTATTAAAAAATCAAAAATACCTACAGAAACATGTTTGGAAAATTTTCATAAGTTCCTATTGTTTTCATTCCTTTCTACATTAATCCATTTTTTTATAAATCTATTAGCCAAAATAATTCCTAATGCAACTAAAACAATTAGAAAGTAATTACTCGATAATAAAATTACTGATAAATATTTAATAATATTATTATATTTCTTTAAACGACTTGATATTTCTTTATTATTTGTCAATATTATCCAATTCTTAATAACGGTTGAAAAAATGATAAAAAAATAATTTGAAAATACTGAAGATAGATATTTTCGTAAAAATTGTACAAATTATGTCCTATAAAATTAGGACAAAAGCATTAAAATATCATTAAATAACAACAATAATAATTTCAAAATTACGGAAATATATACATAGATATTAATTTGGAGAATTCTCAAAGTTCCCTTTTATCGTCATATACCTTTATAAATTATTAAATCTATATTAGCCAAAAATAATTTCTAATGTATCTGAAGCGCTTACAAAGTAATTACTAATAATTGGCACTTAATTATTGTTTATTAAAATGACTAGGTAATTAATATTTCTAATATTTGTTAACAATATCAAATGCTTCAATAATTATAGAACAAATATAATTATAGACAATGGGCAATAACAATAAAATTTTAATTTTTGAAAAAGTAGTGAAAAAAATTCCTCTTTGGGACATTTCCAATTAATAATTGTAGAACTGTCTAGAACCATTTAGAACGCTTAAAGCCATTTAAAACTAAAACTCTCAGAACCATTTAAAACGGTACAAAAGTATTAAGAACTGTCTAGAATCATTTAGAATTGTCTAGAACCATTTAGAACGCTCCAGAAACATTTAGTACTGTCTACAACTTTTTAGAATGATCTTTAATCATTTAGAACGCTTCATAACCATTTAGAGCTCTTCAGAACCGGTTAAAATGCCAGAGAATCACTTAGAACCGTCTTTAACTAAAGATTTTGACTAAAATTAATGTAATTTTTCAACTGAAAATCACGGTCTTTCTTTGTCGGGTCGAGAATTTTTCACCTTACCCTTGCATTTATTATATTATCAAATTCATCAATAAGTAACTGTTGAAATTGAAAATTTTTATAAAACTATAGAAATCTTGTACACATTTTTTCCTGAAATTATGAAAGACAAAATCATTTAATAGCCACAATACTTTCGATAAAAACGAAAACAATAAAGTGATGTGTGTAGAATTCTCAAAATTTCCCATTGTCTCAATTCCTTTCTAAATTACAACATAAATCATTAAAATTCATTAGCCAAAATAATTTCTAATGCATCCGAAACACTTATAAAGCAATTACCAATAATTAGCACATAATTATTTTTCCTCAAAACCACCGTTTAATTACATTTTATTTATTACGTTACAAAATATTCATTACCAAATAAACGCATTCCGAACGTATTTTTCCTCGTAATTTCTCCCGAAAGGAATGTCCTCAAGGACAAACCTATTACGATAAAATTTATCGAAGCCCGCATAAAAAAATGCGAATATCGAAGAAATAAAAAAAAAATAATGATTTATAAATATTTGCGCTCGCTTTCCGGCTAATCAACCGATTAAATTTAACAAACTGCCAGATTAGATTAGGTTTTTTTTGCGAGCGAACGATAACGAGCCCCGCGTTCGGGAATTGGGCGCCTTGCGAAAATGCAACCGCGCGAAAAATTATATTTAATATATACAGGGCGCCTCGGAAAAACCCGAGTTTTTCGAGTGTCGAATTTCGATTTTTTTTAATAAAATAACAAATAAAAAACACGTGTCAGTACGCATAAATATTTACTCGTTAAATTCGCAGCAAACTGGGATTTGTAATTTATAAAAAAAGCGTCGAATTATATTTGGAAAACTATAAATACAGACTTTTCAAAATCAATTGAATTTGTAAATAAAACTTCAATAATTAGACCCTATTCAAAGAGCATATTTCATTGAAATTTCTGTAATATACACTTTCAAAAATAATAAAAATTTTAGAGAATAGAGTAGTGTGGAGTAGAGAAGAGTAGAGTAGTGCAGAGTAAAATAGGGTATTGTATAGTAGGTACAAGAGAATAGACTTTTCTAGAGTAGAAGAGTAGAGTAGTGTAGAATAGAGAGAGTATAGGGTAGATGAGAAGAGAGTAGTGTAGAGTAGAGACAGTAGTGTAGATAAGAGTAGTGTGGAGTAGAGTAGAAGAGAGTAGTGTAGAAGAGAGTATTGTAGAGTAGAAGAGAAGAGAAGAACGTAGTGCACAGGAAAAGATATGTGAAAATAGTGTAGAGTAAAAGAGAATATAGTATTTTATAGTAGAAGAGAGAAGAGTAGTTTAGAATAGAAGAGTATTTTAGAATAGAAGAGATTATAGTGTAGAGAAGAGAGTAATATAGAGTAGAAGAGAGTAGAGTAGTTTAGAATAGAGGAGATTATAGTGTAGAGAAGAGAGTAGAGTAAAAGAGAGTATTGTAGAGAAGAAGAGAAGAGAAGAACGTAGTGCACAGGAAAATAATATGAAAATACTTTTCAATTCTCAATCATCAAAAGAAATTACCTAATATTTGTGGTTATTTTCCGAGGACTGCGCCCAGTTTACCTGTCAGATTTACATCCGTCCGAATATTCAACCAACTTTGGAAATACTTTATAAATATAGTCCTTCCAAAATCAATTCGATCCGTACATAAAACTTCAATTAGAAAGCACTATTAAGAGTGCATATTTCATTGTAATTTCCATAATATACACTTTCGAAAATTGTAATAAAAATGTTTGTAAAACTTTCCATTCATACATTCTTATTCCCTACAAATATAGTCTTTCCAAAATCAATTCAATTCGTAAATAAAACTTCAATTAGACAGATATAGCCCTATTAGAGTACATATTTCATTGTAATTTCAGTTTCCATAATATACCCTTTTCGAAATTGTAATGAAAGCGTTTGCAATATTGTTTCCATTCATAGTTTCCCTAACAAATATTCAACCGGCTTTGGAAACACTATAGATATGTTACATTATATGGGGAAATGGAGGAAACGAGTCAATGCTAACTTTGACGTCAGCGCGAAATTTATGCGATATTGCGAAAAGGTAAAAAAATTCACTTACGAAACTCGTAAGAGATCGAAAACACGACTTGTTTATGTAATTAAGATTTTTTTATTATTATATTTTTAATCGTACAGTGCGAACCTTAAATTATTTTATACGGGGGCGTTTAACGCATCAAAAAGGGGATTCCCCCGATGGGACTTTGTACAGAAGACTGGCCAGTTGCGGGAATAGTAAAAGGCCGAAAACGAGAAAAAGGCCAGTCATAAAAAACAAAGCACCCATTGTATATCTACTTTAATTTAAATAATGGAGATTCGTTTAATTAGATTCGTTTAGAGTACCTTTGAGAAAAAAGGATATTAAAACATTCCATAAAATAGTTAATAAATTTTTATTTACCTACCAACTAATTGGATTTTCGTCGGGAGTGAGAAAGAGCCGAATTAAAAACGCGAAAGTTAATTAATCGGCCGGCGATATTGCCTTAATTAAATGCATTAGTGTAATTAATTATTTCGCAAAAAAAGTGTTTAAGGGAAGTACGACTGGTAATTAATTAGGTACTCGATAATATTCAAATAATTTGTAATGTAATGGAAGAGAAAAAAAATTGAAGATTTTTCAAGGTTTTAAGGTGGGTTTTTTTTTAGGCTGCAGTACCTACCTACTATTTCGGTTTTTTTAGGTGATTTTTTCGTGTTTTTCACGATTTTTGATAAAAAAGTGTTTTTTTTAAGTATTTTTCATATAAATAATTTTTGATTTGTTTTTAATTTTAAATTCCCACCGACTTTTATGATTTATTTATGGAATATTTTTCATTGTAAAGGGACAAATAATTTTGTAATGTTGGTAACACTGACATTTCTAATACGCTTCAAAAATAAAATTGTATAAAAAAGCATATTTTTGACGATTCTTGAAGAAAAAGACTTTGATATAAACTTTTCTTCTTAAAATCATCCAAATATTCAAATCCAGAAGTATCAGTACTCAATTAATTATCACCTTGGTAAATGATTTTATAATGGCTTCCTACTTTTACCACGTACTACCTATTTACTTAACATTTATCCTAATAAAGCTCGCAATAAAGGGACGAATAATTTTACAATATTGGCAACACAGACATTTCTAATATCAAAACAGGCTGTAAAAATAGAAGTAGGCATATTATCCCGAAAACCCGACCATTTTTATAGGTGTAGAAATCGTTTTTTCGCAATGTAAATTTAGAAAAAAAATCGTTCCCCGTGTGATTATTGAACTAAGTTTTAAAATTAGCATTTGCTTACAATACAAACTCGCACACACACGTACAGAGAGAGAGAGAGAGAGAGAGAAAACCCGACGCGTAAACTTCGACATTTTCATTTACCATTCGTTTCGCTTTGAAATTGAACATATTTTTTTCTCTAAAATTTCGATCCGCCCAACACGCAACAAAAAAAAAAATAATCGTAATTTAATCGAAAAATTTCACCGAACCGGCAACGTCGCATCCGCCGTTTCTATCCACGATCAAATGACGTCATCGTAAATATGTAAATAACGAACGACGATAATAAAAAATAATATTCCGACAATGAGAATCGAGCGTATATACAGAAAGATTACGAACATTCTGTTACAAAAATACGTATACCTACGTTATTATTTATATCGATATGTCGCAATTGATTCGGTTAATTGATTTATCGAGCGACACAATTATATTGTTTATTACACTAAATCTAGAGACTTTTGGTTTTATAGTAACGTCGTATACGGGGTGTGTTCGATACGTTCCAATGGATAAAATGAGTCGTAAATTGTTAATGAAAATGCAATAATTATTCTTCGCCTAGAGGCCGACTTTGATGTCTTTTGGATTATTTATCGAAAACTTCGACTGTTTTTTTACAAGCGATGATTTTATAGAATGATTTTTATCTGTTAGTAATAAATAAAGCTTAAAAATACAATTTCCAATCAATTATGCAGGATAGATTATGTCAATTTAAAGAGGATAAATGAGAGAAAACGCGTCTAAAGTGTATAGGCAACAGTGTAACTACATCTGTCAATACATAAGTATAAACTTTACTAACCTACATTCGATCTAGAGGGCCGTAAAATTCCCTAAAACCGACTCTGTTAAACAGACATCGAAACGTCAAAACAAACGTCAATTTTCCGATCGAATTTAGCAAAGAAAAAAAAATAGAATCGATTGTAATTATACTACAATAATACGAAAATGCAACAATTATTATTAACGAAAAGGGCCGGAGACGGTCATGTATGTTGTTGTTCGCCTATGCCGACTTGGATGTCTTTGGATTAATTATTATTATATCGAAAACTTCGATTGTTTTCAGTACAAGATTTTTACAAAGCGATGATTTTTTATCCGTTATACATATTTCAATTAAATAAGGATAAATGGGAGAAAATGCGTTTAAAGTGTATAGGCAATACTGTCACTACATCTGTCAAATTTTACTAACCTACGTTCGATCTAGAGGGCCGTAAAATACCCTGAAACCGGCTCTGTTAAACAGACATCGAAACGTCAAAACAAACGTCAATTTTACGATCGAATTTCGTATAGAGAAAAAAAAATAGAATCGATTGTAATTATACTGAAAATGCAACAATTGTTAGCTTCTAACGTAAAGGACCGAGACGGTCCTGTGTGTTGTTCTTCGCCCAGGCCGACTTGGATGAATTATTATTTATCGAAAACTTCGATTGTATTTTTGGACAATATTTTTACAAAGCGATGATTTTACAGTGTTTTTTTATCCGTTATATGTCAATTAAATAACGAAAAATGAGAGAAAACGCGTTTGAAGTGTTTACATAGGCAACACTGTCACTACATCTGTCAATACATACTACGTATGTATAAACTTTACTAACCTACATTCGATCTAGAGGGTCGTAAAATTCCCCGAAACCGGCTCTGTTAAACAGACATCGAAACGTCAAAACAAACGTCAATTTTACGATCGAATTTCGTATATAGAGAACAAAAAAAAATAGAATCGATTGTAATTTACGCTAGACTAATCAAGTAACCGTGGAATTAAAAAAAACTAATTTACTACAAACAAGGGTGATTGACCCTCGACGAACGCAAGTAAATCGAGCGATACGTAATACACGTATATGAGTAAAGAAAAAATGGTGTACCTGGGATCGGGCAGGACCATTTTCTTGCTTGCCCGCGCCGCCGGCGTGCACTTGCTCTTCTCCATGGCCATCAGATAGCTGACATCGGCCAGCACGGCCTCCAGGTCCGCCATTTTGCCGCTCGATTCACCAACAACACCGTCCGGCCTGGCGGTCTCTCACGGGCACATCACGCCGCGACGGAATCCACCCCGATCAGATCGAGCGCTGTCGCGAAACGGAAAGAAATCAACCGAAAAAATCACCAAGGTATCACGCCCGACGGCCGGTCATCGGGTCGAATCCGGGCCAGAGAGAGACCCAGCGGGCCGTCAAATGGCATAACAAACGGCGCGGCTGGTCCGGGCCGAGCCCGATTCGTGCGATCGCTTCGTTCTCGCGAATCTCGGATGCTGGGTGTCGTGTCGTGTCGTGCGATAGGGGAATGCCCGGGGCGGGTGGCTCGAGCTCGACTCGACGACGGTTCGACGCAGACTGGCGAGATCGCGTCGACGACGACGAGATTGACTCATAGGGAGAAGGAGGAAGGAAAAGCGGCGGCGGCGGCGGAGAGAGAGTTCGATTCCGCGTTGTTGGAAATCGGCAAACACGACGCCGGCCGATGTGACGGCGGGCGGTCGTCGGGTGAACTAAAATTGTGTTGGTTTTCTTTGACATTTGCGAAGTTGGTATTACAGGTTTCTACTATTTTGACATGTGCGGTCGGTATTGCAGATTTCTACTAATTTGTAAATGATTGGGAAACTCGAATTAAATTTCGTGTCACTTATTTTTTAAAGATCATAAACGTTTATAGAGTAGGTAGTCTGTGTTTTTTTTGTACTAATAGAAATTTTCATTAGATTTGTAGACATTAAAAGTAACCATATAGCCTTTTTAACTAAACTTTGATAATAACACCATACGCCATTTGGACACCATTGGATATAGGGAATACCTATATGGATCGAAAGGGCTTAAAAATCTCCATAATCTAATGCCTTGAAATAGAGGGTGATTTGTTATCTGTACACTCACCTTAGTCCAAAATAAACTCACCAAAAAAAGAAAAGATGAAAAAAGAAATGGACGCAACATTACTAAAAAAATGTAATTAAATAATCGAAAATAACCACAAAATACACTCCTTTCATCATCCTCATCACCATCACGATGAAAACGATCTAATTGTAAGTCATATAACGCGGCGTTGCGGAGAACTTGGCGTACGATTTAATGACCTTATTGACAGCCTCTAAAAAGTCCTTTTCCGTCGCAACTTTCCTTCTTGCTCTTATCGCAAACATGCCGGCTTCGGTGCAAACGCTTCTAATTTCGGCTCCGGTCGAATTCGGACACAATCTGAAACGATAACGAAAATTACGATAAAACCTTTTTAAATTCTTACGTTTTGAAATGGCAACGGCGCCTTTTTTAAGAAATTTCCACGCAGTTCAAAATGTCCCTAGTGCCAATGTTAATTCTGCCGTTTGCCTATGGGAATTTTAGGACGCGCGATTGAATTGTCGAAGCGTTGTTGCCATATCGTTAGTTTCAAAATTCCGTTATTTGTAGCCGACACGTTTTGATTACAATTTGTTGTTTTTGTGACTTTCCCAGCGATTTTAATGTTTTTCTGAAGGGTTCCTAAAACCTAACCTAAAATATATCTAAAAAAAAAAGGAAATACCAAGAAGTTAGGCATATTTTTGGAATAACTTCTATTATGAAGCCTCTAATTAACGTTGTTCCATCCACAAAATGAACCAATTTATTATAATATTATGATATTTAAAAACCCAATATTTAAAGTATCCTTTATGTTTTATTATGAAATCGGTCGTTAAACTCGTCTAAAATTAGTCAAATAATAATAAAATTAAATGTAAAATTTAAAAATTAACAAAAACCTGTAAATAATTAATTTAATACAAAAACAAACGACGCAAACCAAAGAAAATGATACATTTTCTACCGATAAATTTACAGAAATTATTCAAAATGTATACCGTATTGGAAAAATAATTTATTAATTACCTTATAACTAGTATTTATTTACCAACCATTATCGATTCAGCCCTACCGTAATGGATAATATTTAATTAATCAACCAATAATTACATATTTTCCAAACCAATATCGATCCAGTTCTATCGTAATGGAAAATTTGATACATTCAATTTGAAATATAAACTGAAATATTAATTTTTTTCTAAATATTTTAAAAAACTCTACCTTAAAATAGTGCCTTTAACTTTTCAGGCATACAACTACAAAACAACCATAAAGGCTAAGGACCGATTTCTTAATAAAGCGTTAAAGTGTCCTTTAATAAAAGGAAGCTTTACGATAAAGGGTCCTTTAGGGGCCGATTTCATAATAAAATAAAATTTTCGATATTTTAGCATTTTTTTTAACAATTTTGAAAAATGTTTCCGACAAAACTTGCTTATTTTGAAGCCAGGATTCCGAATTTTCAATAAAAAATAGGGGTTTCTATTTAAAATTTTAAAGTTAACCCCTGCTCCCCCTTAAGGGGTAAGGTATGTAGCTATTCGATATTGGTATCAATGAATAGCTCTTGAAAAATTATTGGATACGTATTTTTTTTTTAATTTTTCATTCACCCTAATTTGCCAGAAGATCGACCGTTTCGATACTTTTTGGACACCCTGTATAGTATACCAGAAAGTTATATCGTTTTTTTACATTACCTAGCCAACAATTCGAAACGAATGTCCCTTTCGACCGACATCGATCTCGCGTGAATTTTAAATATGTGAGAACGTCCTTCCAAATCGGGCAGACCGAATTCGACTTTGCGATCCAATCGACCGGGTCTCATCAGAGCAGGATCGAGCGTATCCGGTCGGTTAGTCGCCATCAGAACTTTGATGTTTCCTCGCGGATCGAACCCGTCCAGCTGGTTGATCAATTCCAACATCGTACGTTGCACCTGAAACACAAAATTATCATCAGCATTTATTCACAATTCATTTAAATTGTTAATTAATTGCGAGAGTAGGGCGAAAAGTTCTAGGCTTGAATCATTTAGAAGTGTTTATAACCATTTAGAACGCTCCAGAACCATTTAGAACTGTCTAAAATCATTTCGAACGATCTAGAGCCATCAAGAGCGTCCCAGAACCATTTAGAACGCTCCAGAACCATTTAGAAATGTCTAGAATCATTTCGAACGCTCCAGAAACATCAAGAACGCTCCAGAATCATTCAGAATTGTCTAGAATCATTTGGAACGCACTAGAACTGTTTTGAATCATTTAGAACGCTCAAGAATCATTTAGGACTGTGTAAAATCATTTAGAACGCTCCAGAACCATTTAGAACAGTCTAGAGTCATTTCGAACGCTCTAGAACTGTTTAGAATTTTTAGAACACTCCAGAATCATTAAGAACTGTCCAGAATCATTTTAAACGCTCTAGAACCATCAAGAGCGCTCCAGGATCATTCAGAATTGTCTAGAATCATTTGGAACGCACTAGAACTGTTTAGAATCATTTAGAACGCTCCAAAACCATTTAGAATGCTCCAGAAACATTTTGTACTGTCTAGAACAATTTAAATGATCCAAAAACATTTAGAACCTTCCAGGTTCATTTGGAACTGTCTAGAATCATTTAGAACTGTCTAGAACCATTTAGAACAGCCTAAAACTATTTAGAACGCTCCAAAATCATTTAGAACCTTCCAGATTCATTTGGAACTGTCTAGAAATATTTAGGACTGTCTAGAACCACTTAGAACGCTCGAGAATAATTTAGAACTGTCTAGAACCGTTTAGAATGCGCCAGAATCATTTAGAATTGTCTATAATAATTTAGAACGCTCCAAAACTATTTAGAATGCTCCAAAACTATTTAGAATGCTCCAAAATCATTTAGAACTACCTAGAACCATTTAGAATTCTCCAGAAACATTTTGAACTGCCTAAGACAATTTAAAATGCTCCAAAATCATTTAGAATTTTCGAAATTCATTTGGAACTGTCTAGAACCATTTAGAACGCGCCAGAATCATTTGGATCCCTCCAGAATCCTCCTTATTAATAATTATTACAAAACTAGATACACCCAGTATGTTTGAACCAATCGAAAAGATGGCTCTCCATACAGAGTATTCGAATTGTTCCTAATCCTTCTAACATTCGCAAAATTAGTAACCTCGTATAGAGACGGAGAATCCTGTCAAAAATTAACGAAAATGTCCAACGAACGAAAATTCTGTCAAACAGTAGGAAATCTGCCCAAAGAACTGTACCCGTTCCCTTACGAGAAAAACACGACGATCCTATCGCTGGAAACGAGCGATTTCAGAAGAGTCCATCGAAGACAATACCCGAGACTGTTCAACAGAAGTTCCGTACAACTCGTCGATCCCATTTTGATACCGCAGAGCCTGAAATTAGTGAGCGACGCCAGACTGGAAAAACGGCATTATTCGCACGTCGGGCTCTCACACATGGATAATTTTTTTTGATAAAACGTTTACGAACAAATGCTAAATTTTATTGCGAATATACGATTACATAATTGCAAGTAATTAAATGAGCAATTGTGCGTTTTTAAACGATTTTTCTAATTATTTTAAATAATTTATGGATTTGTTTCTTACTTCATTTTCTTGACATATACAACTAATAGACTTTCTAAAACCATCTAGAATCATTTAGAACGCTCCAGAATCATTTGGAGCGCTCCAGAACCATTTAGAAATGTCTAGAATCATTTGAAACGCTCTAGAATCATTTAGAACTGTCTGGAATCAATTGAAACGGTCTAGAATCATTCAGAACTGTCTAGAACCATCTAGAATCATTTAGAACGCTCCATAATCATTTGGACAACTCTGGAACCATTTAGACAGCTCCAGAATAATTTAGAAATGTCTAGAATCATTTAGAACGCTCCATAATCATTTGGATCGCTCTAGAACCATTTAGACAGCTCCAGAATAATTTAGAAATGTCTAGAATCATTTAGAACGCTCCAGATTCATTTAGAACTGTTAGAATTCTCCAGAACTGTTCAGAACACTATATTCAAGAGTTCTCTGAAGGAGCATTGGCCGTTTCTTTTAGCTCTCCCACATGGATAAGTTTTTTTGAGAAAACATTTACGTACAATGCTAATTGCATAATTGCAATCTGAACGAGGCAAGTAATTAAATGAGCAATTGAGTGCATTTTTACATTATTTTTCTAATTATTTTAAATAATTTATCGATTTATTTCTTACTTCATATTCTCAAAGTGATTTAAAACAATTTAAAATTAATCGAGAGCGTTTTTAAATAATTTTTCTAGTAACTTAGTACTAATTTTAAATAATTTATCGATTTATAACTCTTACTTCATATTCTCAAGGTATCTTAACTAATCTAATGGCCTTTTACATGCTTGCATAGCCATTAAAATATCAATATTGTTAACCAAACAAACACCTTATAGCTTGGAAAATATGCACTTATACATGCGTTTAAAATCAGAAACAATCAAGTTATACAGCGCGTTTCTGAAATAAGTGGTCAAACTTTGGGAGCAAGTAGAAAGCCTCAAAATATTTGTACCTATGCACTTTACACGCGCATTTTGCGCACTTTCCAGGCTCTACTAATATTAATAATAATAATAATAATAACAAATGCATTTCTTACTTCGTTATCACCGCCCGCTCCGTCATCGAACCTGGCCCCGCCGATGGCGTCGATTTCATCGAAGAATATCAAACAGGCCTTCTTGGATCGCGCCATTTCGAACAGTTCCCTCACCATTCTGGCGCCTTCTCCCACGTACTTTTGTACCAATTCCGAACCGATGACCCTTATGAAACAGGCATCGGTCCTGTTGGCGACGGCCCTGGCGCAAAGCGTTTTACCGGTGCCCGGGGGCCCGAACAGCAGCACTCCTTTCGGCGGTTCGATGCCCAATTTCACGAATTTCTCGGGCTATTACGACAAATAAAAAAGATATACATGCAATAATACATCGTAAAAATATGATAAAAATAATAAAACGCGTACAGGGTGTTCAGAAAATAAATGTCAATAATTCGGGAGCGTATAGATGACATCAAAATAATGGTACAGCTTTATATAAATTTTGATAATTTGAGGCCCCCATTTTTGAGCTAGAGGCCTTTAAAGTTGAAAATTTAAAACTTATTTTTACGTTTTAATTCCAAATTTACATACATACACTGTTGGAAATTAAATTTCGCATAATAGGGAAATCAATGTTAAATTCTTAGCCGGCTAAAATCCAGTCTACCAGTATACATTTCAATAGAACGTCGCGATGAATTCTAATAAATTTAATTGTTCTACTGGATCGCACGCCGCGATTTGTAGAGGTACAAAGTTATTTGTGTTAGGTATGAGGTACAAAATTATTTAGAAACTACAATTAATAGGTTTTTTGGGGATATTTCAAAAAAATGTGTGTATCGGTAGGTACAGTTATGAAATAGCAACAAATCTTGTTAAAATAAGGAAAATTAAGGAAAAAATAATTAAATTTTCTGCTAAAATTACACCTCAGCTCAGTAATATGAGATGACATCTGTATGACAGGTTTGCCTATAGTTTAGCAGAAAGCGGTGGACTATTTTTTAGAGTTCTTTTATTTTCTGTTTTAAAATAATCTTTAAAAAGTTTATTTTTGGAGTTTTCTTTTTATTATTTTCTTATAATTTACTTTCTTTTTCAAGCCATTGTGGCAAAAAGACATATCTACATAATTCTATTTTATTATTAGTGATATTTTTTCAATAAATTATCGTTTAAAAATTCTCATTTCTTTTTAATCGACTCGACGTTCACCCATCCGAACCCGTTTTGATACTGTCGAAGTGTCGAAACCGTCGAAATTATTTGATTTTTAATCTAACCAAGCCAAAGCGCGGTGCGAAGTCCAGTAGAACAATTAAATTTATTAGAATTTACCGCGACGTTCTATTTAAATGTACACTGGTAGACTGTATTTCAGCCGGCTAAGAATTTAACATTGATTTCCCTATTATGCGCGAATAATTTTCCAACACGGTATAATAAAACAGGTACCCCTAATTTTCAATTTGTTCTTGTCATTTTGCCATTTGACAATTTAAAAAAATTCTTATATTTTGTTAACTCTATAAAAGTTCGGCAACACTGCCTATTTGTGACGTGCATTGATATTTGTTTTGAACAAACTATACACAATTTACATCCATAATTAAAAATACAACAAAAAAAAAAGAAGATAATGTAACCTAATTACGCCAAATTTCAAATTAGCATCTTTCAAAAATTTGTCATTAATAATCGCTTGAAAAAAATTTCCAGTGAAATTTAACATGTACCATACAGCATGGACAGTAAGGATTTGAATTTCAAATTGGCATTGCTCAAGTACATACTACTATCGAAAGCAGGTGAGTTTAAGCGAAACTTACGTGCAATAGCGGAGTCTCTACGACTTCTCGTAACTTCTCGATTTGCTCTTTGCAACCGCCCACATCGCTGTAAGTAACGTCCGGTTTCTCTTCCACCTGCATCATAGTAACTGTAGGATCGATTTTGGGCGGTAGCGGTATGTGAATTTGGTACTTGTTTCGATCGACCCTAAAAAATTTACATTAAAGTAAGAATCAAACTGTTCGAAATCATTTGAAAGCGTACAAAATCATTTTGAACTGTCTAGAATCATTTAGAACGTTTCAGAACTGTCTACAATCGTTTAGAATGGTTCATAACTGTTTACAATCATTTAGAACGCTTCAGAACTGTCTACAATCATTTAGAACGCTTCAAAACTGTCTACAATCATTTAGAACGCTTCAGAACTGTCTAGAATCATTTAGAATGATTCCAAACGGTCTACAATCATTTAGAACGCTTCTGAACTGTCTAGAATCATTTAGAATGCTTCAGAACTGTCTACAATCATTAAGAACGCTTCAGAACTGTCTACAATCATTTAGAACACTTCAAAACTGTCTACAATCATTTAGAACGCTTCAGAGCTGTCTACAATCATTTAGAATGATTCAGAACAGTCTACAATCATTTAGAACGCTTCAGAACTGTCTAGAATCATTTAGAGCTGTCTAGATTCATTTAGAACTGTTTAAAAGTACGTAGAAAACGTTTAAAAGTATCCAGGATCTTTTAGAACTGTTCGAAATCATTTAGAATGCTTTTGAACGGATTAGAACAGTCCAGAATCATTTATATTGCTTTGGGAGGATTTAAAATTGTTGATAATCTTTTTAAAACTGTTTTAGAAGGAGTTTAGAACTGTTTAGAATGATTTAAAACTGTTCGAAATCATTTAAGTGTCCAGAATCATTCAGAACCGTTCGAAATCGTTCATTTATTGAGGGAAATTATTTACCCGACTCTCATGCCCTCTTCGATGTCCGTGGGGGCGACGGAATCGGCCAAATCCACCACGAATTTAGCGAATTGTTTCACGTTGATGATGTATTTGGGATCGTCCGTATCGGCGTTGATGATTTTAGTGCAACGGGCCACTTGCAGTGGCTGTTCGTTCTGCAACGTTTGCTTGTCCGCTGCCAAATCCCACAGAGCGGGCGGGGCCAAACCGGTGTCTGATTCTTTTATACCGGTCAGTTCGTTTACGCGTTTGATGATAGTTTGAATGTCCTCTTCGCACGTTTTGATGGTTTTGGTGTATTGCCCTTGTCCCTGGTAAAAGGAATTTTATTACTATACGATCTAATTAATGAAGGTTTTAATAGGATACTTACGTAGGTTTTTAGTAGGGCGATATCTCCTTCATCGAGGGCTGAAAAATAGTTCAAAACGAGTGTAAATTGAACGAATCTAGTTGGCCGATTTACTAACCTTTTATTTCCTTTTCGGGCTCCTCTTTTTGATCTTTGGTTTTTCGCATGTCGTCTCCCAAATGGTCCGGCATGGTGAATTATTAATTATATCCCGTAGAAATGTACTAAAATATATCAAAATTCTCGATACAACCGAAGATTACAAGCAAATTTTAGTATTGTCAACGTTTGACAAGTTGAAGTGACATATGAAGTTTCTTCTTTTTTTGTTTCTATCTGGCCTCGGCCTACGAGATTATTCAGCGAATATATACAGGGTAATGCGAAATACTGAAACTACAAAGAGATTAATCGGCAACAAAAGGTTTAAAAATAAGGTAGCACGAAGTCGGTAAATCGATTTTATTTAACGAATCCCGAAAGGGTTGATGCAACAATGAGAAACTTCGAAAAGGCCATTAAATAGGCGGGTGCGAAAAAAACCACCCTTGTTTGGTCAATAAATCGTCTAGCATATAAAAGTACAAGTGCCTTACGTTTTTAATACCATAAATAATGTCGTTTTTGCAAAAATATTTACTGCTGCACGACAGCAGGGGTGAGTATAATAATTATTTTAAATAAATAAAAAGCCCCCCCGAATCGCGCGCTTCGTTTCGCCGTGTAATATTTTATGTATTAAATAATTTTAAGGAGTTTTCCGCCCACCGGATCGCTCGATCCTTTTATGTAAATCTCGCAAAACGCGCAATTAATTTCGCAATAATTCTCTCATTGCTCTCGAGACCATCGCGTAAGATGCTGCTAGAAATCATCGATAAACTTTTCGCGTTGATTTTCACCATGTTTTTCCGCATCCCCGCGTTTTTCCGCCTGACATCGACCCATCCAGGTAAGGTTAATTATTTGACAAGAAAAATCGACAGTTTTCAGTTCTGCACGGTGCAATATTATTTTTATTGCGACCGATTTTGTGCGATATAATAATTGTAAATAGATTCGTAATAAAGAAAGAGAGAGATTTCGGCGAAATGCGGACGCGCGAAATCCAATAGATTCTTCTCGATATCGACATTTCGAAAAAATCGGATCGAATAAATTGACGGGATAATTTTGACAGGCGGCAAAATGTTCCCGTATCTGGTCGAAGAGAGGGAATGCGAGGACCCGAACAGGGGCCAGTCCTGCGACATTTACGACGATTTCAAGGATAACGACAGGGAGCGAGACTACTACAATCTCGACGATACCGATTACATTCAAAGTAAGGCCGTTATAATTTTGTATCCGCCCTGCAAAAGCTACAGCAAACCTTATTTTTGAACCTTTTATTTGCTCCTATTTAGCCGCCTTATTTATTGATCCTTTGCTCATATTTAGCACCCTTGTTTGCTAATATTTAGAGCGTACTTAGGTGGTGCTGAAAAAATGTTTTGGGGCTGTTTTTAATGGTGGTTGTGAATTGTAGATTCCATGTCACCGGCGCCTGTGAGTCCTCCTAAATCGCCCAACTCGAGGAAAACCCAGAAACTCAAGAACGATGTCTTCGACTACAAATCGAACGCCGCAAAAAAGGTACAAGATTTTAATTCCTGCTGTATTATTTTTCCGGTAAATTCCCTTTTTAAATCCATCCCGGAGTTATATAAATTAATTTCTTTGTTCACCTATGGTAATAAGGTAACGAATTGTAACATCCTACCATTCACTCCATTCTATCTTTACCTAGTCTACAGTATAACCTTCTATCTACATCACAGGATAGATTTTGAAGTTCCGGATAAGAGGGTATGTTAGTTTTTGGATCTATTTACATTTTCTAGGCACTTTAGGCATTCTGTCGAATGTTGGATTTCTTGTATTGCTGGTAACATACTTACAGAGAGGCAACTTGCGATCGCTGCAATCTTTAGAAAGAGATTCTCAATCAATATAATAAGAAAGTAAGAAACAGAATTCGCTTCATCCTCTAGAGGATAGCGGGCGTGACAATTTCGTATGCTCTCTTTATTCCTTACATAGCAAAAGTTCAATTAGCTCTCTCATCGTAAGCTGTATACACTATGTGTGGAAATTTATAGACTCGCTTTTTTGGAGCTTTATAAAATAGGCTATAGCCAAGCTAGAGACGTTAAATTTTAAACAGGAATAGCTTTATATTTTTTCTCAACGCCCTTGAAATAGCAGCATTTCTACATAACTCCAAGAGGTCTAAACACCCATTTGAATGAGGTGATGTATGGAAACGAAACTTTTCTCAGTCTCCCTTTTTTTGGAGACCTATAAAATTGGCTACAGCCAAGCCAGAGATCTTACATTTCAAACAGAAATAACCTCATATTTTGTCTTAGTGCCCTCTAAATAGCATATTCACCAATTAACTCCAAGAGGTCGAAATATCCCTTTGAATGGGAGCGATGTACAAAAACAGAACTCTTCTAAATCTCCTTGGAACCCCATAAAATTGTCTATAGCCAAGCTAGAGGCCTGAAATTTTAAATAGGAATCATCTCATGTTTGTTCTTGATATCCTCTAGGTAGTTTTATTCCCACTCAAGTCCAATGGGAGACACCCATTTGAATGAGACTATGTTTAAAAACAAAATTTTTCTCAATGTCCCTTTTTGGATCCTATAAAATCGTAATAGCGTCCCTTTTTGGAGCCCTATAAAATTGGCTATGGCAAAGTTAAAGACGTGAAATTCTAAGCAGAGGTTGCCTTATGTAGTGTCTTGATGTCCTCTAAATAACATCATCCTCGCTCAACTGCGAGAGTTTAAATATCTCATCGAAAGAGTCAATGTACAAAAATGATCCATTTGGACTAAAAATTTAAAGCTACTAATATTATCTTCTTCAATACTACTCCAGATAAACCCTTCAAAACTCAGAGAATCTCCCAATAAAATGCTCTTCCATCTTTGCAAGTGCGATGAAGATGGGTGCGATAAAGACAACTTTCATTAATGTCATATAAAGGAAAATGAAAGAGTGATATTATGTCATTGCAACATTTCACTCTGACAACTGTCATTTTAGTAATCTTTCTTTGTTCATCTCGCAGAAATGACCATATTGCAAACCGAAATGAACCGAGATTTTGCTCATACGAATAATCGAAACCTTTTCTCAACCTAGGTAGACATGATAGCCCAAAGGAGAGACGAACGTCGACAAAGACAAGCCGACGAAAAAGCCCTAAGGGACCAAATCCATCACATGGAACAGCACGATCCCCATTACGAATTCAGGCAAATGATCAACGAATACAGGAGCGGCATCGAATTCAAACCGCTCAAAGAAACCGATCCCATCGTAGAAAACCAGATAACAGTACGTAACACCCCCCAAGCAGCCTTTAAACAACTAACAGAGCTCCAAATTCCCCTTAGGTATGCGTACGAAAGCGACCTCTAAACGACAGAGAGTTCAACAGGAAAGAGGTGGACGTGATATCGATAGCGAAGCGGAACCAAGTGATCGTACACGAACCCAAGCATAAGGTCGATCTGACCAAGTACCTGGAGAACCAGCTGTTTCGATTCGACTACGTCTTCGACGACACTTGCACCAACGAATTGGTGTACAAATTCACCGCCAGGCCTCTGGTGAAGACCATCTTCGAAGGCGGCATGGCCACTTGCTTCGCCTACGGCCAAACCGGTTCCGGAAAAACCCACACAATGGGCGGGGAATTCAAAGGTACTGGTCCAATTTCACTGTTTATAACTATTGTTTACTTGTTCTTTCTCAAGTGCTTCTTATCCACTACTGAACGTAACCGTGTCCTTTTTTGGAGCCCTATAAAATCGTCTACAGCCAAGATAGATGCCGGAAATTTTAAATAGGAATCATCTCATGTTTGATCTTGATATCCTCTAGGTACTTTAATTCCCACTCAAGTCCAATGGGAGACACCCATTTGAATGAGGCTATGTTTAAAAACAAAATTTTTCTCAATGTCCCTTTTTGGAGCACTATAAAATCGTCTATAGCCAAGCTAAAGGCCTGAAATTTTAAATAGGAATCGTCTCATGTTTGATTTTGATATCCTCTAGCTAGTTTCATTCCCACTCGATTCCAATGGCAGAAACACCCATTTGAATGAGGCTATGTTTAAAAACACAATTTTTCTCAGTATCCCTTTTTTGGAGCTCTATAAAATCGTTTATAGCCAAGCTGGAGGCCTGAAATTTTAAATATGAATAGCCTCATGTTTCATCTTGACGTCCTCTCGGTAGCATCATTACTGCTCTAGTGCAAGGCTTCAAACACCCCATTGAATACAGCGATTTATTAAAAACGAAACTTGTGTCGTTACAGTGTCCCTTTTTTGGAGCCCTATAAAATTGGCTATGGCAAAGTTAGAGACGTGAAATTTTAAGCAGAGGTTGCCTTACGTAGCGTCTTGATGTCCTCTAAATAGTATCACCATCGCTCAACTGCAAGAGTTTCTTTTGCCTCTTTTAAATTTGTCCATACTGTCCTGTGCTGTGCCTTCTAAAACCATCTCGTTTCTGCTCGTTTCTTAAGCCATCTCTGGATTAAATCGAATCGTACGATGCAGGTAAATCGCAGAACTTCAAGAGCGGCATTTACGGCCTGGTGGCGCAGGACGTGTTCAGGTTCCTGACGCATCCCAAGTACTCTCGCATGAAGTTTATGATATCGGTGAGCTTCTTCGAGATCTACGGCAAGCTGGTGTTCGATTTGCTGGCCAGGAAGGAGCGATTGCGCGTCCTGGAGGACGGCAAACAGCAGGTCCAAGTCGTCGGGTTAACCGAAAAAGTCGTCTTAACCGTAAATATATCTAAAAAGCTGGTAATTTTATGTACTTTTATGAATTTTGCGTATCAGGTGGAGCATATCATGGATCTGATACAAAGAGGAAGTACTGAAAGGACGTCGGGTCAAACGTCTGCGAATTCCAATTCTTCCAGATCGCACGCCGTGTTCCAGATAGCCCTGCGGAAAGCGGGTTCGAAGCACATTTACGGGAAATTCTCGCTGATCGATTTGGCGGGCAACGAACGGGGCGCCGATAACAACAAATCCAATCGGCAAACACAAATCGAAGGTACGTTTGTTCGGATCTACAGGGTGTAACAAAATTATAGGCCATAAATTAAACCACATATTCTGGGGCCAAAAATAGCTCGATTGAACCTAACTTACCTTAGTACAAATGTGCACCAAAAAAAAGTTACAGTCCTTGGAAGTTACAAATTAAAAATCGATTTTTTCCAGTTTCTCAAGAACTGTTTAGTATTTTTTCATGAAAATGGATGGGTGGTTCTCCCATTGCAAGAGCAACTTTCTACAAAAAATTACGAATCTGTGCACCCCATAAAATTTTTATGGGCTTTGATCCCTTTAACCCCTCCAAATTTTTGTTTCCGTTACAATTAAATTATTTTTGTCACGCCATTAGTTTAACACATTATTTAGGAAACTTTTTTGCCTCTTAGTACTTTTTAGTACTATTTTTGGCCCCAGAATATGTTTAATTTATGGCCTATAATTTTGTTACACCTTATAGAAGCGTAAATTAAATTAAACGTTTCAGGGGCCGATATCAATCGAAGTCTGTTGGCTTTGAAGGAGTGCATAAGGGCGTTGGGCAGAAAGAACGCCCATTTACCTTTCAGGGGCAGCAAACTGACGCAAATATTGAGGGATTCCTTCATCGGCGAAAATTCCAGGACTTGCATGATCGCTCTGATATCGCCCGGAAATTTTTCGGTCGATCACACGTTGAATACTTTAAGATACGCCGATCGGGTGAGTTTTCTACATTTATTACAATTAATAATAGAAATTATTTCGAAGAATGCAAACGTAACCTCAAAATTCGAATTATATTGACAGTTGACACTAAAAATTATTCTTGACTTCAATAACAATATGGCCTCGACTTATACAAGTTTTGGCCAGCGCAGATTTTGTTTTGATTCAAAATATATTTGTTGACATATTAATCCCTTCTCCTCTTGCTATTTTCTAAACATTTATGGACATAAATTCCTCAAAAAGCGAAACTCGATCGAAAATCGTCCATTCAACATCACTTTCACTTTGAGACGTTCAGCCACAAAGCAAGGCTTGTATTATGAAGTTATTCGGCTATTTAAATTGTAGGTGAAAGAATTGATTGCGGTGGATCACGGGATCGACGACGGCCCGTCGACGATACAAGAGGACGAGGACTACGAGGAGGCCAACGAAGAGGGTAACGAGAACGAAGGAGACGCGGAGGACTACGAGATGAAGGAGGAGGAACGACGGATGCACCTTTCGTCGTTGGAATGGGAATTGAGGGAGAATCAACGGTCGGTGATTCAGAGTTGCGTGGATTTCCACGATACCGCGTGCGATTTGTACAATTCTGCCGATGTTAATGGGTACGATAAGGTGCATTACGCCAAGAAGTGGAGGAATTTGTTGAGTGAAATCGTCGACATCCAGAAGGTGGCTCTTATTAAGGCTCAGGAATTTTGTAACGCGCTTGATCAATATTGAGTATTTATTTCATTTTTTTTTATTTGGAAGGTTCCAATTAAAATATTACTTTTTTTTCTATTTATGCATATACTGATTTTTATGTGAAAATATAATCAAATTCAAAATTCAACTGTGGATTTTTATTAAATTGGCTTGTATAAAAACTCGAATTTAATGAATTTTACAATTTATTTAAAAAAATCGGGTTAAAGGAGTCAATCGTCGAAAAATTTTTAAAACTGGACTATTAATACAGGGTGTCCCAATGAAAAGTAGCCCCCTTTAGTAAATTAATAATTTTTAAACGCCTGATCATAAAAACATGCGGTTTTCGTAGATAAATTTTATTTTGCTATAGCTTTTTGCTACAGTGAAACAAAAATTTTGTATCGCCTGTACAGGGTGTTTTATAAAAAAAAACTCCTTTTTAAATTCACAATAACCAAATTTTATGAAAAAGGACTTCTTCTCTAGAATAACAAGTACAAATGATACATTTTTGAAAAGTAGAAGAGTATCTTTCAAAACACTTCTGTAGATCCGGGGTGTTCCATTTAAAAAAAATTGGTTACAGTAAATTTAATAGAAGAGATTTTGATAAAACACCCTGTATTTGTAATGCATAAATTTCTGAATCACTGTAACAAACTTATAATAAAATAAAACATATTTTAAAAAACCGCATGTTTTTGTGATTAGGCGTATAAAAAATTATTAACTTATTAGAGGGGCTGCTTTTCATTAGGACACCCTGAAATGTTTTATTGTTAATTAATACTTATTGAATTTTTGAACGATAAACGAATCATTAAATGTAACAAAAATGAAAAATCCAAATTGAAGAATATTAAAATCCAGTAATTATAAAATAATACACCACATCTCAAAAGTTTGTAAATTAATTAAACGTAACTTAAACTAAACATATAAAACTAAATACAACAACGAATGTGTGGAATAAAATAGACATCAAAGTAAATATTACCTCTTTTTCTTGGTTTTCTCGGGTCAAAATTGGTCGCATTTCGTTAAATCGCACGTTATTATTTGACTGTTCAAGCAATCTGTGGCCTAAAAAAAATACAAAACAGAAACGTTAAATAATTTCGAAATAAATGGGAAAACAAAAATTTTACACCATCAGAACACAAATTTATACAGGGTGTTCCATAATGGCATGCTAATATTTACGGAAGTGATTCTTGGAACCATTTTAAGGGCGACACTTCAGGGTATATTTTCGTCACAAAACTCTGCAGTTAAGCCATGTCCTAACCTTTTAGAAACACCCTGTATACAGGTTGTGTCACGACGAGCTTAAACTGTATATTGGAAACTACTTATCCGATTTTAATAAAATCTCTTAAAAATCTTAAAAATAATTTGGACAGTCGTACCAGTTCCGGTTGTACCGAAAGTAAGCATCAACTTTGTTATTTCAAATAGAACACCCTGTATATTGAAGTATTTTTGAAAACTACTTTTGAATTTCTACCATTCAACACACATTTTTTACTCCCATATTCGTTTTCTCTTACTTAGGACCCGTACAGAAACTCCCTTAGAGAGTAACGAAGCGTTTGCGGATCTAGGTTTATATGAACTTTTAGTCATAAAAAAACAAGGAATCACCCCCTTTCGGATGTACACGATGTTTTAGGAACACCCTGTATAGAAAACTCACATCGATTTCCGGACAAATCCCGATGAGCGCGTCGGCGTGCGAGAAAAACTCTTCTTTCAACGATATGACGATCGTCTGCAGCGATTCGGTCTTTTCCTTGATGTATTTAGCCACTTTACTGATGTTGGTATTGTCCAAGGCGGCGTCGACTTCGTCCAATACGAAGAACGGCGACGGTTGATAGCTGTGGATGGCGAACAAAAGGGCCAAGGCCGCCACGGTTTTTTCGCCTCCCGATAGATTCGACATAGGTTGGAAACGTTTACCGGGCGCCACGCAATTGTAATTGATGCCGTCCAAATAGGGATCCTCCGGGTTTTCGGCGCCTAGAAGGAAGAAAAAAAAAATGATGAGAAATATAGTAAAGATGTGCGTTCGTGGAAAAGGTGAATTGGTGCGGTTTCGAACGCATTCCGGACGATTTAGAACGAGTTTGTTAATTAAGAATGTTTCACAAGTTATTTAAAACAGTTTAGGTCGAGTCAAAACAGTTCAGAACGAATTTAGCAACTAAGAATGTTTCATAAGGTAATGAGAACAATTTAGGACGATTTAGAAGAGTTCAGAACTGTTTAGAACGATTTGTTTAATTATTTTGGTAAATAAGAAGGTTTCAACGTATTTTGAACAGTTTAGGACGATTCAGAACAGATCAGAACAGTTTAGGACGATTCAAAACAGTTCAGAACTGTTTAGAACGATTTGTTTAATGATTTTGGCAACTAAGAACGTTCCAGAACCTATTTGGAATAGTTTAGGACGATTCAAAATAGTTCAAAACTGTTTAAAATGATTTGATTAATGATATTGGTAACGATGAACGTTCCAGAACTTAATTTGGATCACTTTAGGATAATTTAGGATAACAGTTCATAACGATTTGCCTAAAGATTTTGGTAATTAAAGATGTTTCAGAACTTATTTGGAACAATTCATAACTCGATTGCCCCGAACATAGTTCGAAAATAAACAAACTACAATTTACAACAGTTCAAAACGGCTCATAACGATTCGGAATAGTAAATAACCAAATTCATAACGAATTTGGAATAGTTTAGAATGATTTAGCTTACCCAAAAAAGCCTGGGCGGATTGATTCTGCGCCAAAGCTTTGTAAATCCCGTCGATTTCGTTCGAAACGTGATCGAAACACCTCGTGAACTTGTCGTATCTCTGCTGTTTGACCCGTTCGAAGGCTGTTTTGGCCTTTTTGTTCTGTCTCCGCAGATTCTCGAATTCCTCGTTGGTCGATTGCAATTTACCGCAGGCCAGTTGTAATTTTTCTATTGCTTTCATGTTGGGCATTTGGATTTTTCCCAACATGTCTTTTAGACTGTTGATTTGCTTAATCAATTTGTCGGCTTTCTTTTTAATTTCGTCCTTTTCGTCCAAATCTTTCAGGTCTTCTTTGAGATTTTCGTAGTCGATTTGGATTCTATAAATAAAATGATTCGTTAATTGTATTAATTAACTAAACAAATTATGTACTAGAGATTAGAGTAGTGTAGAACAATGTAGAGAAGAGATAAGAGTAGAGTCAAGTAGAGTAGAATATAGCAATGTAAAGAAGAAGAGATTAGAGTACTTAATGTAGAGCAACGTGTAGTAGAAGAGAGTAGTTTAGAGTAGTGTAGTGGAGAGCAAAGTAGAGTAGAAGAGAGTAGAAGAGATTAGAGAGATTACATTAACGAAACAAATTACTACAACAAATGTTACAAATTACAGTAATGTTGTAGTTTGAACCCGTAAGAGTGTGCAGCATCTTATCTTAAAAAAATAATTAGTGATGTTGTATCATTGCAACTTTCCACTCTAACAACTGTCGTTTTAAAAATTGTTGTTTGTTCAACTCGTAGAAATGGCCAAATTGCAAATTGAAATGGACCATACGGTATAGGCTATGGGTGCGATAAAGACAACTTCCATTCGATAATAACAAAGGAAAAAGAAAGATTGATTATGTATCATTGCAACTTTCTCACTCTAACAACTGTCATTTTAATGACCTATCTTTGTTCAACTCATAGAAATGACCATATTGCAAACTGAAATGCACCATATAGGTTATGTTGTCTGGTGTAAGGTGCGTTTGGCCTTTACGTTCAGGGACACGTAGCCATTAATAACATTGATGTTTCATTTTGTAAAACTTGCCTGGCTTCTTTTTCGTATTGTGCCGTAAGAGAACTGACATCGCTCGATGTAGTTTGGGTCGTTTCATCGGCTGCGATATCTTCCATATTCCCGATGAGCATCGGTATCGATACGTCACCCATCTATAAGATATAATAAATAAATAAATCATCCTTAAATTACAGGAACAAAATAATTTCATTAAACAGTTACAATTTTGCTGCTCCACAAAAGTTAAGGAAGTTTACAAATATTGAGATTAATTTAAAAGTTGCAGGTTTTTTGATCGCCAAATTTAGTATGAGTTGTAGGTGTAGGGGCAAAAAATCCACTCAGATATGAGAGAAAACATTTAATTTCGCAAAGTTCAAAATTTGGTGATCAAAAAGTCTGTAACTTTTAAAATAATCGCTAAATTTGCGAACTTCCTTAACTTTTGTGGAGCAGTTTATATTCCAATATAAGCAAGAATACTGTTTCAGACAAGCACGTGAATAAAAGTAAAGGACATTCGCGCTCGCTAGGCAATGACGTCATTTTTTCCTGTATTTTTTCAAGTTTACGAGTAGGTTTTGTGTTTTTCGTTCGTTCTAGATAGTTTTTCGTGCGGTTTATGTAAATTTATCGACAGTTTCTCCAGAGATTTTCAGTTTTTTTCGACCTATTTTGAGAGGGAACGAGACGATGGAGGCCCTTTTTTCCCGATTAATTCCACATGAGACGAAAGTACTATAGTTTACAATCGTTATTACCAATTTTCAATAAATACAGATCTATATTTTCGATAGTTCAGCACATTGAAATTTATAGGTTAAGTTAAACTTACGAATAGTTTTTTAAATGTATATAGCGTTGCAAATAAACACCTCTCCTGTCAATTGGATTACAGCCTAATGCATTTCTTCTTTTTATTTTTTAATTAATGAAAGTTAACATAACCTTAAATTAAATACATCTGTCAAATCAAGATTTTCATTTCAACCCGGCAACGTTGCAACAGGTTGGCTTGTGACGTCATTGCCTAGCGAGCGCGAATGTCCTTAAGTGGAATTATTTCACGTGAAGTCGAGAATTGAGCCCTTAGACCTCAATTCTCGACTTTTATTCACATGGGAATAAAAAAAAATTGACATGTGAATTAAAATTTTGCAATCTCGGCAAAATAACGCGGATATTTTCACACAAATAGTGTACTCATCATCATCCCGAGCATAATTATTCCGCTCGGCCGGACCACCCACCTTGCATCGCATGAGAATGGCGTGCCGTTCGCTCTTCTTCAATTCGATCTTCCCCTCCAACGATACGACGGCCTTTTGGGCGGCCTGCATGTCTTTGGCGACGACGCCCACTTCGCGCCTGGCTTTGCTCAGCTCCTCTTCGGCCGCTTCGACCTCCTGCTTCTTGCCCAAACGCAGCGATTTCAGGTGCTCGATCTGCTGCAGGTCCTTGTCGATTTCTTCGCGTTGCTTCGCCTCCTGTTTCTTGCACGTTTCCAGCTTTTCTTCGTCGTCGTTGACGGTGCGCTCCCAACGGCTCACGTTGCCTACAAACATTATGCGTGTGATCAGTGTTGTTAAGTAATTAATTACAAGTAATTGAAAAAGTAATTGAATTACTTTTATTGTAATTGAGGCGGTAATTAATTACAAGATACTCAATTGTAATTCATTTGTAATTCAATTACTCCTTTCGTTACAATTACATTTCAATTACATTGAACACAAAAGTACTTATTTAATATTTTCAATACGCGGAAAGTTTAATTCCGATTGCAAATCCCTAAAGAATTATTTAAATCTGACACCAAAGCAAAGTAATTGTAATTGTAATTGATTACATATTATAAAGTAATTTTAACATCACTGCTTGTTGTTGAAAAAGTTGAGTAAACTTAATTTTAACAAAGAAAAAATAATTAAAACCCCTAAAAATTCTAATAATGTACATTTTAACGTTAAAATGTTGGTAGTAAAACGGCGTGCGCAAAAGAGTAACAAAGAACAAAAAAAAATCTTGAATTTTCAACACCCTGTAGATCGTTAACGAAGCGTTTGCGGACCCACGTTTATATGAATTTTTAGTCTTAAAATAAGCCAAGGAATCACCCCACTTTCGGATGTACACGATGTTTAGGAACACCCTGTATAAGAGAGAAAATTTATCCTATAATTAATTTATTTACTTTGCGTATCTCTGCTACGTTCGAAATCCAAATTGCTGGTGATCTTGTTGATTTGCTTCTCGAATTCGAAGCGTTTCTTCTTGCGCTCCTCCTGCTCCCTCAGGTCCCTGTCCTCGTACTGTCTGATATTCTTCACGCCGATCTCCTTGCAGAAATCCGAGAAAATCACGTCTTCCAAACTGTTCATTTTCAATTTGATTTCTCCGATAATGGCTTCGCGCGATTGCATGCTGCTCTCGATCGCTTCGATTTGCGGACTGTATTTGCTCATTTCTTCGTCCAATTGGGTCAGTTGCCTTTCTAGCATGTCCAATTGTTTGGTCTATAAAATTTGTAATGTAGATTAGACATATACAGAGAGGAACGTTAGTAAAGGAAAAGCTTAATACAGTATGACAAATTAAATGCTTACAATGGATAGGGTGTACAATACAGGGTGTTAATTAATTGAGTGCCGATACATTAGGATGTGAATATTTCGATGATTTTAAGAAGGAAAGTTTATATCAATATACAGGGTGTTCCTAAACATCGTGTACATCCGAAAGTAGGGTGAGTGGGTGAGCAAATTAGGACACACGTTTATATGAACTTTTCTTCATAAAATATGACAAGGAATCACTCCCTGAAAATAAAGTCATCATATAAGTGACACCCTGTATTGATTTAAACTTTCATTCTTAAAATCATCCAAATATTCACAAACTGTATTTGGTTCGGCTTCATTTTATAGATCACCCTGTATATTTCGAAATAATTTTAAATTACGCACCTCAAGGTGCTTAACAATTTTCCTATTTATCATCATTTAGTATAATATCTACGATAAAAACTGAGTAAATGAGCTTTATAGCACTACCTATTTCGACACCCTGTACATTGAGCCTTTCGATAATAATGTGCCACCCTGTAATGAATACTTACGGTACTGTCCATGTCGGTTTTGGCCATTCTCAGACGCGTTTCCGTGCCTTTTATTTGCGATTCGACCGTGTTCAATTCGGATTCTTGACGGGCCTTCTTCTGCGATTCTCTCAGCTCGTCAGTTAATTTTTCCTGCGTAAAAAATTTCGCTCGATTAGTCTGAATACCTACTAAGTACTGGCCAATGTAATATGTAACATGTTATGAGTAAAGTTTGGTTTACCCGGGGAAACTGCGAAATATCTAAGAAAAATGGGAAGTGTGAGTTTTTTGAGTTTCCGTTATATTACGGAAAGTAAGTTAGTCATCATAAAGTTTTAAACAAGATGGAAGTGGGGTTAGTTTTTGTCATTTTTCTGTCATTTACAACGCTACAGAATCATCTAGAACTGCCTAGAACAATTTAGAACTATCCAGAATCATTTAGAACTGTCTAAAACCATTTAAAATCCTTCAGAACCATTTAAAATCACTTAAAATGGTTTAAAACAATTTAGAACGCTCCAGAACCATTTAGAACTCTCCAGACTCGTATAGAATGCTCCAGAATCATTTAGAACTGTCTAGAACCATTTAAAACAACTCCAGAATCATTTGGAACTGTCTAGAACAATTTAGAACGCCCCAGAATCATTCAGAACTGTCTAGAATCATATACAGCCCTCCAGAATCATATAATAATTTAGAACGCTTCAAAAACATTTAGAACAACTCCAGAATCATTTCGAATTGTCTAAATCAACTTAGAAAGCTTTGAATATTGTAGCCGAAGCCTTATTTGGAAGAAGAAGAATGACAAAAAACTAACCTCATTTTTATCTTGCTTGTAAGCAACGTTGCCACTTTTAAATTTCGGGAATATACAGGTCGCTCCATTTTTGATCGCAACATAGGTTATACAGGCCATGGGTGCGATAAAGACAACTTCCATTAAACACTTATAAAGGAAAAGGAAAGAGTGACAGTTGTGTAATTGCAACTTTTCACTCTGACAACTGTCATTTTAATAATCTTTATTTGTTCCACTCATAGAAATGACCATGTAGCAATCGGAAATGGAGCAAGGTATAATCGTTGATTACAAAACCATTTGGTTATAAAAAAACTTCTAAATACAGGGGGTTAATCAACAGATTTTATGTCATTTTCTAGTTAAATCAATCGATTACCTTCTGGGCTTTCAACTGGGCCATGTGCTTCTCGTCCCATCTCTTGGCCTTCCTGGCCAAATCCAAGCTACCGCCAGATATAATACCGGATTTCTGATAGTAAGTACCGTCCAAAGCGACAGCGTCGAGTCTCCCTCTCAATTCGTATGCCACTTTCATCGCGTCTTCGGGCGTTTCGCATACCAATGCATTGTTCGTAGCAAACATCACCGCTTTTGCTATGGCGGCCGGTTCGAATTGCAACACGTCGTAGATCAATTTCACGCCTTAAATAATAAAAATAAAATATATTGTACGACTAGGTTAGTCAGTAAAAGGCCGTATTAATGTCAATAATTCAGGTATAAAGCTTAGTTTATATGCTCGCGGATTGCGAATAATGATCCTATTGGTTGATTTTGAAGTTGTCAAATGTCTTATTTTTGTGTTCAAGATTTTTGCGAATTGCAAAATTTTAAATCTAGGGAGCGGGAAAATTGAGTTGATCTTAAGATTTTGTGATCTTCGCAGTGAATTATGTGTTCTGAACATTGCTAGAGGATCTTTTAATCGCATCTCGTGCACTAAATTGTGAAATGTCTCTTGTTCTTTTCTCAATTTAAATATTTCACATGTACCAAATCTTCGGATTCTTTTCCTTTTCAATTGGAGTACTAAAGTAAGTAATTAATTAACACCCTGTACAGGGTGTCCTGCATAAGAACTGACACAGAGCAGGGATATGTAGGGGAGCCAAAAATACTTTGTTTAACCGAAATTTAACTTAATACAGCCAACGTTGTAATTATCGACGATTTTAAGTAACATTGATCGTGAAGATGACTTTATTTATTATTTAGCGTTTTTAAAAATACATCAATTGATCTTTTCTAACTATCAAAAATAATGCTCTTAGTACACTCGCAACAAAACGTATATCAAATTAGTTGTATTAAGTTTGAGTTTTATTGAGATATTAAATTTGTAACTCCACTCTAAAGGCCTACAACTTCTCAGGAATGTAACTTTGTACAAAATTAAGTGGGTTTAAACAACAATATTTTGGGCTCCCCTCCGCGCCTCTGCTCTTATCGGGGACACCCTGCATCATCTCGATTAATCTCGTCTTATATTACGTTACCTTTCGGTTCGGTGATACTCCTCAGCATCTCTTTGATAGGCTTGGTTTGAAGATAATCCAACGGCAGGAAGGTTTCGGGTTCGAGCATTTGCTCTTTGAGATATTTAATGCATTGCCTGCCCGTATGTTCGGTATCCACAACAATGGCGTCCATGTATTTTCCTAGCGTTTTAGTGATGGCAACGTTGTAACGCTTGTGTATCGGATGACACATGTTGATCATTCGATCGTACTGAAAACAATCACAATATTTTACTAAAAATATTTACAGCCTTATTTATAGTCGTCTCCTTAAAGTGATGTTAAAACACCACTAGTTAGTGGACATTAACATTATACTAACAAGCCACTAACATTTCCTATTCATAGTCGCATATTTCTTTCCCACTATACCTTTTCCAGTTGTATTTCAGAAAACGTAAATTGAATTTAAGAATAGTCACTTATATTTCAGAAAGTATCTGCTGTATTTCAGAATAGTTAATTTGATTTCAAAAATCATCAATTGAATTTTAAGTGTAGGGGATCAAGCCCAAGTTGGGTTAAACAACCATACAGTTGGTACAAAACAAATATCAATGCACGTCACCTATGATTTACTACGTCACAAGTAGGCAGTGTTGCCGAACTTTTATAGAGCTTACAAAATCTAAGAATTTTCTGAAATTGTCAAATGGCAAAATGACAAGAACAAATTGAAAATTAGGGGTACCTCCTTTACGTTCAATAAAAATTGAAAATTAAAAGTACCGATCGGATGATGCAACTTGACAGTCAGTGCCTACCAACCTACTATAATAAAATAATAATAATTTAATATACAAACGTTGAATTTTGACAATATAAATTTTTTTGATGATTTAATTCTGCTTTTTAACATTTTCTATAATCCCTTTTGTTAATATTAAATCAAATTCTGCACGTGTTAAGCTTAATCTATTTTGTGTATTTATATTTTTAAAAATTGGCCACAATGCTTGGCAATTATGACGACAGTAGTGTTTGTTGGCCTAGGACACCCTGTATATCCCTCAAAGTCGAGAAATTTTACTCACCACTCCCGGATAATTGCTCTTAAATCTTTCGACGATTTCCTGTTTCTTCTTTCGTCTGGCGTCCTCGTGTTTATCGGTCCTGGCGTCTCCCAATTGCCTCACGACGTCCTCCAATTCCTTCTGGATCTCGTGCATTTTCCCTTTCGAAAAACCCACGTCCGATTCCAAATCCTGCTTCAGTTTCTTCTGTTCTTGCAACGTCTGCTGGCTCACCCTGTAACCCGATTTCGAATTAATTCGATTTAATCAGACATTAGAACTAAAAGACCAAATTGTTTACATTTTTATGTGGCAAATCATTACATTCATACAGCCGGTCCTAACTGATATGTCTTTCTCTCTCCCGCTCATTAGAAATTTTAAAGTAATAACAGTCCGCAATTATATGAGATTTATCAATGAAACATTTGGTCTCTTACAATTAGTTGCAATGTCTTTGGAATCAATGGAATGTCGAATTCCGAAACGAGAATAATCCCTCCCCGTACCTTATGTGCTCCGTCAATTTCTCCAATCTCTTTTGCAGCTCCTCCTTCTCGTTGATCTTTTGCCTTTGCTGATTCTCCGCGTCCGTTCTCATTCGACACACGTTGTCAGAGCGATCCTGATCTGCCTTCTGTTCCCTGTTTACCGAATCCAATTCCTGCATGTATCTGGCCGATCTCTTTGCCGCGTCTTCTTTCAAACGACGGTACGTCCTGATCTAAAAAAAAAACCAAACGTATAAAATTCAATAATATACGGGGCGATTAGGATATTATCTGGATAACTTCAGAAGTTGTCAAAGTTTGTACGTTTTAAAATGAAAATAACGTCATTTTTTGTAATTTCCACGCAGTTCAAAATTTCCCATAGGGTCAATGTTAATTCTGCCATTTGACTAGGGGAATTTTACTTAGCGCGGTTGACATGCCGATGCGTTGTTGCCATATTGTTAGTGTCAAAATTCCGCTATTTGTAGTCGACACGTTTTGACTACAATTACAAATGATGGAGACAGTTCTTAATGATTCTGGGTAGTTCTAAATGATTCTGGAGCGTTTTAAATAATTATAGACTGTTCAAATTGGTTCTGAAGCGCTGTAAATGAATATGGAGCATTCTAATTGATTCTAGACAGTTCTATATGGTTCTGGAGCATTGTGAATGATTCTAGACAGTTCTAAATGATTCTGAAGCGTTTTAAATAATTATAGACAGTTCTAAATGGTTCTAATGCGTTGTAAATGATTCTAGACAGTTCTAAATGATTATGGGGCATTATAAATGACTCTGGAGCATTCTAAAAATAATTCTCAGCGATATTTGCCTTTCTCCTGATTTTTTTTTTTTATTTTATGAGTAGTTTTTGTGTTTTTTGTATATTCTAAATAGTTTTTCATGCGGTTTCTGTACGTTTATGAGTTTCTCCCTCGTTCTTCTATGTTGTTTTTGTGAACTTTTGGTATAATTTTTGTGCGTGTGTATCATAAAATTCAGTTAAATTAATACTCGCGAGTTCGTATCACCTCCCGATGAACTTTTTCATGTTTAATTCTACTAATTGTGATTAAAAGTAAACATACGTAAAATTGAATATAATCCTATTATAAAAGATTTCAATTAAAACCCGGCAACGTTGCAACAGGCTGGCTCGTGACGTAATCGTCATTTTTAAACGTACGAATTTTAACAACCCACAATAGGGCCAAAATTTTGGACTCAAAATGTGATTGGATATTACGAAGCGTAGTATAGATTTAGAAACAAAGGGCATTCGTTAAAAAATGTCAATTTTTTTAGCTCAAGTACACTCAAGAATACTGAGGGCTAGCATAGCCCACAGACACGTCCCCAGAGCGTGGAGTGAAAGTAGAATTACTTTCATACCAAAGCCTGGAAGAAACGGTCATCTACTGGCCAAAGACTTCCGTCCCATCAGTCTTTCCTCCTTCATCTTGAAGACTCTGGAAAGACTGGTGGATACGTATATCAAGCATAGGACTCTAGCAGCGCGCCCCCTGGCCCCCTCTCAGTACGCGTACAGAGCAGGGAGGTCCACGGAGACCGCCTTACACCACTTGGTGGGAAAGGTAGAGGCGCAACTAGAGTCTAAAGGATATGCAATAGGAGTCTTTATGGACATTGCAGGGGCTTTTGATAGCACCTCTAATGTAGCCATAAAAAAAGCAATGGTCAGCAGAGGGATACCCGAAACCCTCACTGACTGGACGCAGGCCATGCTTAGAGGCAGGAAACTGTCAACAAGCATGGGAACCGACCAGGTAACAGGACGTCCAACCGGCGGGTGCCCGCAGGGGGGAGTACTCTCACCTCTGTTGTGGTGCTTAGTGGTGGATGAACTACTGGCAAAACTCACAGAAGCAGGACTCTCGGTATTCGGCTATGCAGATGACATAGCCATAATAGCCAGAGGAAACTTCCTACCAACACTCAGGGACATCATTATGAATGCCCTGAAAATCGTAGAGGACTGGTGCGCTGCTGTTGGCTTGATGGTAAACCCAGAAAAGACAGCAGCAGTAATCTTCACCCGGAAATACAAACTCCAACCAACAAAGCCGTTACAGCTTTGGGGGGTGGAGATCCCTTATTCCAATACAGTCAAATATCTGGGAGTCCACCTAGATACAAAACTGAATTGGAACACCCACCTCGAAACAAAGAGGAAAAAATTCTACAGCACAATGTGGGCTTGTAGAAGAGCCATAGGAAAAACCTGGGGATTAAAACCTAGGGTAACTCTTTGGCTATACCAAACGGTATTAATACCAAGATTCCTGTATGCTGCAGTAGTCTGGTGGCCCAGGGTAGAATTGGTGGGGAATCGGAACCTGTTAAGAAGCCTGCAAGGTAACTACCTGCGGGCTGCGACAGGGGCCATGAAAACCACACCAATTGACGCGCTAGAAATAGCGCTCAATATTCCACCCCTGGACCTAAAAGTGACAAATGTCGCCCGGCAGACAGCATACAGAATGAAATGTCAAGGGGAGTGGAAGGAAAATGGAACTGGACATACCAGGATACATGTCCTTCGAAACACACCTTTTACATTAAGACAAGACAGAACCTCTAAACAGGTTATGATTGAACACACCTATAGGGTAAAAATACCAACCAGAGAAGACTGGAAGGAACAAAAACCGTTGATGGAACATCAGGGCGAAAACTGGTACTCCGATGGCTCGGGGTGTGGGGACCGCCATGGATCGGGCATCTACGGGCAAAATACCAACTACAGGGAGAGCATATCCCTGGGTGAACATGCTTCGGTCTTCCAAGCCGAAGTATTTGCTATACTGAGATGTGCAGAGCATCTCATAAATAATGGAGCCACACATTCCCGAATAAATATTTATTCGGATAGCCGCGCTGCCCTAGAGGCACTGGCGAAAAACACCACGGTCTCCGCCGTGGTGCGGGACTGCATGCAGAACCTCGCCAGGTTAGGGGCTGAGAATATAGTGACTCTAATTTGGATCCCTGGACATCAGGGAATAGAAGGCAATGAGGTAGCCGATAATCTAGCCAGAGAGGGGGCCATGGAGCAACCTGGTAGGCAGATAGTTGGAATGCCCTTTGCAGAAGGTAAACAATACCTAAACAAACTCCTAGAAAGGGAACATCTCGTTCGATGGAGGAACTCGACAGGCTGTAGGGTATCCAAACAGTTCATGGAAACACCCTCAAAAGAAAGGGCAACCGAGCTCTGGGCTATGGACCGTGACAGGCTGAGCAAAACGCTTGGACTACTCACAGGACACGTAGCACTCAGAGCGCACCTATACCGCCTTAAAATAGTAGAGCAGAAAACATGCCGTCTATGTGGGGAGGCTGATGAGGACAGCATACACATACTGTGTCACTGTCCAGCATTATCCTTGCGCAGGTATAATACCTGGGGAAGGACCTCATTAGATCCTAGCGATCTCAAAAACACAAGGGCATCCGAACTGCTGAGGTTTGCAAATACTTGCGACCTCTGGCAGAATCAATGACCTTGGGAAACAGCGGGAAACTACAGAGGATCATTAGATCTAGGTGGTCACGGGGCTGGAAAGACCGCCCGCATAAAAACAACAACAACAACAACAACAACACTCAAGAGTGACCGTTCCTACGACTAAAGCTTACCCGAGTATACTCGGGAGTAATCCTAGTACGTAAGTCTTAAGCTAATTTAACACGAATATGTAGTTCGATTAATTCTACACGTACTTGTTCATCTTCCAATTGTACGTCTTTCCCTTGACTCTGGGACTCCCCCGTGATCTGAGCCTCGTATTCCTCCTTCTTCTTCTCAACCAACTGGAGTTCCTTCTCCAATTTCTCAATGTCGTTCATGTGGGCCTCGTTGGCCTTCTTGGCCTGCTCCAAATTCTTAATGGAACTCTCCAGTTTCTTTTGCATATGGGACACCCGCTCCTTGGCTTTGATGAATTGGGGCCGTTTCTTCGATATCTCCGCTTCGGACTCGCGAATGTCCTGCTCGTATTTGGCCAATTCTCGATTGCATCGGCCGAGCTCCTTTTTGTTCTCTTTAACAGTCTCCTCGAATTTTTCCTTCTTCTTTTCGATCTTGTCGAGCTCCTTTTGCTTCGATTTGATGTCTTGCTCGAGGTTCTTCATTTCGCGTTCTTTGTGGTAGAGATTGAACAGCTCATACTCCACTTGTTTGTCGTTCTAAAAAACGAATCGAATTAATTATTTATTGATAAATGTGCTTTTTCGAGCGTACCAATTCGTCTTTTAAACGCGCGTATTTTTCGGCCTCTTCCTTCTCCATTCTGGCCTCTTTCTTTTCGGCATTGATGCCTTTCTTTTTCTGATAGGCCAAATTGAGTTCTTCTTGGGCTTTTTGCATATCGTTGTAGAGCTTGTTGAATTCTTCTTTCAAAGCACCAGAGCTGTAATATTATTTTTTTTTAATTAATTTTGGAATTATCTCCAAAAACGAACTGTCATACCCACTGATCTCTTCAAACAGAGAAGTCATTTCTTTGGGATTTTTCATGGCAATGGATTCTACAGCTCCTTGGAATACCAAGAAATTCTTGGCTTTTACGTTGATCTTTAGTTTTTCTAACTCGGCTAGATATTCGGCCGAACTGACGATCTGAAAATCGAATCAAGAGTTTCATTATGCTCTTAAAGTATAAATAAAAAGACATACGTTGCCGTTAATTCTGTATTCTGATGATGAACCTTGTACGGATCGCTGGAAGGAGACTTCTCTGCCATCATCGATGATGAATATCGCAGTAACCGAAGCACTGGAAATTAAATATACTTAGTGTTATTATTGTATATTAATTTACTAATATTACCTTCTAGAAATAGGTCTACTAATTGAAGCTCCGTGTATCAAATCGCTCAGCCTTTTCACTCTCAAACACTGCGTTTTTTCCCCCATAACGAAACTAATGGCGTCCATAAAGTTCGATTTGCCTGAAAATTTCGACAAATACTTAATAAATACCGGTATAAATAAATCGGTAAGTGAAATGTAAGGTTTGTAAATGGTAAAGTTTAGTACTTGCCTGAACCATTGGGGCCGATAACCGCTTGAAACGGTTTCAAAGGCCCGATGACTTTGTGGCCCTTGTAGGACTTGAAATTTTCCACTTCGATCAGTTTCAGTCTCGCCGACATTTTGCTTATTATTTTCGGCTTTTAATTACATCAAAATTGTAGTTTTTAAAAGTAAGGCGCTAAAATAAACGACTTTTTTCTACACACATCAACGCTTCATTTTGTGTGGCTTCGCTTGTGACGTCACGTCAATCGGCCTGTCAAATGTCAAACCGCTGGTTATGTGGTAGAATACGCCAAGTAGACGAGGCCCCATAAAAAAAAGAAGAAGAAATGTAACAAGTAACAAGTGTCAAAAGTGTCAAAAATAAATATGATTTCCAGATTATCGTTAGCAATTTGTGAATTTTAGAGCAAAAATTATAAGAGAAATAAAGTTTGTTAACGATACATTTCTTAGAAAACTGGATGAGTAAATTTTACGTACCAAAATGGCGTTAACCATATGTAGATATTACAAATTCATGAAGCCTTTTTCGACGAATAAAACCTCGGCATGCCCTTTAAATCAAACAAATCCACTAGGAAATTCCCTCAACACCGTTAATTCCATTCCAATTCAATTAGGAAATTCGCTTAGGAGATATTTAAGCATGGATCATTTCGAATCGAACGATAACAGACCGGCCGTCTCTAAACTATCACCCCAGGAGGTTAGTGGTTACAATAAACAATAAAGAAGATAAAATTCAAATATTTTTTAGGTAGACGTGATCCTCCGAGCGAATCAATACACGCACGAGTTTCACGAAGGCAGCTCCGTCAAATCGTACGATTCCAATCAATTGGCTTCGAACAAACCCATCGAAGACACCAGAGCCGAAGCTTCATGTCTATTAACTACAGGTTGTAGTATAATTACTAGATTCATTCTAATAGTATTTTAGAGTAGAACAGTCGAGTAATATTCATTTAACTTATTCTAATAGGATTCATGTTCGGTGTGTTCGATGGTCACGGAGGCAGCGCCTGCGCCCAAGTGATTTCGAAACGCTTGTTCGACTACGTAGCCGCCCGCCTGTTGCCCTACGACAGCCTGTTAGGCTACAAAAACACCTATAAAAAGGAGCCCAGACGACTGATCGACTCTTACAACGATAACGTACAGTTCGTAGACGACGTTAGAAAATTGTACGGGGACAGTTTCGATAGATTCCTGAACGATTTGGCGAATGTAAGTAAGTAAAGTTAGATTGAACGTATGTGATTGTGTGTACCTACTATAATGTAACGGGTAATTGTTGTTTTAGGAGGGGGCTGTAAAGAATTTCGAGATGCCCGATGCAATGGAGAAGGCTTTTCTTCGATTGGACAAAGACATCGGTGACGAGGCGTTGCCGAAGGTGGAGAAGGAACGGGTGAATTTGAAGACGATGTCCGTGGCTATGTCGGGGGCGGTGGTGTGCTTGGCACACGTGGATGGGCCCCATTTGCACGTGGCTAATGTGGGGGACTGCTCGGCTGTGTTAGGTAAATTAATTTACCTAATTTAGATTGAATATTGCGATTATCTCAAAATTCAATTTAGATAGAAAGTCGCTGTTTGTTGTATTTTGGCGAAAATATGTTTCTATACGATTTTTGGAGAATGGAAATTTTTCGAGAATCGTTTAATTTTTGAGATATTTCGAGTTTTTTAATGGATTGAATTGAAATTATTCATATGGATGAATTAGTAATTGGATGAAAATTAGCGATTTTCTCAAAAAGTAATTAAGTTAAAAACGCCTAACGTTTCATTTTGTAGATAAAACGTTTCTCTACGATTTTCGAAAATACCTTAATTTTTTGAAATATCTCGAAATTTTCAATGGTTGCATCAAAATCAGTAATTTTAGTACGAATCGATGAAAAATTGTGATTATCTCGAAAAGTAATTAAGTTAAATATAGCGAATATGATGCAATTTGTAGATAAAGCGTTTCTCTACGATTTTCGAATAATGGAAAATTTTCGAAAATGACTTAATTTTTGAATTATTTTGAGTTTTTCAATGGATTGCATCGAAATTAATATGTAATTTTAGTACAAATCGATGAAAAATTGTGATTATGTCGAATGGCAATTAAGTTAGCAACATCTAGTAAGTTTCAATTTGAAGATAAAACGTTTCTCCGCAATTTTGGAAAAATTAAAAGTAGTTCAACTACATTTTTAACTACTCTTAAAATGCTTTACTTTTAAAATGCTCCATTTTTAAGTTATTTCATTTTTTTTTTTTCGATTTTTTTTCTAAAAACGATGGAATGGTTTTTTTATATCTTTGTTAATAATGCACCTAGAACTTTGAAATTTAGTATCGACGAACACCTTTAATAAGCTTAAAAAGACAATTTATCTTAAAGCTCCCTTTTGGTCAAACCTTCCTTCATTTTTTTATTAAGAAAGAAATCATTCCGTAAATCCATCAACACCATTTCAGGTAGCCTATCGGAGACGGACACCTGGCTGGCCAACAAACTAAACACCGAACACAACGCCTACCATCGCGCCGAAGCCGATCGCGTCCTATCGGAGCACCCGGCCTCCGAGCGTCGTTCCCTCCTGCGGGCCGATCGCCTGCTGGGCCAGCTGGCGCCCCTTCGAGCGCTCGGCGACTACCGCTTCAAATGGCCGTTGAAGGTGATGCGCGACGTGGTGGTGGCCGCTTTCGGCGAGGGCGTCGTGCCGCCCGAATACAGGACGCCGCCGTACCTGACGGCCCGGCCGGAGGTCGTCTACAGGAAACTGACGGCTAGGGATAAGTTTTTGATCATCGGCACCGACGGCTTGTGGGACGTGGTGACGCCATTGCAGGCCGTTAGGTTGGTGGGCGAGCACATGGCCGGTGAGTTCGATTGGGTTTGTACCATAGGCCTATTAACGTCCGTATGCACCGTTTATAGAGATAGACTCGTTTTTATTAATCTGGTTTATCTACATAAAGGGTGTGTCACGGCGAGCTTAAACTATCTGTATATTGGAAACTACTTATCCGATTTTAATAAAATTTGGTATGTACCACAAGTGTACCACAATTCATCATTGCCACTATTCATAAATGCGACTATTCATCACACTTACTTAAAAAATTTGTATAATACAACAAGACTTTAGAAATTAGTTTTTATTCGTTTCTTGGATTCTTATTTTCTTATTCATATTTTCAACAATATCTACTTTATCAACTACTACATCTACGTTATGATCCATGTTTAAATTTTTGAAAAAAGCAGCGCAAAAGAAACAAAACTCGGTTATAAAGCAAAAGCTGATCACAAGTAATCAAAATTGGACAACTTATCCTAACCTTATCGCAGGATATGGGTTTATATTGGGGAAACGATGTAGGAAAGACTTGTGATATATTTTCATCATGTGATTAGTTTTAATCACATGGTGCTTTGGAGAAATTGGGCATTAGAAATGTCTAGAATCCTTTAGAACGCTCCAGAATTATTTGAACTGTCTAGAACCGTTAATAACGCCCCAGAATTATCCTCCTCTAAAATTTCCAGGCAAAGTGACATTGGAACCGTTGATTCTACCCCGAAGGAACAACATAACCCTATCCGAGATCGAAACGATGTTAAAGAGAAGAAGAGAAGGAAGACGGACGAAGCCGAGAGACGCCAACGCCGCGACGCACGTCATACGACACGCCTTGGGCGCCGGCGAATTCGGTTTGGATCACGTCAAATTGGCCAAATTGCTGTCGTTGCCCGACGACGTCGTTAGAGTGTTTAGAGACGATATTACCGTGACTATCGTCTATTTCGATTCAGAATATTTGAGGCATTGTCCCGCGTAGGGATGTGTGTGTGTGCGTATAGATACAGGGTGGTACGTTTGTATAGGAGAGCTTATGTGTAAATTTCAAAGTACTTTTGTCTAAAATGCATTTTCCAAAAATGCATACTTTTTGAATTATTAATTTTTTTTTTGAAAATTTGACCGATGCAGGCACTTATAAATTATTTTTTTGTCATTTATCAATATCATTTCCATAGAAATCACTCTCTAAAATATCTCCGTCTATTTTATGAACACCCTGTATATTGAGCTTTTCTAAACTAATATGCCACCCTGTATATATTCAGATAGTGTTACCAATGTCAATTCGATCTTGTTTGTGTGATTTGGAATGAGCTGTATAAAAATGTGTGGAAAAGAACGTGTCATTACATTGCGTTAGGATAATTTTTTCTCGCAATTTCGGAATTACTAATTGCGAAAACTTCGAAATATGTTGGTTTTTACTTAATGTGAAGGAAACTGTGATATTCGAACGTTTGATGTATATGAAAAATAAATTTAACTATTACCTACCGTACTATACAGGGTGTTTTTTAATAACAAGGTAATACTGAAGGGGGTGATTCTTGGGTCCATTTTAAGAAAAAAACTTCATATGAACCTATGTCTTAACTTTTGAGTTAGAGGGTGTTAAAGTTTTAAGAAATAAATCAATTTTTTTACTATCATTTCCATACCACTTTAAATATTTTTATGAAATTTGGTATACGGCGTTTATGCATTAAACAGCATTTTTTCATGTAAAAACATTTTTTTTATTTCAAACAGTGGCGTCCATACTGGACTCGTGGCAAATATTTTTGAGGGTAAAAGTGGTACGCCACTGTTTTTCCTTGAAATAAAAATTATTTTTGCATTCAAAATGCATTCATTTGTATGCTACCGCTTCAAAAGCCGCTGTGCAGAAATTAATAAATAAATAATAAATTTTAGGTTCAGGACATATGTTCATATAGTTTTTTTTTAAATGGGTCAAAGAAACACCCCCTTCATTATTAGCATGTTATTAAAAAACATCTTGTATATCAGTGCTTGCCAGTTATTTCGTGTGTTCAAAAATACTAGTCGGAGATTTTGAAATTGTCGCAGAAAAGTTGTGTTTTTTCCATTTTTAATTTCCACCTGAATTGTACAATTTATTTTAGAGTGTATGTTGGGAGATTTTATTTATTGAATCGTTTTATTTAGAGTAGCTCAGGGTGTTTATATGTTATAGCGAATTTCGAAAGATTTGTGAAACTATTAAAATTGTAAATAGTAAATTGTTTAAAATTTATTTACCTTTTATTGCCTGCGTATCAAGTAAATCGTATAAAATTGCTTTCTTTACTTCATTTATACGCGAAATTTGATTTATTTTATCGGATGAAAATGAAAAACGAAAATTCTTCTTTTTACTACACGACCCTTTGCTTATACGCATCCAGCCAAAAGCAAGAGTTAATTTCTGTCAAATGTCAAAAATAGATAAGAAGAAATTCACACAACATAACCCAATTTTAGAGTCCAAGTTTTTCCCATTTTAAACAAGAAATAACTGAAATAAATAAGTTCGAGTGCACGAGTGTTGAACTGTTTAATACATAAACAATTCCGAAAACGTAGAAATCGCATATTATCGTCCATTTCCATTATTTTTTGAGTTTTTTTCCACACAAACAAAACCTAACCTCACAATATCCGCGTTTCCGAACCCCCACGTGTCCGGTCGGTCCCAGTGCAAGCCAAACAAACCCAACCATGGAAGAAACGGCCAACATAAAGAAGAAAAAGCCGAAAAACCTCAGCAAAATCCAAACGGAAAACGAATTTTCCCTGGAATCCTCCGACAAATCGGCCAAATTGGACTCCTCGAATTGGCCCCTTCTACTGAAGCACTTCGACCGCCTAAACGTAAGAACCAACCACTACGTACCCATAACAAACGGCTCGTCGCCATTGAAACGAGAAATATCCGAATACGTTAAAGCCGGATACATCAATTTGGACAAACCGAGCAACCCCAGCAGCCACGAAGTCGTCGCCTGGATCAAACGAATCCTGCGAGTGGAGAAGACCGGACACTCGGGCACCCTCGATCCCAAGACCACGGGCTGCTTGATCGTATGCATCGAACGAGCCACCCGTTTAGTCAAATCCCAGCAAGCCGCCGGTAAACAGTACGTGTCCGTGTTCAAACTACACTCGCCCGTGGAGTTCAAGAAGGTCGTGCAGTCGCTGGAGAAGCTCAAAGGGGCCTTGTTTCAAAGACCTCCTCTAATATCGGCCGTTAAGAGGCAACTGAGGGTGCGTACGGTGTACGAGAGCAAACTGTTGGATTACGATGAGACCAGGAATATGGGCGTGTTCTGGGTGAAATGCGAGGCGGGTTCATACATTCGAACCATGTGCGTACATTTAGGGCTGCTGGCCGGTGTCGGAGGCCAGATGTTGGAGTTGAGACGAGTCAAATCGGGCATACAGGTACAACAACACAATACAAAGTGGTATAACTTGTTTTACATTGAATTGTTTTTTTAGGGTGAAATGGACGATACGGTCACATTACACGACATCCTCGACGCCCAATGGCTCTACGACAACCACAAAGACGAATCGTTCCTACGTAGGGTGATCAAACCGCTCGAAGGGCTCCTGATCAAGCACAAACGGATCATAATGAAAGACAGTTCGGTGAACGCCGTTTGTTACGGGGCCAAAATTCTCGTGCCGGGCATCCTGCGCTACGAAGACGGCATCGAATTGAACGAGGAAATCGTGATCGTGACCACCAAAGGCGAGGCCGTCGCCCTGGCCATAGCCCAGATGACGACGTCGACGATAGCCAGTTGCGATCACGGGGTGGCCGCGAAGATCAAACGGGTGATCATGGAGCGCGATCTGTACCCGAGGAAGTGGGGCCTCGGCCAGCGGGCCAGCCAGAAGAAGATCTTGATCGCCAAGGGGCAGTTGGATAAGTACGGGAAACCCAACGAGAACACCCCGAAGGAGTGGCTGACGAGCTACGTGGACTATTCGGCGTCGAAGGAGGAGCCCGAGGATAAGAAGAGGAAATTGAACGTGTCTTCGGACGGGGAGCAGAACGAGAAGAAGAAGAAGAAGAAGAGGAAGCAAGAGGATGAGGAGGACGGTGGTGGGGTCGTGGAGCCCAAAGTGGAGGTTGCCGATGAGACGGTTGAAAAGAAGAAGAAGAAGAAAAAGAAAGATAAAAAGGGGGAGAAAGAGGAAGCGGAAGAAACATAATTAAATATTTTTTTATATTTAAGTAAGTTTCGGTGTAATTCTTAAGTTTATATTATATAAGTTTTCGCGACTCGTAGGATTGAATTGTTGTAAAAAATGAGTTCTTACAGTTGGTATAATCTATTTTTAGATTTTTGTTATTTTTAATAATTCTACAATAAAAAATTAATAAAACGGGACGTCCTGTATGTATTTCGTTTTCCTCATCACACGACGAAAACAATTAACAAATATAGTCGGCAACTAATGGCAATTATTTTTATCTACTATAAATCGCTAACGTTAGCAAAGCAAATAGTAATAAACATTTATAAATAAATATAATGTACGATGAATTCCTATATTAAATTGTGTTAATGGCTGTATCTACGTTTTGTTTGTTTGTGCAGTTCATTAAATTAGTGTTTATTAGAATATAAACAAATCGTAATAATTCACACGTTGGAATTTTTCCATTTTAATTCAAGCTTTGTATTTCTGGTGTTAATTGTCTACTAACGATCGAAGTTATAAGTTAAGTGTATATTTTAATTCATTTTGAGTGTACATTTTGTGAAAAGTGTTTTGAAAAGATGCGCCCGGAGAATCAAACGCAAAAAAGGCAATTTTTCAAGCAAATGCGCCGATTTTTTCGCAATCACAACGATATGGCTGTTAAATTGAAATATTTAGGTAAATATTCCGGTTTTTTAATGCATTTTATGTTCGTTATGCCCGGTCACACCAACGACAAATACTCCGGTTAAGTATTTTGACGTTTCACCAACACTTTTAATCTTTAGTTAGCTATTTAATAGTTAAAAAAAATATTTCTGAAAAACCAACCATTAGAATTCAAATCTTTCCAAAAAATGAATTCGAACTGAATTGTTCAGGTTATTTTTTGGTTTTTGTCACTCTGTGACATGTGAGTATATTGTTATTTTATTAGGTTTGTTCCTACAACAGTCAGAAATAGCCGGTGGTCGTCAGGAGTCTGCGCAGTAATAATTTAGGCGTTCCAACAAACTCCACAGACATCTCTGATTCTGACTTGGTTAACAATTTATTGTTCCAACAGTTTAAGGGACTGGTTTTGTGATAGTCAGAAAAATTTGCTGATAGTACAGAGATTTAGAATCCGGCGCAAGCGCATTTTTAATTTGAGTTTAATTTGTATTTCTGAATATAGGTTAATTATTAGGTTTTGTTGTTTGTTGTTTTTGTTTGATATTTGGTGAATATATGTAATAAATGTAAAGACTGTTCCATCAAGAAATCGGAAATTTGATTACACCATTCAATCATAAACCGCGCACGCGAAATAGAAGAGTCAGAAACTTACTGGTAACAAATCAGTGACTTTTTGTAGGAACAAACCTATTATATTTTGAGTTTGAGTTTGGGAGTGATTTTAAAATGGATCGAAAAAGGGAAGGAAGCAAACATTACTTGGAAGAGGAGAAGAAAAATTTAATAACGAATCTTTCTTTCTACAAAACAATTCCAGGTCGTCTATATAATGAAAATCTTCATCAGATGATTTTTGAAGATGATGCTAAAAATCTAATAGATAACTTTGAAATATAACTTAAAAAGTACATAATATGTCTTATATCTAATATTCATTATTTTCAAACAAACTAAAAATACAACCAATAAATTAATATAAAAATTTACAATCATAAAAACACTTGCTAGAAGTCTACACTTACTAGTCTTGTTCTCAGACATCAGTCCTAACACTATTTCAAAATGTTCCTAGTCAATTCTAAAATGGTTTTAAATGATTCTGAACAAATCTAAAATGATTCTAAATAGTTCTAAGTTAGTCCTGAAGTGTTTCAAATGATACTAGTCAATTCTAAAATGGTTCAAAATCACTTTGAGACAATCCTAAAGGATAGTTAATGATTTAGAAGAGTTTTAAATAGTTCTAAGGTAGTTCTGAACTATTTCAAATGATAGAAGTCCATTAAAATGGTTCAAAATGATTCTATAATAGATTGGTTGCACTAGTGCTGATGATATATTGTTCAGAACTGTTGTGAACTGTTCTAGTCAATCCTAAAATGGTTTTAAATAATTCTCGACAAGTCTAAATTAAACTGCAGTTTTAAATGATTATAAGTAAAACTGTCTTGAACAATTTAAAAACCTGAGCAAAATTTCAAAGAGATTCAATATACAGATTGCTCCATTTTTCATTGCAACATAGGCTATGGGTACGATAAAGACAACTTCCATTAGACACTTATAAAGGAAAAGGAAAGAGTGACATTTAGTCATTGCAACTTTTCACTCTGACAACTGTTATTTTAATAATCTTTCTTTGTTCAACTCATAGAAATGCCCATGTTGCAATCGCGAATGAAGCACGGTGTATATACGGCTATCTTTCTCCCACTCGAGCGATTTTACAATGGTCAGATACTCTCTTTCTTACACATTTGTTTCTCCGATGTCAATATTGCAACAAGACGATCTAATATTTAATACGCTTCAATGGAAACAAAATAGCGAAAATAAAATATAAAACTTAACTTCCCTTGACGGAAAGCAAAAAAATTCAATTCATGAGTACCTAAATAACCGCATAGTAAAAGACCACCTTGAATCACAACGGTCTTCCTCAAAATCAGCTGATTTACGACAACGCGTCACACACGTCACTTGTCAAATCGACGTAGTGTCATTAAAAAAATAAAAACAATGAGTTTACTCGAACGTTTTTCGGAAATGCAAGTGATTTAACGAAATCGTCCCGTCATTTTTCGCATACGCGCACCGATTAGATAAACAAATAAATAAATGTGCGTGGCTACCAGAGACATAATGGATTGTATGTTCGAAGCTTGCTTGGAGGCCACGCTGGAGCCCGACGACATACCCAAGACGACCGAGCCCGTTTGGGTGCTGGGCAAACGCTACAACGCCATTCACGGTAAATCCGTCTCGAATCCCGGCGAATTTTCCGCTATACAAACGATCGATTTCCGTTTTCCAGACATCAACAAGATCCGGCAAGACGTCGTTTCGAAGGTGTGGATCACGTACAGGAAGAACTTCATACCGATCGGCGGCAACGAGGGACTCACGTCGGACAAGGGCTGGGGCTGCATGCTGCGCTGCGGCCAGATGGTGCTCGCGCAGGCGCTCGTCTCGCTCCATTTGGGCCGCGACTGGCTGTGGGACCCGCAGACCGCCGACCAGACCTATCTGAAGATCCTGCGGAAGTTCCAGGACAGCCGGCAGGCGCCGTACTCGATTCACCAGATAGCGCTGATGGGGGCGTCGCTGGGGAAGGCGGTGGGCCAGTGGTTCGGGCCCAATACCGTGGCGCAGGTTTTGAAGTAATGGCCTGGTATTAATTAAAAATCGGTAGATGCTTGATACTTACGGTTTCGTAAGTAAATACTGATAAGTATATTAATGAAGTTTAAGTACAGTTGTATTAAAAAAAAAAGGTAAAAGTATTAGAAAGATTCTAGACAGTAACGTCATCCTATTTGCGTAAAACCGGCTAGAATTATTGTAGCTTATCAAATGTCATATGTTAAGTCATTGGAGTTGGGAGTCAATTAAACGAAATAATGACCAATGATACTTAAATTATTTACATTTTTGACAACTTTTGACATTTGATAAGCTCCAATAGTCCCAGCCAGTTTTACACAAATAAGATGACGTTAATGTCTTTCTATTACTTGTACCCTTTTTTTTTAATACAACTGTATAAACTGATAATTGAACGGATAAATTTGTACTTATGCTGATCACTTGTTACTTAAATCTACCGATTGCTTCAATTCAGACCACAACATGGTCATTTCTATGAGTTCAACAAAGATAGATTAATAAAATAATTGTTGTAAGAGTGAAAAGTTGCAATGACACAAATATCACTCTTTCTTTTTCCTTTATAAATGTCTAATGGAAGTTGTAAATAAGAATATACTTAAAAATAATCGGTATTAGCATCAAAGTATCTGCATTTCTTTTTTAATATACACTACAGTATTTACTTAATACTTATGCTGATACTTATAGGTAAGTACATATAAGAAAATACTGATTTTTATTAATACCACCCATTATGTCGTTTGATTGGGGGGAATCGGGTGTTTTACGAGTTAAATACGATTACTCTTGAAATATTTGAGATTGATGGTGTTTTTGATGAGTATATTCGATTTGTTGCAGGAAATTGGTAAAATACGATGAGTGGAGTAAATTGACTATTCACGTAGCTTTAGACAACACGGTTGTGGTTTCTGATATAAGTGAGTAAATTTATTAAAAGTAAAAGAATATTAATAATAATAATACAGTTGGTGTATTAAAGGGTGCTCCAAAAAGGTTGTGCCAAACTTAAGGAGGTTATAGGTTACATTGTGGTGAACAATTTTTTGCAAAGATACCATTGCCAAATTGTTCTAGTGAATTCTAAAATGTTTCAAAACGATTCTGAACAGTTTTGAATAGTTCTTAGAAAATGTAATAAAATTTCCATCTTTTTTAATTTCAGTCGAATTATGTTTAACGAAAAACAAATTAGACGGCGCGAATTTGACGAAAACCGATTGGAAACCTTTGCTGTTGATTGTGCCTTTACGTTTGGGACTCACCGAAATCAATCCTATTTACATTAGCGGAATACAGGTTAGTAAAATTACCCAGAAAAAATAAATTTAACTGTTGGCATCGGTAGACTGTTTTAAATGGGCCACCCTGTACAAATACAGGATTAACAGGATGTTAATTAATTGAGTACCGATTAATATTTGTATGATTTTATTAAGGAAGTTTTTATTAATATATTTACCCTATTTTTGAGCTACACGATGTTACAATTTTAGAAAAAAAAGTTACTTTTCTATCATAATTTACTTATTACCTACTCTAGATATTTTTATGAAATTTTGTACACACTTTTTAATTATTAAGGAGCATTTTTTGAGGCAAAAGATGTTTTAAAATTTTTACCAGTGACGTTTTTTTCTCTAAAATTGTAACACCCTGTAGCTCAAAAACTAAGAGGTTTAGGACATACAGATTGCTCCATTGTTCTTTGCAACATAGGCTGTGGGTGCAACAAAGACAACTTCAATTAGACACTTACAAAGGAAAAAGAAAGAGTGACATTTGTGTCATTACAACTTTTCACTCTGGCAACTGTTGTTTTAATAATCTTTCTTTGTTCAACTCATAGAAATGCCCATGTTGCAATTGCGAATGAAGCAATTTGTATATTGATACAAATTTTTCTTCTTAAAATCACCCAAATATTCACATCCTGAATAAGTACCAACAGTCAATTAATTAACACCCTGTATGTCCAAATTAAATGTTAAATGTAATTTTTCAACAAATTTAATGTTTGTGTGTGTATTATTTTGTTGCAGAAATGTTTCCAGTTCAAGCAAAGCTTGGGCGTAATCGGGGGTAAACCGAACGTGGCCTTGTACTTTATTGGGTGCGTGGGCAAAGAGGTGATCTATTTGGATCCGCATCACACGCAGAAAACTTGTACTGTAGACGATAAAATGACGGACGAACAAATCGAGGCGGATTCCACTTATCATTGTAAATACGCTTCTAGGATAAACATCTTGCGAATGGATCCTTCCGTCGCTATGGTAATTAATACGTTGTTTATTATTTAATAAAACTAATTGCACATATAAGTTCGATTAAGCTGGCAGCTTTTCATTTAATTCACTTTGAAAAAGTGCTTTAGTATTGAGAAATAACTTTTGTTGAACTTTTTGGACGGTCTTTATTTTTGAGACACCCCGTATTCGTTGATCCGTATTCAGAGCTCTTTTTAAAAAGTTATACGCACGGGATTAATTTGACATTGACAGTTTTACATTGTTGTTATGAAGTAACTAAGAAGATTCTTTCAAATTGACAGTTTTACATTGTTGTTATGGAGTAACTAAGGACGTTGTTTACGTTAAAGAGACTGTTTAAAAAAGAAGCGCAGAATACGGCCCATTAAGTTTTATTAAAACAATGTCAAATATTTTTTGATTAAAACATCGAAAGTTAAATCGCATTTAATAATGTTAGTTTGAATCCGAAAGATTGCGCAGCAGCATCTTCTGCGCTTGTGCAGATAATTGCAAATTTCTAAGCAATATTATTGTTATTTTTGTTCTTTGTATAGTTATTTTGTTTTTTGTATAGTTATTTCAATAGTTTTTCTTTTTTCAATTCACAGAATTGACCAATTTGCACACAAATTTGCACTTATCCATGTATATTTATAAAGTGAATACAGTGAATACATTTGATTGGGTTCTTATTTTGTAGTGCTTTTTCTGCAAAACCGAAGCGGATTTTAACGAGTTTTGTCAGCGAGTGAAATCGGATTTAATCGATCCCGAAAAGGAACCGATGTTTGAAATATGTTATAACAAACCGAAGGAATGGTCGCCTACGTTGGAAAATGCAGTCGATGCGGGAAATGCCTCATTTTCAGGTATCTATTAATGTAACGTCTAGTAGGCTGGCATAGGAATGCTGACAAGTGCGAGAGAGAGAGAGAGAGAGAATATATAAATAACTAGTGTATATTGCTCGAGTGGGAGAGAGATCGCACATTATAACTAAATGTGTACTTGCTCATGTTTTTTAAATTTTTCAGGACATATTTAGAATCATTTTGAACTGTTCAAAACCGTTTAGGATTCATTTTGGTTCAATCAACCATTTTGGTTTGGCCAGAAACAATTTTTTTCAAGTTCATTTTGAGACTGATTTTGATATTTTGTTGAAATTTGATAGGCGTCCACCATGCATGGAAAAACTTTTTTTTGGGACAAAAATTAATTAAGGGACCGAAATTTCTTAAAAATATCTGAAGTAATAAGAAAATTATGATAAAAAAGTTTTTTTTTTCTAAAATTGTAACATCCTGTAGCTTGAAAACTAAAAAGGTTTACGACATATATTAAAAAAAAAAACTTTTCTTAAAATCATCCAAATATTCATATCCTGAAGTATCGACACTCAATTAATTAACACCCTGTATTGGCATAACGTAAAAAATTAACAATTTATAATTTTTTTTTTGGTAGATTTCCAAGGAACGAGCGGCAAATTTTTCGATTCCGATCACGAATTTGAAATACTTTAATATCGGCGTAAAATGTTTGTGTAAAATTTACCCTTACATTTGCTGCTGGTCGGAAAACTCCGGGCGAAAACGGCCGGAAAATAAAGCTGTACAAAATAAATTTCCTTAGTGCTTATCGAATGACGTTGATGCGCATTTACTTGTTGTACATACATTGAAAAAAAATCGATTGTTATATATTATATAATTTTCGTATGTATATTATTATTATTATTATTATATGTTCATTAGGTTTTTTTATTTATATCGAAAAAAATAATAATAATTTCGTTTGTTACGACTGTTTCTAAGCGAATAAACTCTTTTATCATTACAAATGCGTTTTATTTATTTAAACATTTCCGAAAGGATTACACAATAAAAATCGAGTTGGCACGATGGCAACAAAATGTTCACTTAAATGCTCTTTTAATATACAGGGTGTCCCAATGAAAAGTAGCCCCTTTAGTGAGCTAATAATTTCTAAACCCTAGTCATAAAAACATGCGGTTTTTGCAGATAAATTTTATTTTGCTATAATTTTTTGTTTCAGTGGCACAGAAATTTTATACCACCTGTACAGGGTGTTTCATAAAAATCCCCTCTACTAAATCCACATTAACCAATCTTCTTTTGTAGAATACCATGTACTAAATAAATAATACATTTTCGAAAAGTAGAAGAGTATATCTTTCAACATACCTTTACATATACGAGGTGTTCCATTTAAAAAAAATGGTTACTGTGAATTTAAAAGGGGAGATTTTGATTAAACACCCTCTATTGGTAATGGATAATTTTTGCGTCACTGTAACAAAACTTATAATAAAATAAAAAATATTTGAGATAACCGCACGTTTTTATGATTATTAGGCGTTTAAAAATTAGAGGGGCTACTTTTCATTGGGACACCCTGTAAATAAAAATTTTTACAATATTTATTAACAAACTAGAAAACACGATTACAATTTATTCTAAACGAGACGAATCATCACACAAAATCATTTTCATAATATAATTTTTTTGTTTTAAGTTAACAATTAACAAGTATCACAAAAAAGCGTACTTAAAATTTAACAAGGCAAATCTTATTGGATATAAGTCGATAAAGTTCTCGATATAATAAAATTTATCAAACGTTCGAAATGAAAATTTGTACTAAATCGATCATATTTTAGTATTAATTTTCACGTCGCAAAAGCATAGAGCAATTTTGAAATGTATTGCCCAAATTTTCTGGTTTTGAAGCGTAATTAGAGTAATTATTGAAGCGTATTTGGTCCTATTTCTTGTTTTGAACCGATTTTACAGCAGATTTTGAAGTGTAATTGCTCCAATTTTTTGATTTACAACGTAATTAGATAGGTTTTGATGCGATTATGAAGGGTATTTCCTATAATTTCTGATTGTGAAGCGATTTTGGATGAATTTTGTAGTGTAATTGTTCTTCTGGTTTTGAAGCGCAATTAGGACAATTTTAAAGCGTAATTACAGAGATTTACTCCAATTTCTGAGTTTAAATTTGAGCTGAAATACAATTTCACTTTCAACATCCTGTATATCTCCCAAATAAAAATATTTAAGAACGCACTTTTTATCTCAAAATTAGTCAACACATCCCCCGATTAAAGTACTTAACAAACACCCCTTATATCGCAAATAAGTAGATAGAAAAACTACCCTCTATCAGCTTCTTCGACATCAGTACTCGCAAACCTCCCATAAGCTCTATCCCTAAAACAAATAACGATAACCGTAATATTATCCAAAGATCCTCTATAATAAGCCTGCAACGTCAAACTCCTCGCCCCGTAATCGGGCTCATCTAATCTCTCTTTAACGAAACCCACTGCCTCCTCGTTCGTAAACGTATCCCATAACCCATCAGAAGCCAAAATCACGAACGTCGGTCGGTGATCGTTCAAATCGAACGACAAAACGTCCGGATCGGCAATCACGAATTTCTTATCCTTCAACGGGTAATCCCCCAATGCTCGAGAAGTGGCCAAAATGCCGGCGACGCGCCACACGCCGTTGAACGTGACGAAGCCGCCGGCTTCTTTGATGCGCTTGCGCTCGCGCATCTGGTGGGGTTTGTGATCGAAGCTGAGAGGAATGGCGGCGCCTTTCGAGTCGCACATGACGCCTCTGGAGTCGCCTACGTTCGCTACGATCAGTTTGTGGCCTTCCATGATGGCTATCAGGGCGGTGGTGCCTAAAGAAATGAGATGTTTTTTTTTAGCTGGTTCAATTTGAATAGGTGATTTTTCTTCACTCTACTCGACTCTGAACCTGCTCTACTCTACTCGAATCTACTCTGAATCTACTCCTCTATTCTACTCTGATTCACTGGACTCTACTCTCAATCTATTCTCCTCTGCACTCGCCTATACTCTGAATCTACTCTAATCTACTCCTCTACTCTGCTCCACTCTACTCTATTCGATTCTGAACCTACTCTATTCTGAATCTACTATACTCTAATCTACTTTGCTCTAGGCACTCTAAATCTACTCTGTTCCACTTTACTCCACTCGACTCTCAATCCGCTTTACTCTGAATCTACTTCACTCTGCACACGACCCTACTCTGAATGTACTCTAATCTCCTCCATTCTCATCTACTCTGCTCCACTATACTTTATTCGACTAACCTACTCTACTCTCTTCTAATCTACTTCTATTGTACTCTATTCCTACTCCACTCTGCTCCACTCGACTCTACTCTGAATCTACTCTAGTCTACTTCACACTCCTCTACTCTACTGAAGCTATTTCTTCAGCATATTTGTTAACATTACGAGTATATTCCAGTACCTGCGACGTCCAAGCTCTTCTTGGCTATCTCCAACAACGTTTCGTCCGCCGCCAGTACTTCATCAGTCAAGAGTTTCTCGTAATTCACGATGCCCTTGTCCAAATACGTATTAACCGGTATCTTCTTGAAACTCGGCGTCGTTTTCAACGGCTTCGAATTCTTCGTGATGGGCTGTATGCTGTCCAATTTGGACAGCAATTGGACGTCGGTGATTTCCTTGCGCGTTTTATTGCAATCGTCCGCCGTCGAGCTGGACCTCCGGTAGGTTCTCCGATCGATCGGTCGTTCCTCGGGGTCTTTTATTTCGTCTTTTTCGATTTGTTCGGTACGTTCGGGGACCGGTTTTCCGGCCATCAGACCTTTGATTTCGACGACTTTATCGAAGAGGTTGCGCATGAGCTTCTCCTTGGCGTAGTTGGCGGCGAATTCGCCGCCGTGGCCGTCGAACACGGCGAACAAGGCCACTCCGGTGTTGTTTATGTTGTCGTTTATGACGAACCGGTCCTCCATTTTTGGTCTTCTGCCTTGTATGGCGTAAGCGGCGATCGAACCCACCTTGGAAATCGTACAAAAATTAATATACTGATGTACTAGTAATACTACAAATAATACTTAATATTCTGATTGGTTCTTGTTTCGTACAGGAGGATTTATAATACTTGGTCTAAACGCAATAATTATTCTTTTAGTAGTACTTACAGTAGTATCTATATCTATACTTTAATCTTACTTAATTACAGTATTTCTTAATTGTTTTTTACTGTGTTACTATTTTAAGTATTTGGAACTGTTCAGAATCGTTCAGGATCATTTTAGAATTGACTAAAGCCATTTGAAATCGTTCAAAACTATCTTGAAACTGTTCAAAATCATGGTCTAGCAGGTCTAGCACTATTTGAAATATGCAAAAGGTTCACAATATTAATTCAATGTAACAGAATAAATTCAATATTGTCGAAAACTATTTAGAACTGTTCAAAATCATTCAGGAGTGTCCAGAATCATTTTAGAAGTGACCAGAACCATTTGATACAATTTAGAATTACATATCTTGGAACTATTTAAAATTGTTGAAAATCATCGTATGGTCCAGAATCATTTTGAACTATTTTACAATTGACTAGTACCATTTGAAACTGTCACAGAACTATTTTAAACTCTACTGCACTACTCTGAATCTACTTCACTCCAATCTTCTCTATTCCAAAATAGAGTATTCTATTCTACTCTATTTTACTTTACACTACTCTACTCAACTACTCTGAATTTACTTTATTCTAGTCTGAATCTACGCCACTCCGATCTTCTCTATTCTTCTTTACTCTACTCTACTACCTACTCTGAATCTATTTTATTCTACTTTGAATCTACCCCACTCCAATCTTCTCTATTTTACTTTACCCTACTCCACTACTCTGAATCTACTCTATTCTACTCTGAATTTACTCCACTCTATTCTAATCTATTAGTGGCCTCTATCACAGTAAGTGCTCGGCCATAGTCCGGGCGCTCAGACTACCAAAAAAACCTTTCCTAATCTACCCTACACTACCCTCAAATCGCCTACTCTTATATCCTCCCAAACACACCTTCATCTCCCAACTAGCCTTCTCCACATCGGCCGAAGAAAAGAACCCCATCCCGTCCAATTTGGTCCGCCTGCCGGTCCTACTGATCGTGTAGTGGAGCTTCCCCAGCAAGTTCCTGCTCCACTCGTCGACCGCTCGAATGTAGACGAACACGAACAGCAGCAACGCAGCGAATATGACGGCCTCCGGCTTGAGCACGTAGAGCTTGAGCAGCCGCCAGGCGTGCGAGGTGAACGTGAGGTGGGAGAGCTTGAGGGGGACGCTCCAGGCCAGGCGGGACATGATTTTCACGTGGGAGACGTACGTTTGATAGAATATCTTGTCGTCGAGTTCGTCCTCCATGTTTAAAGAGATTCTCTAAGGGTTTGGTTTGTTGGTGTGGGGTTTATATGAGATGTAGGGCTTTCATGTTTTCTACCGGCGAGTCTGGAATAAACAAATTAAAGGGGGGTATGAGATGGTAAATGTTATTGAGTAGTGTAAGCTTGATTGAATTATAAGTAATAATGCTTTAATAAATTAATTGTTTAAGTTGAATAACGCTACAATACGATCTGTTTTGGTTGTGTTTGTTGTTTTATTGCGTTTTTTAAAGATTTTGTACTTACTTTGGAATTTTAACTCGAAATTCTGGTAAAGTTGCAACGAATTTTGAAGGTTATTGTTGCTCGTCGTGACGTCATTAATGTCGCTAATTTATTTTTTCCTCTTCCATAACGGTTTAAAAAGCGATTATTCGGCGAGATTTAGTTAGAATTACCTGGAAAAGGGTGAATTTGATTGATTTGGTTGTGTTAAAATAGTTTTTATTACCGGTTTAAAAAAAATGCAAAAAATATCGCGAAAAATCGCTATTGACACTTGTGTCAAATGTCAATGTCATTAGTGTCAATTTAGATTCGATTTGAAATTTAAAAATTTTCGATGGGTTTTTATTTTTTTTTAATATTAAATTTATAAATTTTATATAAATAAACATATAAAATATTTGTGAAAATAAATAAGTTAATATGTTAAGCATTTATAAGGTAATACTAGTTTACAAATGTTACACTTCTTTTTTAGAGCATAACATAAAATCAACAATTATTTTAATATATTTTGGCAATGGCGTGCTTAATTTGTCAACATATCCGTTCTAAATGTTTCTGGAGCGTTCTAAACGGCTCTAAATGGTTCTAGACAGTTCTAAATGTTTCTGTAGCGACCTAAACGGTTCTAGACAGTTCTAAATGGCTCTGGGGTGTTCTAAAAGTTTCTTGAGTTTTAAATGCTTCTGGAGCGTTTTAAATGGTCCTAGACAGTTATAAATGGTTCTGGGACGTTTTAAAAAGTTCTAGATAGTTCTAAATATTTCTGGAACGTTCTAAATGATGCTGGACGTTCTAAATGGTTCTAGACAGTTCTAAATGATGTGCTAAAAGCTATTGTTGGACATTAATACTCTAAACAAAATTTTTATCCAATTTGTAGTTTCTTTTTAAGCATTGCATTGATATTTAAATTCCAGTTAAACGATTTTATTAGTATATTTTGGTTATGTGACTTGATAATTTTTTTGCTATGTACCAGTAATTTTTCAAAAATACATATGATAAGATTTTGCACAAAACCTTAAAAACTAGTGTAATTATCAGTTTTCATTAGCACAAATTTAATTAATAAATAATAATTTCTAAAATTTACAAATCGGGATAATTCATTACTGACAGTTGTCAGTTGTGTCAACTGTCAATGTTCATTTATTTGATTTACAAATTTTTGGAAAGGAAAAGTGCCCCCGGCAAGTTGTATTAGATAATATTTTCCTCACGTTTTTGTTTTAAAATAATTAAAATTATAAATAAAAAATGCATTTACGTACTTCAGAAATTCGCAGAGATTTTTGTATATAACTTTTTCCTCTTGTGGAATTCAAACTTTACGCCCGCTTTTGTTTTTACGATGGCATTCTAACATTTTTCCAACGATCATAGTTGGCTTTGCTGCGCTTCGGTTTAAAAATACTTTACAGTTTATATTTATTTTATGTACGTTATCTAGGAAATAGAATTGGAACGTCAAAACATATTTTTTTGGCACCTACTTTTGTAAATTATATTTTTATCTATCTTGTGTTTTTTTTTTCGAGTAAATAAAAAAAAAATTACAAATATAATTGTATTCCAATAACCTTTACATTATACATAAATGAGCTTTATACCTAAAACAAGGTAACAGACAATATAATATATTTCAACAAATTCCACTAAAAATGTAATGTAGGTTCAATAAGTAAGAGTGCGCGACAACTTCTGTGCATATAAAAAATCTAGCCATTTTGAACCGTTTCGACAGCGCTGTCGCCGAGTATTTATTGTTTTATTTGATTTAAGGGCAAGTTAAGTAGATATTTGGTAAATATTAAACATTTGGCAACAGCGCGGTCGAGTTGATTCAATATGGTCAATTCTGTGAGTTGAACAAAGATAGATTATTAAAATAACAGTTGTTAGAGTGAGAAAGTCGCAATTCCGCAATATCAATCAACATTTTTTCTTTAATTGAGACTAATGGAAGTTAATTGTCTTTAAAATATTGCATGCAAATTTGCTCTTTACCTGTACATGTGCAGAAGTAGCTGCGCACTCTTACGGATTCAAACTACACATTTTCAAATGCGATTTAACTTCGATATTTCAATCTTAAATATTTGCCATTGTTTTAATAAAACTTACTGTCCCGTATTCAGCGCTTGTTTTTAAACAGATTCTTTAACGTAAACAATGTCCTTATTTACTCTATAACAACAATGTAAAACTGTCAAATTGAATGAATGTCCTTAGTTACTCCTTAACAACAATGTAAATGTTAAATGTAAAACTGTCAATGTCAAACTGATCCCATGCGTAAAACTTTTTAAAAAGAGCACTGAATACGAATCACTGTATACAGGGTGTCTCAAAATTAACAACCGTCGATCCTTTCCGAATATTAATAGAGAGACTAAAATAAAATGTAATCGTAAGAATAAAAGTTTTGATAATAAAATTACACTTATACTAATTACAAATTTTTAACATCACCATAGCAACCTATGGTCAGTCATTTGTTTTTAAGCTTACTTCGTTTTTGATAGAATATAATAAATTGAGATAATATTCGGAAAGGACGGGCGTTAATTTTGAGACACTCCGTATAATTCTCAAAGTTTGAAATAAATTTGTTTAACTAAAATTATTATAGGCAAGATTCGTTAACCCTGTTTCGAATGTTCACAATGAAATGACCGGTAACGTAATGGAAAATATTTATGAAAATTAATTAAAATATGAAATTTAAATATAACCACCGAGATTTGGATTGACAGATAAGGTCACTTTGATTGATCTATACTAAAATATGTTAGGCAATCTAGATTAAATTTAATGCATCATATGAAAGGTATTACAAAATTGTCAATGGAACAAGCGAAAGTGCTCTCGATTATAGGATTGTTTTGTTCAGAAATCTTTGGAATTTTTGGTTTTTAAATCAAATATTTGTTGTGAGAGAACAGTTTTTTTGGTTATTAATATTATAATCATTAGGAGAAAAATCATTAGTACAAAAAAATAGCATTTGCAGATCTGAATATCTAATGATATCTTGAAATTTAACCCAGGTGTCTTAAAATGGGACAATGAGCCACATGTTATGGGATACTGTCCCTAATTGGGACACACGTATTCTTGTATAAGGACAATTCTATGAGCTAAACAAAGAAAGATTATTAAAATAACAGTGGGATACAATCCCACAAAATCACTCGTTCTTTTTCCTTTTTATGAGACTAATAGAAGTTGTCCTTGTTGCACCCATAAATCATATTGTAAACAAAATTTGCACTTATCTGTATATTCTAAAAAATAAATTAAAATAGGTTTTTTTAAAGGATTTTTATTTGTAGTTCAAATAATGGTTAATAAAATACAGAATGTCCCAATGAATAGCAACCTATTTAATTAGCTTATAGCTTTTAAATGACTAATCATAGAAACATTTATTGGGACACCATGTATTATATTATGATAATTATTTGTATTATATAAGAATGTGCAAGGTATCCCATATTAGGACATCATCAGGGTTTTAAAAATTTTATGTCAAAGTTGCAGATATTTTAAAAATATTGTGATAGTTTAATAAGTTAGAATTACTTTTGAAATAGGAGAAGATACTGTTGTAGAAGTACAAATATATTTTCATTGTAGAAAAATATATAAATAAATAAATATTGATTTTATGTGGCCTCTTTTCCTGACGGAAAACAGCCCATATATTAGCCAAAAAATAATATATGTCATATGTCCCATAATCGAGCACTTTCCTCTAATAATTTTTATAATACTTTGTTTAAATAGGCTTTCTCTGTTTGATTCATTTATGGTAATAAAATAAAAACTATAGTCTGTTCGCTATCAGGAGATAGTAATAAAACCTTATTGAAGCAACCAAAAAAAAAATACATAAAAAATAGGCACTATTGAATTAATAATATAATTAAATTAAACAACTACCTGTAATAATTTAATCGGCAGTATAGGGGGTAATAATTCAAATACCAATACGCTTTCAGTATACAGGGTGTCCCGCATAAGAACCGAGACAGAGCAAGGGAATGTGGGGGAGCCCAAAAGGGGTCATTCCATTGTTAAATACCCTGTATACAGAGTGGCACTACTAAAGTAGAATAAAGATTACTTTTACCCAATGGTAAAAGCTTTTAAAAAAGATTTTTATGAGTCACTCGTGCTATGTTTTGCATACAAGATTAGGTTTTTTTACTAACTCCTATTATTTGAATTGTGCGAAATTGAAGTACAGTAGAATCTCGAGCATTTTGCATGTGGTAAAAATAGTAAAAGCTCAGTATAAAATATAAAAGCATTTTGGATATATGTTAAATTATCGTAATTTTATCTCATTGTCAGAAGTCTGTAGTTTACCAATTTTCAAACCTTTTCGCGACACCTTATATAATATAAACGGTACAAAACATTATTTTTCTAGCATTTTAAGTTCACGAAAATTTCTGGACTACTCTTCTGTAACATTTCTCAGTAAAAATCGAGATTCTACTGTACATTAAATTTCCCCCCAAAAAAAAAAACAAAAAGAAAACCGTGATGTATAAATAAAAAAAAACAAACTACAACAACATCGCAAGGCCACATTTTTTCACTCATTTCTCAACACATTAGAATTAGAATAAGAATTAGACTAAATCGCGGGCTTACAAGCAAAGGGCACTAATAATTAATAATAATTTTTATTCATTTTTTGTAATCATAATACCGTACGGTGCATTTCAGTTTGCAATATGGTCATTACCATGAGTTAAACAAAGAAATATTATTAAAATAACAGTGGTTAGAGTGATACAGTTGCAATATGACCCAATATCCCTCTCTCTTTTTTACCTTTATACTCGTAAGTGTCTAATGGTAGTTGACAAAAAATTATTGCTGGACATGCTGATTATTTATGGAGAGTGTTTTCAATCAAAATGGCGACAATTTTGAGTAGTTCCTTTAACTTTCAATTAACAGGGCCGTATTAACTAAATTTTTAATAATTAAATTGAAAAAAAAACATGCTCTTATTTTCCAGAATATTAAGAAAATTTACTTGAAAAAGTTGCTTAGAATTAAAAGAACTGTACGTAGTTACAAAAAAAAAGTATCAACTTATGAGACACCCTGTATTTTAATGATAAAGGAATTTGATGATTAATTATAGTGAGCCCCTGAATACGTCCGCCGTTTAGAAACGTAAAACAGGTACCCCTAATTTTCAATTTGTTCTTGTCATTTTGCCATTTGACAATTTAAAAAATTCTTAGATTTTTTAAACTCTATAAAAATTCGGCAACACTGCCTACTTGTGACGTAGTAAATCATAGGTGACGTGCATTGACATTTGTTTTGCACCAACTGTATGTACAATTTGTAGATAACTTAAACAAAAAACACAGTCAACTCGGTGCCTTTAGCTCGTTAACCCGCGAAATTCCTCCTGAGAAATACATACAGGGTGTGTCACGACGAGCTTAACGTACACATTTACGTACACATTTAAGCTCGTCGTGACACACCCTGTATATCCATCTAAAAATCTAAATTCGTATCGTTTTTAGGAGCCGAATTGCTCATCACAATTTGAAATAGGCTTAAAACTATAACCGCCCCTGCCGTCTAAATGCAACACGTACTCGTGGTGTTGCCACAGCGATTTCCTATGGGACACCGTCAAGAGGGTGATGCCCGCCTCTCTGCAATATCTGTACATGCTGCCTTCGACGTCCACCGAAACGGCGCTCGTGCATTCGTCCAATATCGCGAATTGCGGTTGATGATAGAACAATCTGAAACGTTGAAATGGTATGAGCATTGAAATATACTATACAGCTATCTACTTATAATAGTAGATAGTGAATATAAGTAGAAGGGGGTAAATAAATTTTGCTTCCAATGGAAGCCATATTGGAAGTAGAAAGTTAAAAATGTTGCATACATTTTATATATTGATCTTGTTTACCCAGTCACAGTACCATTACCTGCAGTACCCCTTCCTTCCCCTTTCTACCCTAATTTACCACCCCCTACCTCCTTCTACCCTCCCCCCAACTCTACACCATGCCCCCTTCTACTCTACTCTATTCCTCTTATGTTGGACCATAATTCGATCATCTCAATAGATCAACAATACCCCCTTAATAGGTTCCATCAGTAGGTCAATAAGATCTTCTCAATAGATCTTAATAAGTCCCCTTTAGTAGTTCAAGAAGACCCCCTTAATAGGTCCCTTCAGTAGATCAATAAGACCTCCTCAATAGGTCAATAAGTCCTCCTTAATAGATCCTTCAGTAGACCAATTAGACCTCTTCAATAGGTCAATAAGTCCTACTAACTAGGTAAACTCACTAGGTCAATAAGACCCCCTGTCAATAGGTAAATAAGACGCCGTTAATAGGTCAATAAGACCTCCTCAATAGGTCAACAAGTGGCCCCCCTTCAATAACCTCTCCCCCTAACCAAACAAAATCCCCCTCCATATACAACCTCCACGTACCTCGCCATGGCGATCCTCTGCTTCTCCCCTCCGCTGAGCACGTCCAACCAATCGGCGATCGCGTCCAACCCGCCCTCTCGATCCAAAATATACCCCAACTGCACCCGACGCAAATACTCCTCCAATTTGGCGTCGGTGAGGCCGCGTCGCGACGCCTCCGCCCCCGAATGCGGATACGTCAACTGGTCCCTGAGGCTTCCCAACGTCATGTAAGGCCTTTGGGGAATGTAAAACAGTTTACCTCGCGGCGGTTTCGTCATTTCCCCCCCGAACAGCGGCCATAATTCCCCTAAAATCCGAAACAGGGAGGATTTACCGGCGCCGTTGGGGCCGCACACCAGCACGTTCATCCCCGACGTGATCTCGAAGGAGATTCGATCTATTAAAACGTCGCCGTTGGGCGTGATGAGCGGCACCTCGTGGAATTTGATGGTGTTGTTTTTGAAGATCAATTTGCCGGCGTCGGGGCGCAGACGTTCGGCGCCTTGCACCATCGTGCGGTGGTATTTGCCGTCGTTGAGTTCCTTCAGGACGGTTTTGAGCTGGGTGACGCGGGCGGTGAAGCCGGCGAGGCGGGTGAGGTCCCTGCCGGCGAGGACCAGGCGGCCGATGGCTTCGGCCAGTTTCACCAACATCCTGCCGTAGGTGTAGTATAGTCGGGATCTGGAACGATTTTTCGAATGAAATTTAGGATGTTGGAGGTTCTCGGAAGCGTTAAGAACTATTTAGAGTCATTTAAAACTATTTGGAACGGTTCAAGGTAAACTAGAAAAGTTCTGAACGATTTAGAAGTGTCTAGTGTCGTTTAGAACTATTTGGAATGGTTCAGGATAAACTAAGGAAGTTCGGAACTGCCTAGAAGTGTTTAGAAACGTTTTGAATCGTCTAGAACAATTTGGAATGCCGCAGAATCATTTTGAAGCACCCGGGACCATTTTGTACTCTTTAGGACCGTTCCAAACAGTTTCAGAACGAATCGTTTTCGAAGCGATCTTAAAGCAAATTTGAAGAGATTTTAAAGCGATTTTGAGGCAGATTTATAGCGATTTTGGAGCGGTTTTTATAAAATTTTTGTAAAGAGCGATCTTTACCTGTCGTAGGTTCAGTATAATCGGGATCTGGAACGATTTTTCGAATGAAATTTAGGATGTTGGAGGTTCTCGGAAGCGTTTAGAACTATTTGGAATGGTTGAGGACTAAAATTTGGAGATTTGGAAAACTGAGGAAGCTCGGAACTGCATAGAAGAGTATAGAGTCATTTAGAATCGTCTGGAACAATTTAGAATGCCGCAGAATCATTTAGAACTGTCTAGAATCATTTAGAATCCTCTGACACCATTTAGAATTTTTTTAGGATCGTTCCAAACAGTTCAGAACGATTTATAACTCTTTATGAAGGAATTAAAACAGTTCCGAACAATTTCTAACGCTTCGGGACGATTAAAAACTATTTGGAATGTTTCAGGATAAACTAGAGTAGTTCGGAATCATTTAGAACTGTCTAGTGTCATTTAGAATTATTTAGAAGAGTTCAGTATAAACTAGGAAAGTTCAGAATTATTAAGAACTGTAAATTGAAACAGTTCCGAACAATTTCTAACAATTCTATTCAGGATAAACCGAACGATAGGATAGTTCGGTATCGTTCAGAACCGTCCCAAATACCAATACCAATAGATACATTACCTTTCGTTAGTATCCAACGTTGTAAACCGATGACCTTTGGTCATAAACGGCATCGATACGGCGAAGAAACCGACCACGCCGGCGAAATATTTTGCCACGATGTTATCCGCTATGCCCATCAGCACCCTAAATCTCAGGAACTTCCTCAGATGGTTCAGCAATTTGTTGTAGCTCGCCATCAAGGTGGCCTTTTCTCTCAGGTTGCCGTTGTAAAAGGCCACTTCTTCGGAATGCGTGATCAATCGCGAATTGATGTGCCTGAATTCGCCTTCCAGTTTTTGTTCCACCGCTGTCAATCTACGAATATTAGCATATTATTATTTACCGGTAAAATGATGGCTGGATAACCATCTAGGGCTTAAAAAGAGTTTTAACACGGGGTTAAAAAGATAGCTGGATCATTTTGTAGGGTCGTTTTAAAATGAGCTTTGTAACACGAGGTTAAAAAGATGTCTGAATAACCCTGCGAAATGTTACAAAATCACGACTGTATAGACAGCGTTAACACTTTTAACCCTCTACGAACGTAATAAAAAACATAGCTGTATAACCCACAGTTATAAAGATGTGTTATAAAGATAGCTGAATCTATGGGAATGTGTTAAAGTTAAAAAGATGGATGTATAACTCTGTGGTGATGTTATACATATAGAGATTCTTGTATTAGCCCTGTGTGAATGGTACAAAAAGATAACTGTATAACCCTGCTAACCATCTAGCACTGTGCTAAAAACCCTCTTAACCCTCTACGAACGCAACAAAAAAACGTAACCGTACAACCCACCTAGCCGTAGGCCTCCTCAAATTCGTCAACAACACCCCGGAGAAGAACAAATAGCTCAACATCAAGCCGGGCGTTCCGCCGCCGAGCGTCGTCGACAATTTATAAACGTAAATCCCAATGTCGAGCAACGGTTTGGCCGTGTTACAATACAAATCCGTGATTCCTTCGCAGAATTTATCGATGTCGGTGGTCAACAATTGATCGGCGTTGGATATGCGATTGTCCAAATTGGTGATCCTGTAATAGGTGTAGTTCTTCAGGTATTCGTCGTAGAGATGGCGCGTCATGTGCGTGCGCAGCTGGATCTTTAGGGCTCCGATCGAGTATTTTAGGACGTTGTTCACCACAGAGATGACGGGAATGGCGATGAAATAGTAGAGTAGGCGGCGCTTGAATAGTTGCGGGTCCATCGCTATGATGGCGCTGGAACGGAATAGTAAAAGGCCGGTGTTAGTGCATTCAAAACTATTCAGAACGATTTAGAACTTTTTCTGGATGATTTCAAACAGTTCAGAACAATTTAGAATGCTTTCTGGACAATTTAAAAGTGTTCGGAACAATTTAGAACGCTTTCTGGGCAATTCAAAAGTGTTCAATAATAATTTCTGGACGATTTAAAACTGTTTAAAACAATTTAGAATGCTTTCTGGACAATTCAAAACTGTTCAGAACAATTTAGAAGGCTTTCTGGACAATTCAAAAGTGTTCAGAACAATTTAGAACGCTTTCTGGGCAATTCAAAAGTGTTCATAATGATTTCTGGACTATTGAAAACTGTTCAGAACAATTTAGAATGCTTTCTGGACAATTCAAAAGTGTTCAGAACAATTTAGAACGGTTTCTGGGCAATTCAAAAGTATTCTTTCTAGAGCCTAATCATAAAAACATGTTTTTTTCGAAGATATATGTTATATTGCTATAACTTTTTGCTACAGTGAAACAAAAATTTTGTATCGCCTATACAGTGTGTTTCATAAAAATACCCTCTTATAAATTCACAGTAACCAAATTTTATGAAATAGGACATGTTCTTTTCTGGAATAACGTAATAATGTACAAATAATACATTTTTGATAAGTAGAAGAGCATATCTTTCAAAATACCTTTACATATACGGGGTGTTCCATTAAAAAAATTGTTACTGTGAATGTAAAAGAAAATATTTTGATAAAACACCCTGTATTAGTAATGCATAATTTCTGTACCACTGTAACAAAACTTCTAATAAAATTAAAGATATTTAAGAAAAATCCATGTTTTTATGATTTGGCGTTTAAAAATTATAAGCTCATTAAAGGGGCTACTTTTCATTGGGACACCCTGTATTTCTAAAAAACCCAAGTGTATTTCGAGTAAATGAAATATGTAATGATTTTATAATTACATAGAAGCAACAATTTAAATCCACATTACGCAAATGATGTAATTAATTATTTAATTATAACTTGTACGTAAAACTTTTTACAAGTCTGTATTATTTTAGTTTAAAATTCCCACAGATTTATCGAAAAATCTCGAAATAACGATCCAAAAAAATTCAAATTTAACTGTAAATTTTCTGTTCGATACGAACGTTATGAAATTCCGTATGAAATTCAAATTAATTATTAGCATAAAACAGGCAAATTAAAAAAAACCGGTGACCGATTATTCTACAAAATTATGCAATAAAAAAGTTCCATTAAATTACAATGTTTAATTTATAAAACGCTATCAGGATGATTTAGAACGATTAAAGACTGCTCAGGACGATTACTGGACGATTCAAAGCTGTTCAGAACGATATCTGGATAATTGAAAACTGTTTCACAATAATTTAGAACTTATTCTGGACCATTCAAGACTGTTCAGAACGGTAACTAAACGATTCAAAAGTGTTATTTAAAATGCTTTATAAACGATTTAAAAGCGTTTAGAATGACTTCCGGATGATTTAAAAAGCTTCCTGGGTGATTCAAAACTGTTCAGAACCATTTAGAATGTTTTCTGGACGATACAAAAATGTTCAGAATGATTTCAGGACGGTTCAAAAGTATCTGAACGATTTAAAAGGGCATTTTAAAAAAGTTAAGAGCTATTAAAAAGCGTTTCTGGACTATTTAGAACAATTTTTGCACAATTCAAGACTGTTCAGAACAAGTTAGAACGCTTTCTAGTGGGATTCAGAACTCTTCGTGAATGAATTCATTAACATTCGTAACAGTTCAGAAAAATTTAACAACGTTTTAGTACGATTCAAAAGTATTCTGAATAATTTAGAACGATCTAGAACGCTTTCTGAACGATTCAAAAAGGTTTAGAACGTATCAGAACGTTTTGTGGATAATTCGAGAACGCTTTCTGCACGATTTAAAACTGTTCAGGCGGGTTAGACCGATTTCTGAACGATTCAAAAACGATCAGAACGACCTAGAACGCTCTCCCGTAACGATTCAGAACTCTTCATGAAGGAATTGTGATAATCCAGAACAATTTTCCACGGTTTAGAACGATTCAAAACGGTTCAGAATGTCTTTATAACGCTTTCTTATCGATTCAAAACAGTTCAAAACGATTTCTGGAAGTATCAAAACGATTTCAGTGTTTCAAAACGGTTGAAAACGATGTCTGAACGATTCGGATCGATTCAGAATTCTTCATGAAGAAATTGCCACAGTTCAGAACCATTCACATCGTTTTAGAACGATTCGAAACTGTTCAGAACGATTCAGAACGATTTAAAACTTTTGACCCGTGACGGATTATCTCGCGCAAAACTATGCAATAAAATAATTTCGATTAAATTTCGGAAGTTCCTTCCAACCAATTCAATTTTCGTTTATTGAAAATTACAATGTGCAATTTAAAGTAACGACTAGGCTTCATTTTAACGCACGAAATTCTAATTAATCATTTTATTAAACGCTCATAATTTATTTGCATTATAAACGTAAAATAATTAACGTAAAAAAAACGGATAAAATGGATAACGAACCCCAGAGACCTACATTATATGTAAATCATGAACTTGAACTTAAAACTTAAAACCAGTTTCATTCAGACAAATAAATTACTTAAGTAGTATTAATTAAATAGGTACAAGAAAAAACGTTAATATAATTAGTTAATTTAACTATTATAATAACTAATTAAAGCGCATAATACTTGTAATTAACTAAGTAATCGAAACAAAATAGCCAATGTTCGATCAAGTGTTCATTGCAATTGGATCAAAAGTGTAACCATATTGTACACGAGTCAAAGGCCAAAGTTCAGAATGATTTAGAACGCTTTCTGGACGGTTCAAAACTCTTCAGAACGATTTTGGACTATCCGAATGTGTTAGGAACGATTTGAAATGTTTTTTGCACGTTTTAAAACTGTTCAGAACGGTTTAGAACTATTCAAGAAGTAATTATAACCATTCAGAACTAATTCTGGATGTTTTAAAACTGTTCAGAACAATTTAGAACGCAATCTGGATGAGCTAAAAACGATTCAGAACGGTTTCTGTTAGAATTCAGAACTAATAAAGTAAATAATCGAAACAAAATAATCAAATTTTCGATCGATAGTCAATTTTTCAATCAAGTGTTCGTTGCAATTCGAGCTCGAAACCATATTACACACGAGTCAAAGGCCAAAGTTCGATAATAAATAATTTATTAAACTCACCTCTCGATTTTTGTACCGTGATTGATAAGCCAAAGGTCGCAAATTGATCGGGACACCAGACTGGCGGCGATCAGGAAAAACAAACCGCTCTCCCGGCTGGTCCAGCCCGGCACGGCTATTTTGAACAATCGATTCAGCTGCGAGAAGAACTTCCTGTCCACCTGCGCCTTGATCTTCGCCTCTTCCTTATCGGCTATCATGTATTTCACCTCTTCTTCCAGCAGTTTTCTCGCCTTCTTTCTGGAAAACGCATCGCGAACGTTTATATTACGATAGAAAATGAAATCATTCCTAAGGGATCGAATTGACATTGACAGTTTTACATTGTTGTTATGGAGTAACTAAGGACTTTATTTCAAATTGTAAATTGTTTAGGGACTATTCAATTTAATCAGTAATCACTAATTTAATATGAGTAAATGTAAGAGGATGTGTAATTTCATTTTCACAAATGTACACATTACGAGAGAAAATTGTAAGTAAGGGATCCAATTTGACATTGACAGTTTTACATTGTTGTTATGGAGTAACTAAGGGCCTTGTTGACAACTGTCGATTGTTTAGGGGTTCTTCGAGCTGTTGATAAAAGATAGGAAGGAATCTACTAGTAACCGAATACTAAATGTAAGAGTAGTTTAATTTCCTTTGTGGTTCGATGGAAAAGTAGAATGTCGAGAACCTCTAGATAAATGTGTATTATGTAATAAAAAGGGAAAGTTTATGTGAGGTAATAAGTTAATAACGCGCTTACTTGTTAATTTTGGCATTTTTCCTATATTTCAACACTATCAACAACACAGCGCCCAAGGCCCCAGCTCCGGCTAGAACTTTGTTTTTGTTTGCTATTTTACTGTAATTCGGAGCCATTTCTAGTGCATTTTTCGCTCGGAAATCTAAATAGCTATCATCTCCGTGCGAATTTTTCTGGTATTAACTTTTTTCGCACGCCGCCTTTGCGAATTATAACGAAATTACTTAACGAAATTTGCTCTCTGTCACTCGATTAATCTAATCGCTAACTACACAACACACTGTAGAGCATAAAATTTACTTAATAATTTACAATTTGCCCGAGCCCGAGAAGTGAACGGGTAACGGGTGCAAATGTCACGGCTAATTTGATGTGAATGCTGTGTGAATGTGAACGTGAAACGTGACGTATGTGTACAGGTAAGACATACGTCAAGTATATGTGCGATCACGGTCTTATATACCAGGTCTGAAAACTTCTTGGTTTAGTTCATGAGGCATCGGCTAGGAGCGCTACTAGTGTCGGTTTTTTGATGGATAATTTTGAGTTACTTGTGGCTTGGGTTTTGGGTTACACTTCGGTACTATTTCGTAGAGATTTTTATCTTCTTTTGGAGGGTTCTAAATGATTCTGGATCGTTCTAAATGATTCAAACTTAACTAGGCAACACAGATTACACTTACTTGCATTTTCCCCTGAAGTTAGGCAACACAGAAAGCAAGAAAAAACAAAACGAAATAATCAAATAGCTTTATTTTTCTTCGAAGTTAAAACATTTTCAACGATTTTCACTCTACTTTCGATCAAACTTTTCTCATCCTCCGGTATTTTATCGGTGTTGAGGTTCCTCAATAGGAAATGGTGGATGAACAATCTCAAGCTTTCCCTGAATAGTTTCAGTTTTTCCGAGTGCGCTACTCTGGCGAATACGGATAGGCAAGCTTCTAAATCCTTGTGAAGTAGAATACCCAGTAGAATTTGCCTCATAAATCGTAAAGTTGTCTTGTCTAATTCGCTAAATTGAACAATCTACAACCAAAAAAATTATCAAAGCTCAACTAATTTGCGATTGTTATAATATTTACCTTGAGAATTGATATAGGCAAACCTTTCTCTATGAATAAATGTATCAACAATTTCGCTAAATTGGATAACTGTGAACCTGAGTGGTCACCAATCACTTTTAATTTATCCCATATAGAGTATTTAATTGTTAGCTAAAATTAAATATAGTTATATATAAAAAGTAATACGTAAGATAACGTTTTACCTGATATTTCCTATCGAAATCGCAGAATTTCTGCGCTACATAACCATAATATGGATTGTAATTTTTTTCCTGAAGACAGCAGTGCAATAAAATGTTTATAATTTCTCTTTCTTGTGTATTCTTTAATCCTAATTTGAGAAGCTTTTCGAATGCATCCAAATAATCCTAGAAGTAGTGAAAATAGTTAAATAGAATTGCATTTAAATTAGGTATTACCTCAGCAGACATGATTATACAAAATATATTTCGCCTTATATCAGTGTTCATCCTTTGCTGCCTGGCAAGTTCCAGTAATTTCGCGGAAAACCCTTCAGTTTTTGAAACTTTTTCGGATTTCGCGCTTTCCGCACTTTTACCCGACCAAGCCGAGCCCACTACCCACCATTTACCACGCTCATCGGCTAAAACAGACAATTTAAATCTCCAAAAACTTATATAATTTATACCTAATAATACCTTTTAACAAATCCTCCAGGCTTATATTAAGCATAGTAACATAATTTCCTTTTCTAATAAACCCTTTCATAATCTTCTTCATATGCTCCGAGTAAGACACATCGTAGTTCGGTATCTTCGTTACGTTGTTATTTTTAATCGCTAGTAATATATCTAACATGAATTTCACTCGCGAACTGAAGATAAAAATTTATTAGTTTCGAGTAAATTGAGTACATTAATCTAACTTACTTATCCTTCTCTTCATCGCTGGCCTTGTTCGCTCGGTTCTGCAGGTCGATAATCAAATTCTTCAAAGCCAACGGATCGTCCTTTCTCAAACCGAACCCGACGCTTCTCAGAACGTGCAAAATGCATTCGACGTCTTTCTCTTTGAACCCGTCCGCTAGTTTTCGCAACACCTCGTATATCAACTTGGCGTCGAACAATTTGAAGTTGTACAACTGGGCTGTTATACGCACGATGTTATCTAGCGTCTTGTCTTCCACTTCGCAATCGCCGGTTAAATGCTCGTCCAATTTTTTAACGAGGCTCTGCAGAAAATGCGCTCCTAGAATCATTAATAATTAGTACAGCTAATCGATTTTGTTGTATTTGCTTAATCTTGCCTACTTCAGTCCCGACATTCGCGTGTAATATTGTTAGTAAAACAACGTGTTCTATTAAGAGTCTTTCGGGAGCGATAACCTCTGATACCAAAGATTCCATTATTAAATTGGTGAGGGTTTCGTTCATGTCGTTTCGGCTGTTGTTCATGTACAGGTCTTCGATTTGCGATGCTATACTGTGCATGTTCGATTCTGCTAGCTTGTTCAATAATCCTGTATAAATAAAGAGCAATATTATCGTACAATACTACTAGTGGAGGTCGTTAAAAGTACCTTTGAGTTGTTTTCTCAAACGATTTAGCTTCTCCTGGCGTATTTTGTCTTCAGGTTCATTATCTTTAATTTTATTTCTCAAAGCTGGTGGTATGTACTTCGATTCGGATTGCTCCTTCTGAGAAGATATAAAAATAGGATACTCTTATACTGTGTACAATATATTACCTTTTCTGATACGATTGATCCATCGGGAGCCCTCAAACGCCCGTAAATGTCCTCCCACATATTCCCTCCAGGTAATAGCTTCGCTAATCCTTTATGCACTATTTCCTTCTCTGGAATATCTTCTTTAGAACTTGAATCGTCATCAGCAGCTTCATCATCTGAAGCATTAGAATCATTTGTAGTTTCTACATCCTCGCCTGATAAATTCTCATCATCATAATCATCTTCTGATAGACTACCACCTTCCAAATCACCATCTGATCTACTCATATCATTATCATCATCTTCTATGTCAATTTCTGATGCACTACCATCATCAGCTTCATCTTCAATGTCTGATTCGCTGTTATTTTCATCGAAACTTTCATCACTATTACTATAATCTTCATCAGAAACAGACGTTTTTTGTCGTTTGCTTTTGCTTTCGGGTTTATCGTCGGTTTTTCTTTTTAGGGTTTTATTTTTTTGTGGTTGTTCTACAGGTTTTCCAGACATTAGAGCAAAGTCCTCTTCGAAATCGTTATCGGCTTCTTCCATATCTTGATGGGATGCATTTTTTAAGTATTCCGGATCGACCACCTCCAATAAAACTAAAATGAGAGTATTAGACATGATTTTTTAGTAAATGTTGTTGAAAATTACAGTCTAAGCCGTCTTCGGTGAAGCTTTTCGGGATGGATTTGGATTTCCGTTTTTTTAAACCCAGTTGTTTCTCCATTTGTTGTATGATTTTATCTTCTTCCTTATTGGCTTCGAGTAGTTGCTTGAATCGTTGCTTCTTCATCTCGTTTGTTAGTTTTCTTTTTTCTTTCATTTCCTTTTCCCTCAATTTCTCTGATGATAAAACCTACGGACCAGAATTAAATTTTGTAATACTTAAAGTTTGTTAATTTACCTTATTTGCAATGACATCTGGTTGTTTCTCTTTAACACCTGTGTTTACTGGCTTTTCTTTTTTCTTTCCTTTCGCTTTTCCACCAAACTTTTCATTTTCAACAACACTAGCATTGTTATTGTTCACGTTCACATCGCCCTTTTTCTTCGAGAAAAACTCATTTTTTCGCACTTTCTTATCCTTACGTTTCACTTTTCGCTGCTCTTTTCGCGTTAACTTAGGAGCTTGCTTCGCATTTTTATTTTTAAATGCCATTTTTATTAAACGAGCATAAAATATTTTAGTAAACAAGAAACCTAACCTCAATCCAAACCATGCTGCAAACTTCACAAATTGTCAAGTGTCAAAGTCAAAATCATTTTACATGTATAGGCTACCACGATTACACATATTTGTAAAGTGAGTTGCATAACTTTGAGGTTGTGTAATGATTGAGTTTCACCAGGACAGGACTCGGCGATTTTTGATTTAAAACAAGCTCTATAAATTAATTATATTGTGATAATAACAAATAGTATTCATAATAAGTATTCTATTTAATAAATCAAGCATAGTCAAGCTGTATATGTTTCATTATCTTGAGATTAGAGGATGATAATACAAATTGTCTTTTTATTCTAAACGACAAAAAATATTCAATTTTAATGGAAAGTCAGCCAGAAATGTAGAGTTCATTATTTTCGCGTTTTCCTGGTTGCAGTTTATTATATCCCAGAAGTGTGTTATTTCCAAGAAAACTTAAGAGAATTGTTACCGGAGGCGCGGGCTAGGAGTAGTTGCAGTAAATTCCGATGGGGGATGTGTGTTCGATTTAAAATTATAGCCCTGCTTCCGGAGCTTCGATCCTGCAATCCAACTGTGGCGACGCGCCCGCCAGCCGGTCGGGCATTAGAGGTGTATTTTTGGAACAACGTGACAAATAAGCCAGGTGGTAAATAAGGCGCTTTCGGATTTGCCACTGCGAAATTCCAGACGCGAAATTCAATTTCCAGGTTTTGAATAAAACAACCGGTTTCCAGACCCCGGCGAGATTTCGGAATCACCGCTGCAAATAACAGAATAATTAATTGCTCTTTGGAAATTCGTTTCGCGTCACAATCGAGATAAGATAAGACGTACCATTCTATCCTACAGTTATAGTCCTAGAAGCGATTGAGCTACCGATTTCTACTTTCCAACCCTCCTACACCATAAAGAAGAATTATGAAACAATTTCAATCTGACCCACTTATCGGTAAAGTTTCCATCTAGCAGGACTGAAATCTTCACACACGAATCCGCGCTTCCATCCTCGTTGGGCCGATTTCATCGGCGTTTTACATTAATTACGAACTTTGTTTAACGGCGCGGCATCGTCTGCACACGCCCATTAATCTTCTCCCTCAGATGCAGCCTCGGCTTCCAGTCCCCCGAACCTCAAAACCTTAACTCCCTCAAGTACACGATCAAACTCCGATGAGAGATTGTTCGGTTTCTTATCTTCGATATAACTTCCCGAGCACAGAAGAAAAATGATCCTGCGGTTGGTACTCAGGAATACACATGTACACTGTTGCTTGAATTTATTTTAAACGTAAACACAAAGTTTTTTAAATTTGATTATTCCTTAGAATAAATTTTCGCAATAAATATCAAAGACTTTTTTTTGTATTCCTGAATCAGGAGTAGTTGGAAAAGGTTCGGAGCCCGTCGAGGCGGAGTTTATAAAGTAAAACTTTTCTAAAATTGCGACACAGCGCTTTCGCATGGCCCCGCAATTCCGGGATCTCGCGAAAATAACTCGACAGGACGAGATCGAAGCTCGGAACGCCCGGCGAAGGACCATTATTTTAAACCGTCGTAAAATCGTCTAGCCGGGCCGGATCGGGCCGTCCTTCCGCGTCCTTGATGTCCTGTTCTGATGCATTTTATTGCCTCCGAGCAGATGTTTCGGGGCCTGAGGAATGGGCCTATAAAAATTAACTTAGGGAGCGACGCCATCGGAGGTTTTCCGCTAAAGAATTCCGGGCTAAAAGTGGAGAGAATTTTAAATGAAGCGAAGAAAAGTAAATTAGCGTTTGGTGGGTTGTTATTAGCTCTCGATCGTAATGTCGGGTTAACGTCGAAAAACCAAACGGAGCAATTAATAATTGAATGGGATGTTCTTGACACCGGAGGACAAAAAAATTGGAAAACGGAGGCTTTCGCTGACATATGACTGGAATATTTATTTAAGGGGGGTAAAATTAGATTAGGGGTTGGTTAAAAATAGGCCTACGAGTGCGTATTGATTTTGTCATTAACGGATTCTTATGATATTTTTTATTAATGCCTATACGAGCATTCCAAAGTTAGATTAGGTCTCGAGGTGGAAATGATTTTCAACGGGCGACATTCATACGAGTTCATTTTCGAAAATCGATGTGTGAAGTTTTGATTAACCTTTTCTTATGTTAGAATAACTTTAGTAAAACCTAATGATGACAGCTGTGATAGAGACAAAGAAATTTAAATGCAAATACTTTAAAATTCGCACTGAAAGAATTTCCATTAACTTCAACTTCTTAAAACTCCCTTTATTTTTCCGCTTCTTTTAAATTTCGCCGAGAAAATACCTACAGTCCATTTCAATTTATTTCTGAAAATAATGTAACTTAATTGAGCGAACCAAAGTTTTTCTAAACCATATTATTCATCTAATTTACTTTCGTTCATAAACATTTAGTGCAGGAATGAGCGTTTAGTGCGAAAGCAGATTCAACTTGTCGCTTCTCGACCCGTTTATTGTCTGACTCTCCAGAGGCAATTCCAGTTTATTACATTCACAATACTTGGTAACAGAATCCTTAATTTAATTCCCATGGGGTTTCCGATAATTGCCTTATGCTGTCCTCCTTAAGAATTCTACGCATAATTACCGCATATCTCATTCAAGTTCAAGCTATTCCCATCGACTATAAGATAAATATCTCACTTATGCTGCACTTATTTTACTCCGCAAAGTCACGTACTCTCCGAGCAATCCTCGTACGATATGCGTTCATTTTTCGAACGGAGAGTTATGGCGCAGCCTGCATGCGAGATGCTGTCACGTAAACATATCCATTTTCGATTGATAATGTTTTTCTTTCGCGACAAGATAAACTCCCCCGCGCGATAAGAAGTTTCCATTAATCCAGAGTCCCTCAAGCCTCTACAATGCTTTCTCGCTTCGACGAATTAGATTACTCAATGAGTCAGGACCAGAGCGACGCTGCAAGAGACAAATGGAGTGTGTATGTGGAGTGAAGTAAATTGTAAAGAGAAAAGAAGAGGTTAAATATTTAATGTGTGTGTAGGTACAAGACGATCTGTTATTCTTTTGTGGATATGGATAAACATCAGGTATGTAAACTGATGAAAATATTGGATCAAAGCGATGGATTCCATGATAGTAGAAATAAACTGCTCCACAAAAGTTAAGGAAGTTTGCTAATTTTGCGATTATTTTAAAAGTTACAGACTTTTTGATCGCCAAATTTCAAATATTCGAAATTAAATGTTTTCTCCCATATCTGAGTGTATTGAGTGTTTTGCCCCTACCTCTACAACTCATACTACATTTGGCGATCAAAAAACCTGTAACTTTTAAATTAATCTCAATATTGGTGAACTTACTTAACTTTTGTGGAGCAGTATATTTCAAAACCGAGCTAATTAAAATAATTGCACCTTGCATAGTTGAGGAGAATTTTTTAATCTAAAAAAGATCCGGGTCCGAATTACCCAAGGCGACGTCTTCCAGATCAAAGCGGAGGCGGATTCGCGCCGTTCGGAAGCCCGGCTCGTTTAAAATATACAGTTAATTTGAAAAAATACGGCGAATCTAATTAAAATTTACAGATTTCGTGATTTCGACGTCCTCCGCCGACGGAAAATCGGGAAATAAGCCCCGTCGGCGGGCGCTGCGGCGCATGTATTGTCAAAGAGACGGAGACGGACTCGGCGCGACCGTCGGGCGCGAGAAGGACGCCTGCCGGCGAGCGTCCCGAGAGCTGGCGCGACTTCAGTAGGCCGCGGAGCGACGTTGCGATACGTTATCCTGAAAAAGTCCTTGAAAAATCAAAAATTTTTCGGTTATTGCCGGGGGCGAGTTCGGGCGACGCGAGCGGGTTTCTGTGAGTTCATCGGCCAGTTTTTGGGGGAGTTCGCGGCCGGATAACGAGGTAAATTGATAGGGAAACGGAGCCAGATATCAACTGGTGGGTGTTTTTAAAAATTCATATCGGATATATCGGACAGTTCGGAATTTGCGCTCGGGATAATCACGGTATGTTTTACGATTCGTATTTGATTTCACTAACATCGATAATTCTTATAACTACATCAAATCACCCAACAAATTGTTTCAATAAATTTACTACGCTTCAATTATTTTAACGTTGCATGTCGGAGCATAAACTCCATATCGAACTACAAAAATTGCTAATGTGTAGGTAAAAGGTAAGAAAATGATGTGATATAGTGGAATTAGAATCTTTGCGAGCCCCACGCACAATGTCCACAACCATTCCATCTATATATCTTTGTCGTTATTTCCCGAGAGAGGCGAGCAAAAGGGGCGCGGAAGAGGAAGGTTTTTCCTTGAGGACTCCTCATCTGGGCGCTAAATTATACCGCGATCCCGCTTTTGTTGTACACTTGACGTTTGTACCTAACTCTATTGTAAATTGTAACGGAGAGATTGGGATCTGGATGCTATCTCTGCCGCAATTTCCTCTATATGGAGACTCAAACACTCTTATAACGTAGGAAAAAAAACCGTATGGCTTGTACTGGCGGCGTTTTATTCAGGTTATCTCGAACCTATTTTAAAATCTCATCGATTTCTCCCGTTAAATTTGCGTGCGGGATAGATATTGTGGCGGAGCAAAAAGCAAAAGTTTGATTAAAGCGATCACCTCGCGAAGACTTTATTATACACCTTTGATTGGATGATTTAAACAAACAGGGTGGATCAAATTACGATCACAATACATTTTGGAATAGTACACTCTGTATATTCTCTTTCAACGAGATTTGATTTGATTTGATTTTAAATAAGTTTTAATTAACTATCGTGCTTGAATGGATTGAATGTGATTTATGCGCCCGTAAATTCGTTATCAAAGATTTTTTTTCATTAAAATCATGTGCAAATGCAATTACTGGTATTACTTTGAAAGCGTGAAAGGAAGGTATAGCATGCCGTTTGATAAATTGTGTATTAGCCTGTTGAGTATAATAAACAGGTTGTATTAATAAATATTTTGATATTCGCAAAACATATTTCGCAGGGATTAAAACACAGTGAGTATACACTTCAACGCAACGAAAACACATAAATTGTTATTAACGATAACAGGGAGTATAAATACATGCGGATATTAACGAAGTTTTTCATGTATGAATTATAATTTGCAATAGGTTTTGTAATTATTATGAATTTTGTGCAGTTATTGATATACAGTTTCAATTTTACTGATTAAAAAGGCATCAAATAACGCTGGGGAATATAACATTTATTTAACCAATGAAAATCGGATACTTAAACAAACAATAAATTATTGATCAATCTATCCTAAAATACCCGTAAACGGTTGATAGTCATGCACGATTACATACATTTTTCAAAACGCGCACTAGTTGATATGTTTGGCTCGATAAAGAATATTAAATTGGAAAAAAAAACACGCCTGATTTTTCATATTGGTTTTGCATGTTTGCTCTCCAATCAGATATATGATTACATAATAATACTATGAGATTAAACCAGGGGCAAGTAAACTCATACGATGAGCGGTATAATTAACAATTCACAACAAATCTCGCAAACTACAAGTTAGTTCATAACTTTATAGTTAATTTACGACCCTTCTTTGCTACCTTTGGTCGCGCCGGTGGTTTTTATTATTCATTTTTAATCTATCCCGGAGTTCTCCGCGAGCTATTTATAAAGTAAATAGAGCGGGTCAAAAAGGCTCAATTAAAAAGGCTCACCTACATCCTTCCTCTCCTAACTCTTCGCGAAATCCTTGTAATTTTTGTTTCAAACACAAAAGGGTAGCGCATGCAACAGGTTCCGCTAGGAAATTTAATTAACCGCCATCAATTAATCGTCGATTCAAATTTGTTAATTTTATACGCTCGTAGCAATAGCAAAAATGTTTGCGAAGGGAACCGGGACAACTCTATTTGATTAAGATGGCTTTTACGTCGAGGAAATTTCCAATTCTCCTCTGTTTGGACAAAAACAACGGGCATCTTCCGGAGAATATACGAAGGTGCAGGTAATTCCGTTAGAAGAATATCCGAATTAAGTAAAAGCCGAGTCAAGAAGGTAACCGAATTACCCGCTTTCCCGTTCGCCAAACACTAGACGAACGGGGAATTTCACCGGGAGATAAAAATATCGGAGACAATAATAACACACTCCAGTAAAGCACCTGAATATTACATCACTTCCAGCGCATAAAACACACAACAAATACTATCCAGAGCTAGAACCAAGACAAACTAAACCTAATGTACACCTCTCGAACGTTTATTTAAATAAAACAAAGCATAAACTTGCGCTTTGAATTGAATCGCTCTACTACCTTGTCAAAATACAAAGTTTTCGGGTAGTTACCGAGTCTTCCACTCGAAGCGGCAAATATTAACCATGTTGCTCGCTTAATTTCGAGACACCTTCACCTGCTAGTACATTCTACGCGAGTCCTGTGAAGTCCTGAGGATATCGTGGTAACAAAAAGTATTTATCAAATGAGGCAAGAGCGTTTTCTTTCAGTAAACACATCGTGGAATAGTGAATTTATAGGGACTGGCGTTACGAGAAAAGTATCCGTGAAAAGTTGAAGGAGATATATAAAACCAATAAAAAATGGCAGCCCTCGTACTAAAGGCATTTCTTTACTTCAATTGGCCGACGACAATAAGCGTTCTCTCTTCCATAGAAAAAGGTCTAGTCGGACGGAGAAAAGTTATATATTTGTGCTTATTTCGCAATGTGGTCGCCGAACGAGATAGATTTCCTTTTAATTCAATTTCCGACGGGGCTTAGATTCTTCAAAAGTTATTATCTGTCGAGAACATGCCCCGTATTATTTCAATTCGAAAGAGGGAATAATACCCGCACAAAATGCATTGATGTTAAGAGATCTAATTAAGATTGAGCAAATATCGTTTGATCCCAAACAACAGCCTATCATCTGCATAATCTACTATAAAAATTAGGATAAGTTTCCCATATACCCATTTCGTAATTAACTAATAATTACTTAGTGATTTTGTAGCTGCACAAAGTGATTCTTTTCATTCCATTAGCCTGTTGAAAACCGCTACATCAACAACATTAATTAATTAGGTAATACGAAATGCATATATGTAACTCCAATTAATTTATTATCGGGTTTATCCGCTCGGGTTCCTGTATTACAGGCGAGGAAAGTACCAGTTAAGAGTTCTTTAAAAGGTCTCAATCGAGTGCCTCTCCATCAACAATTGGTTGTTGTGCTTCCGAGACTTGTTGAATTTGAACTTTCCGCCGAACTGGAAAAGGGAATTCGCGCACGATTCCCTCGACGAATATGAAAATATACAATTATAAACTGACGGGGGTTTTTTCCTTGTTTCGAATTCCGAGCGGGCCGCCCATACGAATGGCCTATTCCAGGATTGAGGATTACAGCGCGCCCGGAATTCGGAAGGCGGTTAAGTAAGGAAAATAATTGCTTCGTACGGCGCCGCAATCGATCGTTTATCGGAAATTCAATCTACCAAGCGGAAAGAAATAATACCGAATACAATAAAACTAATTAGTTTAATTATTTGGCGAAGTACGAGCAAACCTCTTTGGCGAGAAACACTGCAAATGAAAAACACTTGTACAAAAGTTGTAGCCATTCGTTACTTTTCTTCGAGAGATAATTAGTAGTAACTTAATTGCGAACGAACCGCCTGTCGATGAGGAAAGGCCCGGCAAACAAGCGGAGGAAAAGCGTAGGGAGAGCGATAAAGGAAGGGGCGCTTCCTCTGAGAGAGCTGTTTATTTAATTCAATCGGTTTTTTCGCGGCGGTCGCTTCTAGCAAAGTAAACGACGCGAAATTATTGAAGACACTGTTTTACGATATGTTGCTGAAAAAGTAGGTCGACCGACTGGATTTTATTATTTACGAAGCGACTTCAATTCAAAGGATTTAGGTTTAGGATTGCTTTTACCTAGATTACCTTACTCTCGATTGAAACGCTCCGCCGAGAACGTGCATCATATTCGCGATTTTACACGGGAGCAAACAGGAATTCTACAAGTAGTCGCGAGCAAATCCCCCGGGCGAGAAATCGGTTTAGTCGAATTAATCAAAATTTCCACGTAAGCCGTATTACAACAACAAAACGAAATATTATCGACTGAATGGTTTATTAAAAACAGCCGATCAGCTGTTACTTCAACGAATAAAAAAACCCCGACTGACCCAACCCCCATGAATAAATAAATGCGACTAGCCTAATCGATACGCTCGCCTGGAAATCGAATTGGTTCGGATGTTGTTCTAAATATGTACTTTCCGAGTTTCTGGAAAGGCGGTCAGTCGGTATAAATTTAAGTAGGTTAATAGATTGGAGCACTTGCTTGGCGATTACGGCTCGTAATAAATAGCTAATGATGATGAAATGCCGGCGGATAAATTGATAAATACAGCCCATAATTTCAGGCATTCGATTCGAATAATGGCAGCGAATCGGTCGAAAGGAAAACTAAAGAAAAGGCTGTAACCGTAACTGCCGTAGCAGGAGTGAAAATGACGACGTTCCTGAGGGAACTGTGACCATTCAGGACATGACACGAGCGAGGGCGTGCCTTCCATACTGCTGAACGTGAAATCTTCATTTTATAGTTTTGCTCGACTACCGCATTTCAATTAAATGCTGCACGAATTGGTGGAAATTGTTCCGGCGAAAGAAGCTGCAAATTCATTCGCCAGTTTCCTATTTTACATTTTACCAGGAAGTTTCCTGCATATAATTTCTTATCAAACGACTTTTTCCTCCCATCAGCGTATCCTCGATATTATTTACTAGGTCGCTTTTAAGTCTCCTGATGTTTAAATTTTTATTTAGGTTATATTGCTTTTCATTAAACTTCTTTTACCGTCTCCCGAGGCTCTAATTACGAACTCATTTTCTCCATCAATGCCGCGTTTTCATAGCGCAGCGAAACTATCGCAAGGCAACATTAACGAAGGCAAACATCCCGCACTAAATCAACTAGAAATTTTTCTTTGTTTGGAGTCCGCAGCTTCCGCAAATTGTTCGCAAAAATACGTCGTGTTTTCCGGAGTTTTCCGAGTTTAAAACTGCCTTCTAGGGGTTGATGCTCCGAGAGGCATTAAAACCTCGGCTGTAAAAAGTTTTCCTGCGAAATTTTCTAGCGCTAAAAGATAGTCGCCGTTTTGTTTCAATACCGGCTCGCTCTCGGCGTGTTTTCCAAGATTTTAATTTGGCCGCGCGTTTATAGTAAATTATGGCGTTTTAAATTTAACCCCGGCGTAAATTGTATGTAGGTAACTATTAAATTACAAGAGTAAGTAACGTTTACGAGATACTTACGAGTACAATTCAGTAAAAACCGGTTCTAATGAAACGATTAAATCCTGCTATAGTAAACATACCACAATACTAGATATCCTTTGATCTTCCTGCGGTGTCTCCGATTCCGCATTCCGTTTCGGCCCTTCGCTAATTCCCATTCCGGTACTCGCAGGACAATTTACATAATTCAGGTACCCGAGCGCTCCGGGCAATTTAACTCGATAGGCTTTCGAGGACTAATCGCGTTTGTCCGGCAGAAGAGATTTCTCTCGCGCCTCCGTAAATGGAAACACCTGGACCCTCGACCCGAATCGCGTTATCATTACCCGATAGTTTCTTATATTCCCGACCCAATTCCTCCGTCTCCAGTCTCCATTCCAGCCACGCCGGAATAATGTCTGTCAGGAACGTCAGGGATGCAGTTGCATAACCATCCCCCTATATCATGTCGGCGTATATCATTTTTGAGGGCGCGATATGCATAACGCAACACGAGAGAAACGCGGAATGCATATCGGGAAATAACGTTCCGGGTAACTCCCGAAAATACAAATAAGAAGCGTTAGAAACTTTTTCGAAAACCGCCCCATTTAAGCGAATTGTGTAGCAAGTCACCCTGTAATCCGCAGGTTTGCTTAAACATTTAGCGCGCTATGAATAGGCGAGGAGCTTCCTATTTACCGTTCGGGGCGTGAGAATTTATCGGGTAAAAAGAAAACAGAACGGTTGAACCGGAACTGTAAGGAACTTGATCGCGGATGAACCGATTTCTTCGTGACAATTTTTGCTTATTCGTACTCGCTGCTCGAACTTTAATAAGGATTGCGAAGCTCACGGTCGGATGTTCGCGAAACTTCTTTTCCGCTCGTTTTTCGGGCGACTTTATTACGTGAAGGGATTTGAGGGAGCAAAAAGTGGAGAGAAGATTTGTCTCGAGTGTGCATGCGAGGCGGGTAATAGAGAAAAGGAGTTACCCGGAGGTGTGACCAATTATGTTTCTTATAATATCAAGATTTTCGACTTAATTTACTAACTTCGCCGAGTTATTAATTAAAAGATTTGTTAGGGGAACTATCGTTCTTGCTGTTAATAATTAATCTGGTTAAAATTTAATGAACTCGCCTTTTGATAAATCAATATACTCGCCCGTTTATTTTTGCCCCTTACTTTTTTTTATCGATTTTATCGCCGTAAAAACAATTTAATAAAGGGATGACATGCGTTACTCCATTATTAAGCGATTTCGAAATTGGTCTATTATAAACTACTTAAAAACAACTTAACTCTGAATTCAATCGAAGTTAAATTAGTCAGGTGAAGGAATAGTACGGGTAAATTAATCAAAATTAAAATCCCTTTATTATTTACTTTTTTAATATAACATCATTGCAATGAATAGTAAAACACAAATAGCTGTGCCCTATTTAAAGGGGTCGTAGTTATTGAATGTTACAGCAAAAGGCAATTAGTATTGACTAGTAAAATGCATATACATACATACGAATCAAATGAGCGATGGAGCCATCTGTATGTACTTACACGCCGTGGTATTTGAATGGTAATTACCTAGTATCAAAGGTTTTACTTCGATCAATATCAGGCACAATCAATCACAATAATGTATCGTGTCATTGAACAACCGTGAATTTTGTAAGGTGTCGACAATGTGATGTATTCGTGCACTTAAAATTATTTTTTTTTTGTCATTTTATCAACTCAACCTACTTGCATTTGGTGAGAGGGAAATCCTTGTTTCAGTGGTTTTATTGAATTTTTTAAGCGTTATTGCGAGAACTTTGTTGAAATTACTTTGGAAAGTCGGTAAAATAAATGTTTACTGTTGAATTTCGAAACATCCCTAATTTGGTTAAACTGGAATGAACATTAGGAGTCGAACTTACCGAATGAAAATCTTGAGTAAACACCGGCGGGGCAATTAAAATTCTAAAATATTAATATTTTAATTACTACCAACGTGTTGGCTTACGGAACATGCTCAACAATTATACATAATGCAGGCTAGAAGGTAGTTAAGGTAAATACGGTACATTTTTTATGAGATGCTACAAAATGAATTATTCAAAATATTCACATTTCCTCACAGGAATGTGGATGCCATGAAAGTAAAATTATGTAAATTGATGACGTATTCAGGATTTCGCGATTTCCATTCGGAATGAAGAGGGCTGTGAGTGATATTGACAAATGAATGCGAACAGGAAAACCTGTTGGAAAAGAAATATTGTACGGGCTCTATTATTCGCCAAACGAAACGGAATATTCCTCTTCGTAGAAAATGAAATTCGGTCATCGAGTATATTGATTAAATTATTTCGAAAATAACAATTTATCACATTATTTGGCAGTAATTTAAACTTGTCAAATTAATTAAAACAACAACTTAACCTCCAACCAAATAAACTTACCTATACAATTCTTCATTGTATTCTAAAAAAGTGTTTATTTTTGGCCAAAAAAACTTAAAATAAAGAAACCAAAATAATATGTCATCTGTCATTAAAAAAGTTACATTTCACTTTTCTTCGTTTCTTCTACTCTTCCGAACAATTCGTTCCGAACAATACGTCACTAATGACACAATGTAATTCGTTCGTTTTGTGATTGGTTAGTGACTTTACACGTCACTTGTAAAAATTTTTAAATTTAAAAGTGCTATATTTCCTAAAATATCGAATATTTTCAGTAACTGAAAACTGTGTTGAGTTCTAATGACTTTTATTCATATATTTGGTTAAAACCCGTATATCTCACATCGCACTCCTCTCCATTCATGCTTTATTTTTATTCGAGCTGTACAAACTCGGAACTTTTTAAATGGTGGGAGGATGCGCAAAGTTAATAGCATTCCCAATTCACAGAGAAATGCTAATATTTAGCCTGCATTAAAATTCATGCATTAAAGTTATTCGAAAACGGTGTATCTCTAGAAAATACTCGCGCGCGATATAACGTTTGAAATAAATAAGTAAAACGTATTAATTTTTTCATTCGTTACTTTCGAATCACGACGAACAAATATTCCTGTTAAACGCTTAAATTCATCAATGTTTTATTAATACCGAATACCGAAATGTCCATTCGAAAGTACCGATTCGTTTGCGTTTTCTTAAGAGTCCCTCGAAGCCCGAGACCCTCTCGGAACAAAAGGGACCGCTAATCCGATTCGATTAAGAAAGTGTCCCCGAAATTTCCGGGAAACATGTTGCTTCGGGACGACAAAAGAAAATGAAATATTCCGCTTATGATAATGCAGAGATTTCGAAAAGGCAGAAAGTAGGCGGTTTGGACGTTTTTAAACCTAATTTCGGTGTTATTGAAATAAAATTCAATTTTCGCGGAACGGAAAACAAGGAAATTAAAAAGATAGACTGGCTTGAAGGAGTTTTCGCGACGAGCATCTCGAATAACAAGAACGTAAATATTAAGAAGACAGGGAGACTAGAAGAATATAAAGTACTAACTCATTTTAATTGCGTTTTTCTTTACGTTATTACAGGATTTGAAACAATACTTTTAGCGTTTTTTATAAGAGCGCACTCTCGTTTCGAAAATAATTCATCTACTGTTTCCATTTTGTATTCTTTTATATGCTTTTTATTTTTCAGAAAGAGATGAAACCATCCATTTGCGGCATCGTTGTATTCTTTGTGTATTTTAAAGGTAAAGTATCTTTGAATTATTCCTTATGCCTTTTCCAATAAATGTATATTTAAAGAACATAAGAAGATATGGTGGATATATGAATCATTAAAAAATGTACTGAATTTTTCATTATTACAGTCGTAGTCAAAAAAATGCAACGACTCTATAATAAAAACTTATAAATTATATAAAATTAGGCAACTCTAAAATTTTTCACTTCGTCATTTCGCGTCCGAAACAATCAAATAATTTCACACACTTCCTAAAAATGTATTACAACCCAAACTGTCGCTGCAACGTAATCACTTCAAGCTGTACAATTCCGAGACGGCGTATTTACAAAGCTCGAAATAAAAAAAGCGAACCTCTCGTTAACACAAAACGATCATCCTTCTCAATTTTCCGAACACGTTCCCTTAAATTCCCGGCGAAAATGCCTCGGTTTTTGCGAATGTCGGAAGTCGGAAAAAAAAGAAGCTCCACAGTATCCAACTGGAAGTTCGCCCGGTTGAAACCCAATTTGAATCGCACAGGAGGAAATTCGGCTTTGAAAACGAAAGTGCCGAGATGAAATATACATGTTACGGGAAATAATTGATCAAATCCCCGGCGAAATATGAATTAGCTAGTGACAGTTTTTCCAGCGCCGAGTGTATGCGTTTTAACGCGCGAAATTCGCCCTAATGGCCGTGTCAACTACACCTTTAAATGCGTCACAGTTGAATAAATTATGGAGTGTGAATTAATATCCGTAGTAAAAGTTTTTTTTTATCTACAAACAGCTAGATTACCGTGCGTATTGATTTTTCCGTCGGTAAATTAAGCAGGGACGTTAATGGAAAATAGAGAATATATTAAAATTTACGCTCGTGTTGGTAATTTATTCGCATTTACGACCGAAAATTCCAATTCTCTGCGTAAAGCGCTTCTATTTTTCCTATAATTCGGGAAAAAGAGCAGCATAAATAACTTGCCAATTAAAGCGATGTAAATATTTGCTGATATACCATTACACGAGGATCGTCCATCACGATTTTTTTTAATAAGAAAACTAAACGAAGCTCGTCAACGAAATTTAAGCCGCATAAATTACCGAAACGAAAATGAAAAATGAAAAATAGAGAACGCCAAAGCGGCGAGCGTCAACAGCGCATAAATTTAGATGTTTTAAGAACTCGCGAGGAAAAAGGCATTAGTCAAAAGGAGAGAAAAAGCGAACAGCATATTGTATTTTAGAGAAAATTAACCATGTTAACACGATAAGCGCAATTTTTGGTACGAAATAATGCCATTTTACTCCATCATAAATGGAGTAATTGCCAAAAATATATAAAGCTTTAATTGTTTGTATATTGGTTATGCAAATGCCATGTCATGTAGCTCATTCCCGCAGGATCTTCTGTATATAGGATAATAATAGCATGACACATAAACGATAATAATTGGTCAACACATGTGCATTTGGATCAAAATTCCCAGCATGCAATTTAATTTCTTACAGGGCCACCTCGAAAATTCCAATTAAATTCGTTAAGATCGTTTTTTGGCGACGTTGTTAACTATCTTCACTCTGAAAAAAAGTGCGTTTTTTTGTATATCTTTGCTATAATTAATTTTTTGTATTTCTTGATACAGCTATGATTGTTCGAAAAATATTGAGCGAACTTATAATTGTTAAATAACATAACATGCCTATATTTACGAATTAGAATTACTGTAAATATGTAAAATTCTAAATTATTGTTTAGTAACAATGGTAATGTGGCAACATCGAATGTAACTCATATCAACTTATACAGAAATCAACTTATACAGTTTTAAAATATTGCATCCGAAGGTAATTAAAACCTATTTCACGCCGTTTTGTGAAAATTCTTCATTATATTCTAGAAAAGTGTTTATTTTTGGCCCAAGAAACCTAAAACAAAGAAAGACATTACAATAACCTCACCTAGATATGTCATCTGTCATTTGATGTTACATTTCACTTTTGTTCATTAAAGAGACTTATTTCTATTCATATATCTGATTAAAGTATATCTCACATTGTACTCCTCTCCATTATCTGTTGTTTATCCAATGTGTTTAGGAGCGAAGTATCCGCGTTGGTTTTAATCTCGATACAGGCCCCGAGCCGTTCCGGGCGATGACAAATGGACTTTCCCTAATCTAAGAACAGTGCGAAATTTTCCGCCGGAAAGCGTTTATCTTTTTTTAAAGGGCGAAATTTATGCACCATTTATTTTAACACGGTCGTATTTCGCGCTTTCATTGGCCCCGGTCTAACTAACATGGCCCAGAGTCGGATCCATTTAGACTATTTATTGGAATTTCGGGCGATTATACAGCGCCTCATAATTGCGGGCAATTAGACAAATTGTTTAATTCGTAATTTTATACGAATTTATGGCTTAATCATTAGATTATTGTAATTAAAATTCGTTAGGCGTGGGCTTTATATCAGCGCCCGAACCAATTAAATTTCTCGTTAAATTTTAAAAGCTTTATACATCAAAAGGGCATACCTACCTGTTGGATATCAATTTTCAATTTATTTATGTTAATCCGACCTTGTTGGTTCATTATCCACATCCACCCACCGAATTGGTAGTGGATAACTGACGTTTTCACCACCCAGTCGTTGCATGGAGCTTGAAATAACTTGATTAATGGCCGTATACACGGTGGAGCTTTCATTAGCGGGTGTATTTACGTTCAACAAGCGTTAAATAATCTACAACGGTATCGGAAATTCGTTTACATTTTTCGAACAATTCATTCAATGTTTACTTACGCGAATTTCGCTTCGCAAAAATAGTTCGGAAAGTTATTTGTAACTCCGTTAGAACTACTTTAATATATTTCACTCGCATTTCTACGGCTTGCAGAATGCCCAACTTCAAATACAAATTTTGGAATATGGGATGTAGAAAAATGAATATTTTATTACACTCTTGAATTATTACCAGGTTTTTATAAAGTTTCGAAGTTGAAATGGAATAAAACGCATCAATATTAACGATGCAGTGACCAATTTATTTCTAATTACTTTATATAACATAAGTAATCTATTAAGAGAAAAAAATACAACATTGTGAATAGCTTCCTAATGAAAATTTTCCCCATTTTCCGAAAATTGAAGCGGTGATTAATTATCTGTATTTGCTATTTCTTGCGAGCCGCAATATTCCACGACATGTAAAATTAATGAAATTTCACGTTAATTTTTTAAATCGTCTGCGAGATTAATCGACGTTATCTTCGATTAAATAATAAAACAGATTTAATAACCGTAAAATAAGTACGGTAATCGGGGCCCGCATCAACAGGTTTATATCGGAAAACGATTCCGTACTTTGCAGAATAATTTATAGAGCGTATATAGTAGGTAAATTATCTTTGATATAGGTATCCTGGACTACCGTATGTTCCTCTACACTCTCGCATGGCAATTTCAACAATACCGGAAATTCTCAATATGCCAATTTGGAATTAATTTATCGCCATAATCCCCAACAATCCGTAAATAAGTAATCGCATAATAAAATTAACGATTTCAATTCGATTTGATTCGAACTCCATACCACACAGCCTCTTTTTTGTACATACAAACAGACTTTATTAAAACCGCTCATGCTTTAATGATCTATTAGCAGGCCCATTGGAGCATCTCGAGCGGTTTTTCCATCGATATAAACCGATGCTTCGCGGACAGGCGGGCACGCACGGGGCGTATTTTTCAATTTTTCTCCTCCGAGCGTTTGAGGTCAACGATGTGCGTTCGATCCCTTAATTGGCATTAATGTCGATCGCGTACGGAACACGAATATCGGTAAATATTGATTTCAACCGGACGGTTTATTCCGACCGGCCACGGTTCAGCTCGATGGGCTCCACTCGCACAAATATACTGCTCCACAAAAGTTAAGGAACTTCACAAATATTGAGGTTAATTTAAAAGTTGCAGGTTTTTTGATCGCCAATATTAGTACGAGTTGTAGAGGAAGGGACAAAAAATCCACTCGGATATGAGAGGTAACATTTAATTTCGCATATTTGAACATTTGGTGATCAAAAAGTCTCTAACTTTTAAAATAATCGCAAAATTTGCGAACTTCCTTAACTTTTGTGGAGCAGTTTATAATAAGGAAAAACGAAAAAAAAAATCGATTGCATTCGATGCTGGTGAGCTAACGGGGCCGATCACGTGGAAAATCTTCCTACCTTTACTCATATTATGATTATATTCCGAAGTAAAACGGAAATTTATCTTACTTTCAAATTTTCAATCATACACAAACTTTTTACTCCTTTGATATATAAACCGCATTAAACAGCATTCTCCTGCGGTATACCGCCTGGTTATGACTTGATAAAGTATACACTAGTTTATTAGATATCAAAATTAAAGTTGTTTGAATAATTTTTGCTCTTTGTTTGCTCACATCATCCACACGATCCTGTAACGTGCTGGGATACAAAATCGACCGAATTGCGGCTAGTATAAGGGTCCTTGATTAGGTCTTGGTGGATATTAGATTATCCTTAATTGGAATATTGTTCGAAAGTTCCAGCCTCAAGTCCGAGAGAGATTGATCGTCAATTCGAACGAGGCGATCGCGAGAAATTTGCAGGTAGAGGTTTAAATTTAATATAAAATATTGCGATAATAAATTGAATGCGAAAAGCGGAATTAACATTTAGCATTTCGGCGTATAATATCCCATTAGAGGACTCTGTTTCGAAAATAGCAACCCTCCAGTAATTACACAAAAAGGACTAATAAACTTTTTTTATCATGGCAACGCGATAAAATTTTACGCACAATAAAATTAAGGGATGAGCTTTAAACACTAATTCCAATTTTATTCGTGAAAATGGATTCATTCACAAACCTTGAACGTAATGTAAAATGGAAAACAGCCCACGTTTGATCACTCCACATCATTAACCCCCACATAAAAGTTTTTATTCATTACTCAAATTAATTATTCTCTGTGCCATTAAAAATAGATGTG